ATATTGTTCATTACATCAATATAATCGTATCGTTCACTGCTTTACGAGAAATATTGGTCGATCATAAATTAAACAAAAATTGATTTTTGATAAATCAATTATTGTTTTCAAGATATATCACCGCCCGTCGTGTCGCTATAGCAGAGCTTGCTCTGCATCCACTGTTGGTAATTTTAGTCAGCTTCACATGCGAAAGATGTTTTGCGCGGCAATTTTCACGTTTCAAATTTACGTTTTCTTTTGTTTTTCACTTTTGCAAGTGATTTTCAAATCTCTCGCGAAAGACACTTGCACGATTGACGAGATAATTCATACGCGCGAAAATCGCATTTTTCGATGTTAAATGGAAGTAGCAACGAAAGAAAGAAAGATTAATCGGCATCTGTCGATGCTGATAATTAAATAATATACGCGCGAAACACACGAGAAACTTTAACTTTTATAGCTTTTATATGAATTTGTTTATCATATAATGATCGAACGAGGCAAGAAACGTAAAGCACTCGATAGCGCAGTCGATAGCGCAATTGATAGCGCACTGTCGTATCGCATGTTAACATCACAGAATTTGCTGAGTCGATAACAGATACGAACAGCGCTTGAAGCGGATTTGTTAGCAAAAACGATGTCGTATTCGTCGATAGCGATACGCGGTATTGATCCAGTTAAATCGCGTACGAAAATGTCTCGAGTAGAACGATGTGTACACTTTGAGATAACGAGAAAACAATACACCGTGGACAAAAGTAATAAGAACGGAATGAACTTATCTAAAGAAGAAAGAATGAGAGAAACAAAGTATGACGCAGATTTCAAAGTTGATCCAAGTTTGTTCAAGATGGATGTTTCCGTCGATTGATTAACACTGATCTGCCTGTCGTATGACCGAAAAAGGACCCAGGTACTTGTTCTTCTGTCTCTCTAATTGCTTCTTTCGTAGTTCTATCATACCCTTTATTTCATCAATCATGTCTGTTCCCCAACGTTTGTGGCTTTCAACGAACTCCCTAACCTAAAACAGGTTGTGTTGCCATCACGACAAATAATGGTGTTTTAACCTAATGTTATCTAATGTTCGTCACGACATAATCTTTTGCATAACTGAGACAAGACGATGATTACAGCACGCGCGGAAGAAATGAAAGTAACGAGGTGTGCACAAATCGGATAAATAGCATTAATATGTCGTTTACAAGCAGATTGTTAAAATTATCGAATCATCTGTTATTGATTAATTATTTACGATTTATCCAAGCGAACAGGAACGATGTGTCAAAGTGATCATTTGTTGCTGTGAAAACTTTTCGTTGACGTCTAGGAATAAGCATATTTTGCCAGGAAATGTTAGTAATATCCAATTATACCGCATATTGAGTCTATCTCGCCGTGCAAGACTATATATAAATTCGCGAAGTTTACCTTTGCAAGTTGGCACTCGGAATACACGTTCATAATAATATTGGCTAATTTGTTGTACCTATCCAGGAGACTGTAATATTGAAACGACAGATTCGTCATGAGTAGATGCGTAAAGAACATACACGATTATGGACGTCGTGCACAATGAGAAAGAAAAGGTCTTACTGGGGCAAAATGTCGTCCAGATTTGTTAAAATTAAATTTAGCACTTTGTCTTTCCTCGCATGCTTCTTCATGAAGTTATCATATAATTTCATCAGCTGCCTTTCTGTTAATTGCGTCCATATACCGCTTGTTTCGTCTGTCATCGATTTCAAGAAATCAATAATGATGTTGTCGTCCTCGGTGCAAGTCAGGTGTTTTAACATGTTCGTTTGGTTTCGTAAAATCAAATTAGTCCGCCACTTTATTCCAAATGTTGTTGTTTGCGGTCATCAGACTTGCGCAATACATACACCCAATTCCTCCAACCCGGCTGACTTTTATGATGAACATGAAAAGATGAAAATACATTGCAACAAACAAGTATTGCCTCGGTCAAATAGCTTGCGAAATGTTGCGTGAGAGATATTGTTAAATAAAGCGAAAGAGAAATGCAGTTTGTCAGAATAGTTACAAATCTTTCGTGGGGTTCTCGAGATATTGTATCAAAGTCTGGTAGGCCTTCTGTTTGCACACGAAATGACCCAGTTTGCAAGCCCAATTCATTATTAATATTGACGTGGCTTCATCTGCTAGTGTATTGTACTTGAAAGTTATCAGATGTCTTGATAATATATTTAAAACGTAATTCTAGAAAAATCGAATAACGAAATTTGTCAATCGAGAATTAAAAAAAAACGTTTCCTCTCACACTGATTATGCACTGAGTTTCAAAACGGTTTCAACACTTTTTAAGATGTAGTTTGGGACGCAGAAAATGTCTAACGTAAGAACTTAACTTCTGGGAGTTGCCGAGAAACAAATTCTTTCATTGGATCGTTAGCTGCGTTTCTAACTGCATAAAAGAAAAATGTTGAAACTGACTTTTATTCCAAAGTTATGTACCTTAAAGTTTTTACTTTCTGCGAAGTTGAAGAAGGACGATGTATAGTGCAGGACATTAATCATAGAGGGCCACGGTACATAATCCTGCTCTTTCGATAGATAATCAATGAGCTTAAGGAAGACATCGTGGCTCACTTCCTGCGTCATCATGAAATGATATGCATCATCGATTAGCTGAGCACGATTCAAGCGGTGTATATCCTTGTGATTATTTTTGCACAAATATAATACAATCTTCATCCAATTGTCGTATTCGTAATTGACGCGATAAAAGCCTGCCGAAGAAGCGAAAAAGATCAATCTCGCTGTTTATCAACCTAATTACTCGCTTCCCGAGTAAACGAAATTGAACGAACGGTTTCCGTATATAGAATCGCAATACTCACCGCTTTGTTGTATGTTGAATATGATCCAATCATTTGAATCGATTCTAGATGGAGTTGTAACACCTTTCCGAATCCACATTCTAGGCAAAGTGTCCAAGAAGTTAAGCTCTGACTGCGTAGTGTATGTCAGAGGTATCATCCATTCGTCAGTCACGCTGGTTCTATTGCTTTCAGAAGAACGTATTGAAATATACATTTCATTGGACTTTTTATAAACATACAGTACAGGATAGGTTGTTTGCGACACCTAGTAGGACATTATTTTCTCTAAGTCAGAGCTTTCTTGGCTGATGGAAATCTTGCGTCGTAACGTCCACCACAAATCATAGGAACTATACGAGTGACTATGTAATAAGAATATAAAACAAGAACATCCATCATATGTAATTTCTAAAAATTCCGTCTATTTTTTAAGATAACATTGGATTTATAATATTACTATATTGTAACATATTATTATTTACTCTCTAATTACTTACCGTAATTTAAAAAATTCAGCTATGCCTTGATTGAATCTTTCTTTTGTAATTATATGTTGCAACGTGCGTATCAAAATGGATGCTACCAAAATTTACATCATGAATAGCAGTAAATGATGAAATAGATTAAAAAAAAAAAATAGTGAAGTCGCATATAGTAGTTAATCGCATGTTTATAATTAACAGTGTACTTATAATTATACTGTAATATTCTTTCGTTCTCACCTTTGTTCTCAATAAGTGAAGAGTAAAACGGATCATATATGCTTTTGATATGCGGCACCTTGAGAGAAATGTCGTTATACAGAGCAGGCTGTAGAACCTGCACCACGTAGAGATTCGTCATTTGGCTATATAGATGCTTCTAAAATTAACAATAGTAAAAATTAATGCTAAGAAAGATGTTAAATCGAGCGACATGAATTTCGTTGCTAAAAATGCAAAATCGTCGTAAAATTTCATGGATATTATAAATCGACGCTTTGAATGTTACAAAACTTTTGGAAAAATTAAACGGTTGCTTTTGTTTTTCGTTCTTTACGTGTGTAAAGAGATCCGTATGAAAAGAGAATACGTAAAGAAAACCTAGTTTGAAAACAGCTTAACGTTGCTTGCAAGCATATCCTCTAATTACTCGAGCAAGTTCGCATATCGTTATTGTTAGAGGACATAAAAAGGAACAACTTTTTCCATGATGTAATAACTCAAATACAGCTCAAATGCTTTCCTAAACCACTCGATAAACTACTCAATAGTGTTGCTGAAAGTTTCAATAAATTGCCGTATAATTGCGTGTGCTACTGTTCTCTGTATTTCGATTTGATAGCCGATGAAATCTCCTTTTTCGATGATATCGTTCTCTCTGAAAATCATGTTTACAGTTAAAACAATTATGTATCCTCACATGTTTTTATTAATCTGAATTATTTCTAAATGTTTAATTCCTGTCACTGAAAGTTCGAGCAAAAACGACTTTACATTCTCGTACGTCTAAAACGATCCGCGATAAATATGCGTGAAAAAAGAGTTGTTGTTTTCGGTCGCCACAATAATTTATCGCGCGTACAATAATTTTACTTTCCACATTTGTTGGAAGAAAATTTTAAAAACAGGAAGATGAGTGAAAATTTATTCGAGACGAAAATGGGAACACATCGACACTTAGAGTTAGAGCTTAGAGTGAATTTTTACAGTAATGAGTGAATGTTTCAAAGTCTCTTTGAAACTGTAGAATACATCAGGTTTACTTATCGCTTTCGAGCAAACTCGTTCACCCAACGTCATTCAGTATACCTGAATCGTCATTCAGAGTGGAAGAATTCCACTGTACATGAGTGAAATGTCACTCGTCTTTGAGTGACTCGGTCGTCGCTCTATTTTTCGTGTAGAATTTCACTCGCAGCAATTTAAGGGTGATCAAAAAACCCGGAAACTTAGTTGCGCACCTAGTATAAATACCTCATACAAAAAGTGTTGTGTACATTAAGGATGAGTGTCAATACGCAATATCGAATAAACGATCATCTTGTTTCAAATTCAAAATTATTTGAGTTTTGAATTTATTCTAAAAGAAACAGTGTGGGAGGATAGAAGACATATTAAATTTTATATACAACGTTAATTTTTATTGAAACAAGTTAAACAATACGTGTATATCATATTATGGCAGCGTATAATAATATAATATATTATATTTTTTTATGATAGAAGCAGCATTCAGATGCCGTACACTTATGAGTAAAATTGTACGTAAAACGATATGCAAACATATATCTTTCTTTATCTACTTGTTTGGCTCGCCATATTATTAAATATTCCAGCTTTGTGTCTTGGAATATGCCTTCCGAGCTTATGAAAATCTTTATCTAAAACAAATTAATTGCATCTCAATATGCAACAGTAATTTAGCTTGTTATCAAGAAAAAGACTTTGTCGCCGTACAATATCTTATATAATTAATATGAAGCATATATATATATATATATATATATATATGGTATATATATACATGCAGAATATACGAGAATAATTGAAAATAGAGACTCATCGGAATGAGCAAGAAATACATTTAGGTAGAAATATGAAATTTTATATACAAAAATAGAACTCACCTTGTGAAGTGGGCACTTGGAATACACATTCATCATTATTTCAACTAATTTATCGTTCCTACCCAATAGACTGCAACATAGAAACGACAAAGTCAACATACAAACATATACGGATATTGCACATGGTAAAGATAAGAAAAAATGCAACATATTACTAGGGGAATGTCTCGTTGACACTTTCCAGAATAGAATCAAACATTTTCTTTTGTCTCGCATGATTTTTCACAATGGCGTGATATAATTCCTCCATCTGCGCTATTTGCGCTTGTGACCACTGAAACTTGTCTCCAAAGATGACGTATTTAAAATATATCAAGATCATATAAACGTCCTGGTTACAGGCTAGATTTTTTCCCAATTTCATACTGTCGGGTGTATAATGCATTAGTGTGTACCAATCCTCATAACTTATACTCATCATGCCCGCGCAAGCTATCCAGCCCTGCCACCACAGTCTACGTGAAACATAAAAGATAAAAAAAATTGGGACAAATATTTTTCTTTTTCAAGCGATCTTACAGCGATTAAATTATTTCGCAAAACATTGCGTGGGAGATATAATAAAGAAGAATATTAATTGATAATTGAAAATATAGAATTCTCGACTATTCACGATAATTACGGATATTTATCTTTATCATTGATGCGTGCCATCAATTTTTTGTTGGCCCAATCTCTGCATTCTAAACAGCCAAGTTTACAGGACCAATGCTGAAGTAATGAACGCATTGCTTTTGTCATATCATCATCTTTAGGATCTTCATCATATCCGATCGTCTTCAGAACATGAGACATGATATCCACCATTACATTCTAAAAACATCATTTAATAATATTAATTTTCCATGCAAATTCCATGCAAAAACATTAGGAGTACAGTCTGTAAAGTAAGAGCGTGCACGGGTTAATGTGTAGAAAAATTTATTTTTAATGATTTTTAAGTACATGGATTTGTTGTACTCCATGAGAAGAAAAATGCTATACTATTAATAATGAGTCCAGTCACCATCGGCATTGATAATTGCCTGGCATCTCCGAGGCATACTTTCCACTCAGTTGACTGCGTATTCGTTCGGTAAAGACCTCCAAATGAGACGAATTTGTCGTGTCAGCTGCTTCAAAGTGCATACTCTTTTTCCTCGAAGCTTGTGCTTGAGATATGCCCACACATTTTCAATGGGATTTGCATCTGGCGACTGCGATGGCCAATCAAGTGTGACGATGCTAGACTGCTCTTTCCACTCGGTGCAAAGCTTGCTCCGGTGTTTTGGGTCGTTGTCTTCCTGTAAGATCCAGTCCTCGTTTTTTTTTTATGAAGCATCGTTCAGCAGTCGGCAACAAACACTTCTCATAAATTTTAAGCATTAAAGTCGGGTTCCGCTTAAACAAATTCACAATTTTTTTTTCCATATTTGGCGTCACTTTGCCTATCGAGCGCCACGTTCTGGCAAATCATCGACATTTTTTATCTTCTTATATTGCTGAACCCACTTAGCGACGAACGATTTTGACTTTTCCATGTATTTAGCAGCTACTGCATATGACATTTTTGGTCCTTTGGGGTGGGAACAAACACAGCTTCGTAGCGCGATGCGTATGCGGCACTCATGGCGCATGGTTAACGTGTTTCTCAGGTTAGAATTCGACGCCAACTGAATCTTTTGTGACAAAGCATTCACGACAAAGATTTCATCTATCGCCTCACAAAAAAACTAGGACGATATTTGAAGCCAACTGCCATTTATGCCGTGCAAGCTCTTACTTTACAGACTGTATACGTATTATTTTCGAAGTTTTACACTTGAGAATCGTATATCGATACTTCGTACGTCTTATTATCGAATTATTTTTGTTATTCGTTATTATATACCTTAAATTCTTGACTTTCTGGATAGTTGAAGAAAGGCGACATATACTGCAAGACGTTTATCATAGAGTGCCATACTATGAAATCAACCTCATTCTTCATGTACTGAAGCAAATGTATATAATTCGATCTATTCATTTTGTTCTCCATTACAAAATGATACCCATCATCGATGAGCTGAGCACGATTCAAAGCATGTATCTTCCTATGATCGGTTTCTAACACTTTTATAATTTTTATCATTATGTTAGTATCGTAATGAACGCGATAGTAACCTATTGTTGAAACAGTAAAAGAGTCAGTTATACTGTTATATTGTTACACTAGTTATCATGAAATAATCGTTTCCATTGATAAAAACGAGCGAATAGCGAATCTTCTACTACTGTCTGTACTGTACACTGTTCGACTACTGTCCGAATCACTACTCACCGAATTGTTGTACATTTATTATAAACCATTCGTCTTCCTTGCAGTGTTGTAAACTTATATTATTATTTTGCAACTGCAATAACGTATTGTTCAGCCACAGTCTACGAATGTTTTGGTGGAAGTCAGGTTCTCTCTGTGTAGCATAAGTCACGAGTATCGGCCAATTCATTTTACTTTCGAGAATGCTTCCTATGTCATTAAATATAAATTCGTCATATAATGCGTCACAAGATATCTTATGGTATGCTTTATCATATACAACCATATATCATGTTGATTCGGTCACTTTGTTTAATCATCAATGTGGGATAATATTTCTGCGACAACCAGACAAGTAGCGCTTTCGTTATGTTACGTTGGGGTATGTCCGTATATTGGTACGTCATTCTATACAGGATATTGAAGAAATCGTTTGGCTCGGAATATCCATGTATACTGTATAAATAACATATTTTTATAACATCGGTCGCGCATGGTAACTATTTATTATTATTTGATTACTCATCATTATTACTTGTTATTAGATCGTTTATTTTACCACTTTATCCATTGATTTAAAACCACTTGTATGTACAGGAATTCAAAATTGTGTAAAATTGCGTTTGAATCGTGATTCGACGTGTATAATTGCAATTACGTATTATACTTCACATAATTATTTCCCAATCATTGTACTACGCCAAATTACAATCGTCACGTTACATTACAAAATAATGCATTACTTACTATGTATTTACATATTCGTTAATAGCTTTTTGGAATACTCGTCTTGAAACGATAAATTCCAACATTCTTAATATAGCGGATGCTGCGAGATAAATCATGAAAAGTGTAAAAAAAAAGATGATTAAAAGATAATTATAAATAGGATAATAATAGGTGTATATGGACTATAAAAAATCGTAGCTGCTTTACCAGTGTATAATACGCAAAAGTTAAATCTAAAGTATTTTAGAAATTTATAAGGAATTCAATTATATTTATACGACTTCACCCACATGTCGATTTTAAACGAGGGGTATATTTATGATTATATTGTAATATTTGACATGTTCTCACCTTTCTTGGTAATAAGATTAGAGTAAAATGGATCATCTGTGTGTAGAATGGATGGCACATCGAGAATAATATCGTTATGCATTGCAGGCATTTGTACTTGTACCACAAACAGTTGCATTATTTGTTCTGTAAAGTCCTAAAAGTAAGAGTTGTAAATATTAGGAAAGTAAGTAAGAGTTGTAAATATTAGGAAAAATGTGGTAGATAACGTATCGCTAAAATTAGCAATACGTATCTTGTCGTTGCTAAAAGGAAACAAGCGAGAAGAAACCATGTCTTCGAGGATCTTGTAACTGAAATACGACTCAAGCGCCCTGCTGAACCACAGATGAATAAATTTACTTGGGTTGACTAAGCTTTTGATATATAGTCGTGTCATTCCGCTTCCTATCGTCCTCGACACGTCGATTAAGCGACCGGAAGAATCGACGTTTTTATCGTACATAACATCTTTTTCTCTGAAAATTGCATCTGCAATTTAGGCACAGGTTTATCTTGAATTCTCTCAGGCGTTTTGATTGACCCCAATTATTGAAAGGACTCGTAATGATCGGCAATACAATGTGTCAAATATTTGAGTCTGATTTCGTCGATCACCTGCTTTACATTCTTGTATAGCCAAGACAACCCGCCACAAATACGCACGCTAATACGAATTTCGCGGTGCTGAGAGAATTTTTTTGTTTTTGAACCGCCACAATTCCGTAATATTTCGATTACGTGCGTTACCTGAAAAATGCCAATTGCCAGCTTCCCACGACTTTCTTGGGGAGATGCTTAAACGTCAATAGTTGCAATTGCGAATTGCAATTCCAAAAGTTGCTTATATACCGCGTTAATAATACTCCGGCCGTTTGAGCAATGTTTTTGACATCATGTAGCCATGTTAGATTATGTAACCAATATATATCGTTGAATGGGATAATAGCGATTGTCAAGAGGTAGGTGGCCGTTGGAGATGTAGAATTAAATTTCGTACATCTTGTTGTATGTCCTATCGTCTGTGTTTTTTTCATTATATTAGAGTAAACATTATATTCAGACGAATGTACGACGGAGATGTTGAAGACCGCTTTGAATGACGGGTCGTCCCAGCAAGGAAACACACGTCGAGCTCCGATCGGTTCAAATATCGTCAAGTATGACCACCTAATTTCAAAGACAAAACTTCACTTTATCAAAGCAGGTCGACAGTGGCTGGTTTGTTAATACATGTTCCAGTATCTTTCGCATCATGTGAGATAAAAAAAATTATGCCTATATGATCAACGATCAAAATCGAAACGACTTGACCTCGAATTAGTAATTTGTTTGTGGTTAAGGATGGTTAGCAATTATGGACAAAAGTCATATAACTCTTTCGCGGTTTATCGCGCACAGTGAACAGCGAAAATCAATATCGATGGCAAAGCAAATGTGATCGTGGTTATATGTTTTCATCGTGACTTACGTTGCATTTTCTTCTTTGCTTGATTTTATTCGGACCAATCCGAAGGTGTCGTCTATGACGCCTATGTGTTTCATATGTAGTTCGTAATATCCAAGCAACGGCTTGTTGAAGAATATAACGAGATTGCCCGTTTTCTTACAATAATCATAGCCAAATGGGAAGTATGTCTCATTCTGTTCGATCGTTTTGTTAAAGACTTTTTTCAGAGATTTTATCGTTGGATCATATATTATCAGATTATCTGCGTGCAAACTTATGAACCAACATGTTTTGGTTATTTCAATTATTATATTGGTCTCCCCTTTGACTTTTTGATCATCCATTATTATAAGATTAACTTTGTAGCTTTTGGGTATCAATTCGGGTGGTGTGACATAATTCAATGTCAGTGACGTGCAATCATTATTCGGACTGAAGGTTAAGATATAAAAGAAGTCAGCAAATATCAGATAGACGTTGAGCAACAATGCGAGCAACGCCACACTAGTTTTCGTCTCAGTCATCTGTAAGAACGATTCTTTGTTGGGACATACAAGAAGCGACAAAACGTAGACTCGCACAAATACAGTTGCGAGTTTTGTTAATGAATGATCCAGTTAACCGATAACGTTATTACCTCTACTTCAATATATTCGTGAGAGATTTTTCTTACCATTTCACATGACCAAGTACATCGAGTGGCTCAAAATAGCGACGAACACGAAGATGTACGGAGAACTAATTGGAAATCGGTAAATATTTTCACGCAGGAGAGGCACTGTATATCAATACATACGACCGGCACGTGATCCATAATGCGTGGTAAACAAGTAGTCTATTTTGAATTCAAAGTGACTTATTCTGTCTAGTACAGCCTTTGTCATAAATATCGTCTGTTACTAGTTAAATTTCATTGTTGGTTTCGCTCCAATACGATGGATCATGAATGAAGTGAAAATTGACAAAATTAAATTCAAAGGGAACGATATAGAACACGCTAAAAATTGCAATATCGATATTAACGTTTATTTATATTAGTTAGCATGCACATACATTCGTTATATTCTATTGGTCAACATGTCTGCATTCTTTTTCGATTATTCCATCGAAAACGCCACTTCGCGGTTATGAATATCGTTTGTTATAAGCAGGTTCGTTACTTTGCTTGAGAACGGTCGGTAAAATAAGCGAAAATTAAAACAATAATTTGAACTTTTTCTAAAAGAAATAAGAAGAGGATAGAATACGTCACAGATTTCAAAGTCAACGTTAAAATTTATTTTTACGTATTAAAATACGCGTACAATTGTTATACTCGAATGAGAGAAAAAGAGTTCAACACTCCTCTAGTTTCGTAATGTGTGAAAAAAGACGTACGAATGTGTCTTTTTGCTTATTTATTTGATTCAATCGCGTTGCTATTAAATGTCCAACAGCGTCTATCGTTTCTTTGTGCCAGTGGAGATTATCTGTTACGTATTTCAATATCTAGAACAAATTGTTTCCATATAATGCTAACATAATAGCAATTTAACTTGCTGTCAAATTTCTTCAACTTCGTTGCTATTTGATTTCTTACACAATTAATGCAAAACAAAATATATTATATATAAGATATATGCACGCAGAGAAAAAGGTTTGGTTATATGAAAGAATTATCTGGTGAAATATGAACGATATAAGATTTCCGGTTGAAATAATCAAAATTCAATCCAAATTATTAAGATTTAACACGAATAGAATTCTGTCATTTTTAATCAGAATTTCTGAATTTTACCAGAAAATTAATTCATTCAATCGAACATTTTCTCCGTGCATTAATAATTGAAAAGATATATTTGGATGAATGCATGAAGCACGATATAGTGGAATTTACCTTGTTAAGTTCACACTTAGAATACACACTCATTACAATATCGGCTAATTTATCGAATTTATTTATATAACTGCAACAGATTCGTATTATGTAGGTAAACGTACAGCGATGAACGTTATGCACATTATAAAGAGAATAGATATTTACCCTAAATCTATAATACTAAATTTCTCCAAGATGAAATCAAGCATATTAGATTTTCTCGAGTGCTTCTCCACTATGGTGTGATATAAGTTCCTCAGTTGCGGACCTCCCAAGTGCGTCCACTTACGTTGAAATCTAAATGTGATCGAGGCTAAAAGTTCCTTGAGCATGTCCTCGTTATCGTTGCAGGGCAGATATTTTATTGTTTCTAGACGATATCCGTACGAGATGTCACGCTGTATTTTATCCCAAATCTCGGAGGTCGTATTCATCAGACCCGCGCAAAACGTCCATTCCTTCCACCACAGTAAAACTCTACGCGAAACGTAAAAGGACAATTGAGACAAATGTTTATACTTTTATGTCAATCGGATGATTTTTGGTCGATATTCTGGGTATTTTTCGATAATTACGGATATTTTTTAGAATAGGCGAGGTGTACTCTCAGCTTATAGTTGGCCATCTCCCTACACTTTTTACTGCCATGTTTACATGCCCAATTTAGGAGTAATAATCGTGTAGCTCTCAACATGTCATCGTCATTAGGATGTTCATCGTATCCGATCTTACTTAGAACGTTTGTCATGATGCCTATCATGTCGCTCTGGAAAAACATCGATTAGTAACATTAGTTTCTTGTACAATTTACATATCAGGTACATATTATTTTTGTAGTCTTATGCGTGAGGATACATGTAAAGTTTATACTTGAAACGCGTAGTATTACAATTTCGTTTTCTTTTTTTACGTCGCTACGTACCTTGAAATTCTTACTTTCTGGAAATTTGAAGAAAGGCGACATGTATTGCAAGACGTTCATCATAGAGTGCCATACTATAAAATCAGTCTCCTTCGATAAGTACTGGATCAAGGACATATAGGTCAACATATGCAGATTACCTTCCATCAAAAAATGATACGCATCATCGAGGATCTGAGCACGATTCAAAACATGTATCTGCTTATAATCGTCGTCGTTTAAGAAAAGCGCGATTCTCAGCCAACTCTCATTATCGTAATTGACACGATAGTAGCCTATTGTGGAAACAGAAAGTTTCAGCCGATTATTATTTAACTACTGTTTCATGCGATGCAGCCGAATGAACGGCTTTCGCACGTGCTGTTGATGCTCACCGAATTGTTGCACGTGCAGTAGAATCCAATCCTTTTCATTAAAATATTTAATATAAGAATTATTCCATAACGTTTTATTCTTATTTAACCACAATTTAGGAACCTCCTGGATACAATTGGGACATTTTTGCTTAACATAAGTAATCGGTATCAACCATTTCACCTGCTCACCAGGGCTGCGTCCTCTGTCGTTAAATGAAATTATCGTCGAATTGGTAGTATAATTTTGTGTAACCAGCAACGTAGGATACTCGCTTTGCGACAGCCAGGTGTGCACTATATCCGTTACATTATATTGCGGTATCTCCTTTAATCGATGCGTTAGTCTATCTACGATCTCGAAGAAATCGTCTGGTGCGGCGGAACCATACGCACTGTGTGAGTGAAAATATTTTTTATAACATTTTTCGGGAGACAATAATGGACATTTGGGTAGCTTGAATTTGAATCACGTGCTACATTATTTATTCATTTTATCACGATCTGTTTGTAAAAAATTTCAGGAAGTTTATGATATGACCAGTTTGAATTTCGCAATTTGACTTACGAATTACGTGTAATAGAGCGCATTATTATATTTTAATTTTTAATATTTATAGAACTCTTTACCTCGATTATTACGTTACATCATAAAGTATTACTTACTATTTATTTAAGTATTCAGCAATGGCTTGCTGCATCACCTTCTTTGTAACGATATGTTCCAGCATCTTTATTATGACGGATGCTGTAATGCAATGCAACAACCATAAAAAATACAACAAATAAACTAAATTTAAAGAAATATTAATGAATTATTTTGTGGCCAACGTAGTGGATAAAAATTTGTTTGATCGAAATTTTTATAAACGTTTCGTTTCGGGCAATATAATTAAATTCAATAAAACAATAGAGACTAATAAACTGCAAAAATAAATTAGTTCTAAGAAAGTTCTTTTTTAAAAAAGTATATTTGGATTGTTTGTATTCGACGAGATACGAACGACTGCTAAATTATATTTACACAAAATGAATTTACTTACATTTTAATTTTGAACAACGTTAATACTTACAATTATGTGGCTACATTAACAAAAGTCCTCACCTTTCCTGTAAATGAGAGTAGAATAAATCGGATCGTGCTCCTGTAATACAGATGGCATTTTGAGGACAACATTGTTATGCAGAACAGGCTGTAGAACTTGTATTATAAAAAGCTGCATCATCCGTTCCTCGTTAAGATTCTAAAAATGAAAATTGTAAATGTTAAGATAAAAAAACACACCGATTCTATCTATTTCGATGAACCCCCGTCGTTGTTAGAGAAAAAGATAGATGAGAAACTAAATTACCTCCCCGACGATATTATAGCTGAGGTACAACTCAAGTGCCCTGCTAAACCACAGATGAGACCACTTAGTTGGGCTGACCAAACTCTCGATATATTTTCGTGCCATTCCGTGTGCCACCGCTCTCCATACATCGATCAAACGACCGGGAAAATCGACACCTTGTTCGTAGAGGAGATCACTGTGTCTGAAAGTGTCGCATTTGTACAAAAGAGACGGTTGTCTTGAAAACTCTCTCATGCGTTTAGGTTAATCGTCAGTATTAGAATAATTCGGATTGATTTATAATATGTAAAATACTCATCCCGTTGGGACGGGTCTCAGTTGTGAAGGACGCTGCATTTATCGCGAAACGACGCATCACCGAATTCCCGAATGCAGGGGGAATCTTTACTTTTCGAGCCGCCCTGTAGTATTTTGATGATACCGGTGTTACCTGAAAATTACGTAGTCCCAACCTCCCGTGATCTGTTTAGGGAGCTCTGGAAATACGACGACGTGGGTTGTCGAATTTTCGCCGAATTTCTCGGTGTAGCGCATTAAGAACCTGTCGCTGTGCATGGCGATTTGTCGCACGCTATTACTCATTTCTTCGGTTATCTGCTCGCTGAACCATACTCTGTCTTCTGTCAAGTTTCCGTACCCCGAGTCGAGAATAACGATTGTCATCAGATAAGTGGGCATGGGTGGTGTAGGTGAAAACTCCGTCAATTTCCTGCCATGGTTCAGCTGCATAGAATTGTCGTACGGCATGTTCGAGAAGACGTATTGTCCAGGCCAATGTATGACGCTGATCTTGAAGATCGCCTTGAACTTTGGCTCATCCCAGCATGGAAACACTCGTCGAGCCCCGGTCGGTTCAAGTATCGTCACGTACGACCTAATCGCAGTTTAAGGGTCAAATTTTAATGACGAGAAAAGCCGTACTGTTGTGAGACGCATAGTTGCTTAATAATTCAATGTTCCATTCGCGATACGTAAAATTCGGACAAACTTCAACAACGTCGACGACATTGTCCTCTCAGTCAAAATATTTCGGGGAATATCACGATCGGCGCTCTTTGACGTATAAACATCCTTGTTTCTCATCTGTCATACATTATACTTTCTTACTTTTTCCTGCTTCTCATCCGGATCAAACCTAAGCTGTCCTCGATGCGACCCATGTACTCCACGTGCAGCATATAGTACCCAGGAGGTATCTCCACTTCAAATAGCAGAGATACAGTCTGCATTTCTCTACAATGTTCATATCCCATTAACTTGGGCACTATTTTAGTATTCATCATTACTTCTGACTTAAAACTGATTTTCTGTAGATCTATCGTCAAATTTTCCGCGTGGAAAATTACGCTCGAGGTCATTCGGATTACTTCGACGATGATATTGGTCACCCCATGGAATTTATCATCAATTGGCATCAGCCATATCTCGTAGGTTCGCGGCACTACTGCATCCGGCAAACTGTAATTCAGAGCATCGTGCTTGCAGATTTCCAAAGGCACGATCTTGGTATATATCGGGACGGTGAATACCGAGTCGGCTTTGAATAACACAGTTAGGAACAACACCACGTTGATTCTCCTTGCAGTCATCTGTGTGAAAACGGTTTTCTTTATTTTTGGACGAAGAAAACGCAAAATGCACATACGCGCACATATGCAATTGCAAGTCTTATCAATGTGTGAGATTCAATTAACCGGTATTATTACAGTTTCGATGTATTCGCGACTTCTTTCTCTTACCATTTCACGTGGAATGTAGAGTCAAGTGTCCTTGAATCGATGCGTGAGCAAAGTTCAAAATTATATATACCTGAACGCACACAAGAAGCGTCGCACATCGACACACGTAGACAAATATCGACATGCGATCCAAACAAACAATCGCTCTGTTCCAATTTCAAAATTATTTGTCTAGCCTTACGCGACAGTTGTTGTAAATATCGTCCGTTATCAGTATAGTTATTTCGGTCGTTAATTTGCATGCGTCGACGATCGTTAATATATTAATAAAGATTCAAATAACGTAATGAGCTGCCACAAAGGAAATAGTGGGATAGTTGAGTGCGCCATAAATTTCTTAACATAACTTTATCAATTAACAAACTCAACTTTAATAATTTATTTGCTCAAGTTAGGACGCGTATAAAATTATTGTGTCCGATTGATCAGCATCTTTCTGCAATATTAGCATGTAGGAAATTCCGGAAAAAGTTACGTTGATCATTTAATTGCTTTTTTTCGCATCGTCACTACGCGTTTGACTTTGCTCGATGTTTCCTCGTCCCAGTTATTATCTTCTATATATTTCAATATCTAAAACAGATTATTAGTATATGTACCAAGTTATTAGTATATGTACGAGCAATAGGGTAATTCAGCCTGCCGTCAAACAATCTCGCCGTTGCTCAATTTCTCGCATAATCAACTTTCAACGATATATACGAGATACACGAGATAATAATTAAAAATTATGACGAAAAAGATATGCGCTTGAGTAAGTGTATGAAGTGAGATATTATGAAATTCACCTTGTCAAGTTGGCACTCCTTATACACGCCCATAATAATATCAACTAATTTGTCGATTTTATGCAAGACACTGCAACATGAAAACAACAGAGTTATAAATACATAAATATATGTGATGATGAGTGTTATATGCATAGTAAAAATAAGAGAAAGCACAACGTTCCGGTGCAACAAACTTACAGTTCACTGATTCCCTTGTAGTAATATGAGTTACAATAACGGATATTAATCCGGCGTTAAATAATAAGCAAAGGAGCACCACATCAATTTTCGTTCTAGACATCTGCACTGTTAAAGACGTTTCGCACTTTTGTTAAAATTTTTTGTGTATAGAAAGTTTTGTGTTAAATTTCTTACACAGTTGTGTGTTAATTTAACATATCGTTGTTATGTTACTTAGACTTTTTTGTATTAAATTAAGATTAACTATTTTCAAGTGTTAAAATAACATTTCCAGGTGTTAAAATAACACAATTTATATGTAAATGCATGAATTCTTGCTGTGACATATTTTATATGTTAAAGTCAGCACCTAAAATGTATTACTTTCCTCATTATAACAGTTATCATGTGTTAAGTTAAAATTAATTATTCTCAAAAGATTGGATTTTTAACACATAGATTATGTCAATCTAACTTTTTCATTTTATCAAATCATTACTTTTCCCAAATGTTGAAGTAACATTCATTGTATGTCAGTTTAACACAAACTGTGATTCTTGACGGCATTCAAATGTTAAATTTTTGTGTTAATTTTTTACATATTATGCGTGTTATTTTTTAACATATTTGCTGTATGTATTAAATTAACATTTAAATGAAAGTGGATGATTTAAGACACATGAAATATATTAAATTTAACATATCATTTCTTACAATGTACAATATATTTGTTAAAACTTTCTCTTACCATTTTGAATCAGCAATGGCGTCGGAATTCGATACAATTACAAACACGAAATAAGCAATAATGGATTCTAAGGTCTATATGTATAATATATCTAATGCAAAATACGCATGTATCGATAAACGCGGACGAAGCAGTTCAGATAAATATACATTCAAATTCAAGACGATATATCTCATATTAGACGACCAATGTCATAAATATAGTCCGTTAGCAGTCGTTGGTTATTTCGCTCGAAAACAACCGAATAAACTGAGCGAAAATTAAAATAATGATTTGAATTTACTCTAAAGGAAATAAGAAGATAAAATACATCACACGTTTTAAAATCAACACAAAAATTTATTTGTACGAGTTAGGACACGTGTACAGTTGTTATGGCGGTATGAAATTAACATTCTTCTGTATTCCTATCATGGGACAAGCAGGACTGTTGAACATGTTCTTTTGCCGGTTAATAACTTACATAGATGTAAGCTCATTGTCATCAAAATCAAAAATCGAAATGAGCTTTACAGAATATATTTGATTAAATCGTATTTTTTTTAAATATTTAATTTTGTCCGGTGTTATTTTGATCTTGGTAGGATTATCGTTTGCGTATTTCAGGATCTGAAACAAATTGTTATCGAAGAACAACATGAACTTATCTTGCCGTTTGAATACTAAGTCACTGCTTAATGTCTTATGTTATTGATTTAAAACTATATATATATTATAAGATGTAGAAAATAATTGAAAATAATGATGAAATGCACTTGGGAAAAAGTATGATGTACGAAACAGTGAGATTTACCTTGTCAAGTTGGTATTTGGAATACACATTCATGATGATTTCAACTAATTTGTCCACATTGCCTAATTTATTGCTTAGTTCACTGCAAGATCAAAACAATAAGATGATCGTAAATACACAAATATATACGGTGATAAACGTTGCATGTAGTAAAAATAAGAAAAAGCATAACTTTACCTGGAAGGTATATAATCGAAATTTTTCAAGATAAAATCGAGTATTTTGTCTTTTCTTGCGTGTTTCTTCAGAATAGCCTGATATAATTTCCTCTGCTGTTCATTGTTCAAATATAGCCACTCATTGTCTGTTTTAAAGATGTCTGCTGTCAAAAGATTTGTTATCATGTCATTGTTATCGTTACAGGCCAAATTATATAACATATCTAAGTTATTTCCGTGCTTGATGTTATTCTGCACTCTATTCCAAATTGTGTTATTTGTTTTCATCAAGCCCGCGCAATACACCCAGTCCTTCCACCACGGTAAAATTCTACATAGAACATGAAACGACAAACAAAATTGTGGTAAATATTTATTTTCAGGTTTGACCACGATTGGATGATTTTAGAAAACGTTGCATGAAGTATACGGTTCAAAATTAGGACGTGTAATAACTAATTAATTACGGTAAATCCAAATATTGGGACGATAATTACGGGTATTTTACGGGATCTTCGATGTGTTTTGCCAACATGTTATTGGCTTCTTGTCTGCATCGGTCAGAACCGTGTTTACAAGACCAATTCAGAAGTAATAATCGCATAACATTCTTTCGGAGATTATGTGTATTCTTCTCATAATATCCCACTTCCGTTATTATAAGCTCGTCCATGATACGCAACATGTATTTCTGGAAAAATCATGCAATAATATTAATTTTCCATATGATATATTCACGAGAGGGAAATTTTATTTGTAAAATTTTATTTCCGTAAGGAAATTATCTGTATGTAAATTCAAAACGTCGTAATATTCAGCTGTTATTTTTATCACTGCAAGCGCACCTTAAAGTTAAAACTTTGTGCGAATTTGAAGAAAGATGACATGTAATGCAGGACATTCATCATAGTATGCCATACTATAAAACTGGTTTCTTTCCTTAGGTATGCGATCAGGCAATAGTAAGTGTGGTAATTCATATTGTTCTCCATTAGAAAATAATACGCATCATCGAGAATTTGAGCACGATTTAGAACGTGTATCTGTTTGTAATTGCTGTTATTTAGAAAAGATGCTATTCTCAGCCAATCCTGATTATCGTAATTCACACGATAGTAACCTGTTATTGAAATGAAAAATCAGTTCCACTGATTATGACTTACTATCTGTTTTATATGATAAAATCGTATAACCGGCAGCTATGCGCATGGTCGGTTACTCACCGAACTGTTGTATATTTAATAGGATCCATTGGTTCTGATTGATGTGAGTAATTTCTACAGAAGAATTATCATTTAACCATAGTAGTTCCGAATTATTCATGTATAAACTAGAATACTCGGGTGTATACACAGCATAAGTTATTGGTATCGACAATACATGTTGTCTACGAAAAGTGTGTTCCACATTATAACACGTAACAGTCATCGAATTTGAATTGTAATTTCGTTTAACCATTAACGTAGGATATTTTTTTTGCAATAGCCATATGTGCATTACGGACTTTATGTCAATGTGTGTTTTCATTGCTTCATGCATTTTATTATTTATGATCGCGAAGAAAATATTTGGTGAGATGTATTTGTTCATACTGCAAAAATAAAATGCTTTTCTATAATGAAAGTCCGAGGGTGCAAATTTACTTTAATAGTATGTATTTAAAAGTTGCGAATTTTGATACGTGTGTGTTATTTATCCATTTTCCCAATAAATATATTAATTTATATAAAAATTCAAGAGATTTTTATATTACATTTCCGAACCGTAATTTGTTGCATTATATCATATTACAAAAATGTATTACTTACTATCTATGCAAGTACTCGATATAAGCTTCTCGAAAAATTTGCTTTGTAACGATATGTTCCAACATCCTCATTAATACAGATGCTATGATATAATAAAAAGTCATAAAAAATATAACAGATAAGTTTAAAAAAAAATTAACAATATGTGCATGTATGTAGTTACTTAATATTGTCGGCGTTGCAGATAAAAGTTTGTTTGAATATTGTCAGACATATCGTCTCCATTCGCGATCAATATAATTAAATTTTATAAATTAATATAAATTATAGTAATCTATATAAAAACAAGTTGGCCAATCGTTGCAACAAAACGTGTTTTATATTATTTCTATTCGGTAATATTGCGAATAATTATTGAATTGAATTTACTCGATATAATTTTAGCCATATCTTGATTTTAAAGAACGAGCATACTAATAATTATATCATAAATTTATGCGTTCTCACCTTTCTTATAAATGAATGGAGAATAAATCAGATCGTATCGTAAATTAGGATAAGGAGCAACATTACGCCAATAATAATAATTCGATTCGTATATGTGCACGATGGATGACACATTGAGAGCAACATCGTTATACATAGCAGGCTGTTGAATCTGCACTACAAAGAGTTGCATCGTCTCTACTTCGTTAAAATCCTAAAATTACAAGTCATATAGATGAAGATGAAAAGGGATGCTGAACTTGACGACATATGTTACCAAAAACAACAATAAAATATCACTGTAACATGTTGTCACAGAATAATAACCCGTGATATTGCAAGTGGGGTATGTAATAAAGGAATAATTTCTGCCCGATGCTTTAAACTACATGAAATCTTTCGAACAATTGTACGACAATAGTTGTTGTTTTTCGATTTCATAGTTATAGAGAATAAATTTGCTAAGTCTGAATCCTCGCGCTGACGCTAATGAGCGTGTCGTTTAATTCTAAGTAAAATGTATCGTTGATGTGTGTGTGTGTGTGTGTGTGTGTATGTGTGACGATAACGACATAAAAAGATTAATCACCTCCATGAGGATTTTATAACTGAAAAACAAGGCAAGTGCTCTGCTGAACCACAGGTCAGGCCAATCAATTGGGCTGAGGACATTTTCAGTGCACTGTCGTGCCATTTCGTACGTAATTAGCTTCCATATATCGAGTGTGCGACCGGGAAAGTGATATTCTGGCATATAAAGGAGATCGCTTTCTCTGAAAATTACGTTTGGAAGTAAAATTATTCGTAGATATTGAAGTAGTTCGAAATAAACTATTTTACATCTTTGCATGACCATCGTGACGACAAAACTACGCGTTTAATGAAATTCCGTTGAGTTGAAAGTTCTGAACGAGTCATCTTTCTGCCCGTCATATTACTGATAATGTTTCAATTATGTGCATTACCTGAAAACTGCCAATCCCATACTTCCTGTAGATTTCATCGGGAGATGCGGATATCCGATGATCTTGACTATAAAACGTTGCCAGAGATTTTCCGTATAATAAATCAAGAAAGTCTCGGTCGCGTCAATGATGTCTTCCACTAGTTCAAATGTTTCAGAAGTCATAGTTGAACTGAACCATATATCTTCCAGTGAGTATTTGTTGTCGGATGGAATAATAGCCATCGTCACTTGATAAGTAGACATCGGGGGTGTAAGTTCAAATATCGTCAACATATTCATGTTTGACAATATGATATTTCTTTTGTGCGGCATATTCGAGAAGACTTGGATATCCTGCTGATGCTCGATGGAAATGTTGAACGGTGTCTTGTATGATGGCACGTCCCAACATGGAAATATGAGTCGCGCCTTATACGGTTCAAAGTCAGTTATATACGACCACTTGCTCATTTTTCTACAAAAGAAGCTGCGATAAGTATCGAAACTCGATCGCCCCGAGACATACTGTGGTCTAATAACCCAAACGACTTTCGCGATATGCATAATTCGGCGGCGAATATCGGGTTAACTTATTAACCAATGACGTTCTTTTGACTCGAAGGATTAATCTATTATTCTGTTGTCCGGATGAAGTTTCGCTCAATCAAACTTGGAGAATAATATGCATAATAATATATCTGGAATTTTTCTCTCTACAGCTTTTCTCCGTGCGCAATAAATTTACTTTCTTTAGGTACTTGTATCTAAATATATGATTGAAGGTCAATATTTACTAACTTATTGACACACGCTCGATTCTTTTGTATCATATGAAATGTAAATTTATACATAATAATTAAATATAATAATATCTATATATATAACAAAGAATTTAAAGTTTTAAATAAAAATATAAAACGTATACGATAAATATTGCTCTAAAAAAATTTATGATTCCAAATTATAATTAAAGATGAAATGGTACGAGTTTGCACAAATAATATTGCAAAACTTATTTGCTCTTGAGCGAAGTTGAAAATTATAAATGTCACCCGAGTCTCTTTCAATATATCGCGCACAGAGAAAAATCTCGGTTAGAAATGTGGAAACGGTACGGTTTTTATATCTTAACTGACACTTACTTTTTATTTTGTACGACTTCGTGTACAGTCTGGACGAAACCTAGGCGTTCCTCCATTAATACTCCTCTATATTTCATGCTTAGTTTATAAAGCCCTGGACGTACATAACTGTCGAATTTCAGAATTAAAATCTGCGCGTCACCGCAATAACTGTATGCCTTCAGTGTTCCGATCATATATCCTTGGTTTAAATCTTTCTGTTCTATCAACGTTATCGTATCCTTTTCTATGTACAGGTTGTGTACGTGCAAACGTATTTCCTGAACTGCAGCTGATATTGCAATTTCTATAGTAATGTCTCCATCAAAACCGCTTTGGTATATTTTCAACTTGATATGGTAGATTTGCGGTATTATGTTATCCACTAAATAAATATATGGCTCTATTTCATGTGGATACAAAGTACAATATCCCCATTGGCGCGTATTAATGTCAGTTGCAACGACAGATATGATTCCAATGTTGAGCAACAGACTGAGGAGTGCTACGCCAATTCTTGTTTCAATCATCTGTAAGAAGAGTTTATTTAGACAAATAACAAGAAACGAAGTACACACATACGCGCGCATTCATATATGATTGAAAATTTAGAAAATTGTTGAACCAGTTAATCAATAATGCCGTGATATATTTGTGAGAAACTTTTCTTACCTTTCCGAATTAGCAGTAATCAAGTCTTGTTAGAGGCACAAATTGCCCAACGGTAATTTTGAAAGTCTATATATACCTTATGCAAAAAGCATCGAGTATCGATAGACAAGGACAAATATTAACAGGCGATTCTGATAAATAAACATCCCATTTTAAATTACTTACCTCTTTTCACGCGACCATTGTCATAAATATTGTTTTCAGCATAGTTACTTCACATAGCTGTTCGTTATTTTGATAAAAAATAACTGACATAAAATAAGCGAAAATTGAAATAATCGATTGAACTTATTTGATAAGAAATGGAGAGATAGAATCATTTTAAATTTCAAAATCAACAATAAAATTTATTTGTTAGTAGTAACAATAAAATTTATTACTAGTTATAACATGTGTATAATTATCGTGTTCGATTTGTCAGCATTTCTCTGGTTTCTCGTCATGAGGAAAACGATTTACGAACATTTGCTTCTCCACGTTTATTCGTTTCATTCGTATTGCCAACAAACGTCTAACTTCGACTAATGGATATTGTTTCCAGATAAAACTATTTTCTACGTACTTCAATATCTGAAACAGATTGTTACCATTTATCGGAAAGCAAATATAGTTTGACGGCAAACTTTGTCGGTGCATTGATCTTATAATGAATTTAATACAACGACAACATGCAGTGGCGTTAAACAATAAGTTGAGGAATATTGCGCCAATTTTCGTTCGAATCGTCTATAAGAACGGGTTTTTAAATGAAAAAGAGAAGATGAAATGCATAAACGATACACATATTCGCACCCACAAATAATCGAGAATTTAATTAACTAATATTTGTATGGATTCAATATAATTGTGTCAGAGTTTTCGCTTATCATTTCGAATCGGTAACGACTTGCAAACTCGGTATTATGAGTACGCAAACGTGGTATTATGAGTATGCAGCATCCGCTAGCGAATTCAAAAGTTTATATATGCTTTACGCAAGGAGCGTAAATAAAACGATAGGATATCATATGGTCATAAACGAGAGGCAAGTCCAAAAAATAAACATTCCAATACAAATTCAAAATTAATCGTCGCTTCTCATGCGATAGCGGTCATAAATATAATTTGTCATCAACAAAAATACGCATTTATGACTTTACTCGAGTATGTCGGACCAAAATATAAGCTAAAATAAATAATAGATTAAACTTTCATGTGAAAGGAGATCATGGAAATAAAGATCGCAAACTTCAAAATGTGCATTAAAATTTATTTGTATAGTTTACAAAATAAGTATTATTCTTATCCGATTAATTAGCATTTAATTTGCTTTGCAACGTAGGGGAAACGATAAATAAACATATCCCTCTGCTTAGATATTTGTGACATTTGTCTCGTTAATATACGTTTAACTTCATACATCGCTTCATCCAAATTCATATTATTGTTTACGAATTTCTTAATCTAAAACAAATTGTTAATATTTATTTAAAAGCAACAATAATGCAGGTTGCTGAACAATAAACAATTTTGTTGTTGCTTTGTCTTACATTTTCGTAAAAAATGTAAAACAATGGATGCGAAAGTGATACGTAGAACATAATAATTAATTCCGTTTACAAATAAACATAAATGATGATATAAAATTCACCTTTTCTAGTTGGCATTTAGAATAAACGCTCATGATAACGTGGCCTAATTTCTCGAGAAGGGTCATGTTACTGGAACATAAACCATTGTTATAAGATCAGGAGTAAATAAATAGATACATATGTATCTATTTATTGGTGATGGATGTTGCAAACGGTCAAGGGATATAAAACAGAATTTACCCTGGTGATAGATGAACCATAGTTTCCAACAAAAAATCTAATATTTTAGACTTTCTTGCGTGCTTCTTCACAACGGCACGATATAAGTTCTCCTCTTGCACATAATCCAATGGCGACATGATATTATCAGATTTAACCAAAGTCAACAAATTCTGTATCGAGTTATCGTCGTCGTAACAGCTCAGATATTGGACCACATTTTCATCAATCTCGCACAACATTTTATTCCTTATCAGTCTCCTTAACTCCCGATCCGGCTTCATAACGCCTGCGCAATATACCCAATTCTTCCAGCCCGGTAAAATTCTATATGCAACATGAAAAGACATTAACAATTTGCATTGATCACCTTAAGTCCCTGCTTTCATCCAATGATTGTGTATTCCGGTTGCATAGAAAATACAATAAAGAATAGCGATATTAGCTAACAGTTGAGAAAAGATTTCCGATGAAATAGATAATTACAGTGATTCTTTAGCATATTTCACGTATGCTCTTAATTTATCGCTGGCCGACTGTTTGCATTTGTCATTGCCGTGGTTACACATCCAATTGAGGAGTAACAATCGCGTACTTTTTAACATATTATCATCAGTAGGTTTCTCATCGTATCCTATCTGCGTCAATGCATCATTCATGATGTCCATTATGAAGTCCTGAAAATGTCATTGAGTAATTTTAATTTTCTGTATCATTTTTATGTCACGTTGTTTCATTTGTTTATATCGCTTGTATTTTATTTTTGAAATCATATTCCTAGAAACTACTATCGCTGAAACGGTATTGAAATTTTTCAAAAATTCAATAAAATAACTATATTTGTAAAGGTAGAAAAAATATGATTTCATCGCAAAAATATAGGAAGCTCAAAAGTTGTGATAGTGCGGTGGTAGTATACAAGCAAATCCGATATCTGAAACATTGTAATATGGAACTGTTCTCATCTCTGTCACTATGTACCTTGAAACCTTCACTCTCTGGGAATTTAAAGAAAGGCGACGTATAATGTAACACATTCATCATAGAGTGCCATACTATGAAATCAGTTTCGTTTCTCAAGAAGTCAATTATCTCATAATAAAACTTGTAATCCATTGTACCCATCATTACGAAATGATATGCGTCGTCGATGAGTTGAACGCGATTTAAAACAGGAATAGTCTTTCCGTAGTCTTCTTTCAAGAAATGTGCAATTTTCAACCAATTTGAATTATCGTAACGAACACGGTAGTAACCTGTTGTAGAAACTTTGGCTTACACACCTCGATTATATCATTTAACATTTTCTGTGATAATATTGAACCGATATTTTTCCTGGTAACAGTATGTACTCACCAAAATATTGTACATTTAATATAATCCAGTCTTCTACATTGTCCAATGTTAATTCTAGATAAGAATTCCATTTCGTGTAATTGTAATTCATCCAATATATAAGAGCATACTGGCTGAATTGAGGATCTTTCTTCGTAGCATAAGTCAGCGGAACTGGCCATTTGATTGAATTGTGGAAGTCACGTTTTATCTCATTATATACGTAATACGTTTTGGTATAGGGATTTTGTACAATTATTACTATAGGATAGTATCTCTGCGATAGCCAGATGGACATTATGTCTGTTATCATATATCCAGATTTATTGAATTTACTCAAAATATTGAAGAAATCAATTGGTGTACTGGATCGATACGCACTGTATAAATAATATGTCTTTATATATTTCTACAATTTCATTCATTTATCTAAAAGTATATTTATCCGAAAATCAAATAAAATTTTAATGTAACATATTCAAATAACACATTGACCTCTAGAATTGCGATTGTGTAATAGACCGTGTGTTATTATATTTAAATTGTTATCATATCATACTGTACCAAATTAAATATAATTGTCGTATTATATTGTGTTATAACGCATTACTTACTATATATGTAAATACTCAGCAACGGCTTTCTGGAACACCTCTTTTGAAACAATTTGCTCTATCATCTTTAATAATACGGATACTGCGAAATAATTGAAATTATGAAAAGTATAAAAGGATAACATTAATTTAAAGAAATTGTAACAATACGCATGCACAGTTATTTCAGTTATTAGTCATATTATCGATATAAATTATGTGAAAATTAGCTCTAAACATTGAAACTTAATTCAACTAAAGCTATTTTCATTCAACTAAAATGTTTATAGATAATTAGATTAGATTCCACCAATTGGACGATTTTATAATTAACTGATTCAGTAAATTGCAAACGAACTGTGTACACGTTAAAAAAATGAACTGTTAAGTAACAGGTGCTTTATCTTTTCACATATAAGAGGTTGTCCACAATTACAATTATTTCATTTGACTTTCTCCACATCTGATTCAAAAATCATATATGCTATTTTACATCGTAACTTTTGCAACTTCTCACCTTTCTTGTAAACGAAAATGGAATAAATTGGGTCATATGGGTCTGTAATAGATGGCACCTTGAGAGCAATATCGTTATGCATAGCGGGCAGTTGAACCTGCACTACAAAAAGCTCCATCATCTTCTTGGAATTAAAACTCTAGAATAAAAAAAGTTACGAATATTCGCAGTAAAAATGATGCAAAACTCAACGATACGTATCTCGATCTTGCTAAAAAGAAAGACATAAAATAGGAAAAAAAGCCACCTGATATCCAAGGATATTATAACTGAGATATAATGCAAGTGCCTTGCTGAAACACACATCAGACCAGTTATTTAGATTGATGAAGCTTTGAATGTATTGCTCTGCTTTTGCGTACGCTATCGTCTTCCATATCTCCAGTATACGACCGGCAAATTGTATATTTCTATCGTAGATGAGATCACCCTCCCTGGAAATCACATTTGCTAATAATATGATCATATTGCGAGTTTCTTTACGCCAATGAATGAGTCGTAAGAACTAAAAATAAAGAGTTAGATCGATTGTATCCAATATCACGATATATTTCAAAAATACTGCGTGACCAAACAGATTACGACAGTAAACTGCTTTGCATTCGGATGTAAATGTAAATATAGAGCATTTAACGTTTAATGTCGCGTATAATTTTTTCATAATATTCTTATTATATGTATGGCTTACCTCAAAAATACGAGTTGTCTGGCCCCTATTGTATTTCGCAGGACATCGGAGAAAATCACAATTATCGAAACTTCCAAGCGTGTCTGTGTGTATTGTGTTAAAAATTCATCAGCTATGTAAATGACGGACCTCACAAGTGAATCCGTCTTATTGGTACCTTCTTGTTCGAACCATATGTTATACTGTGATTCAGATAACTCATCCAACTTGATAACAGCGATTGTCAATAAATCGGTGGATATCACGGGCGCAGGTTTGAAAATCGTCTGTATTGTGTCTTCTCCTACCCGCTCATATTTTTCTTCTACTATATTAGAGAAGACCCGATAGCTACCCAAATATTCGACGGAGATTTTAAAGATCGGTTTAGAAATTACTTCTTTCTTCCAGCATGGAAATATATATTCCCCGTTGCCTGCTTCAAACATCGTCACGTATGACCAGCTGATGGAGTTGCAATAAAAACAAAACTTTACTTTAACAAAATGCACTAAAGATTAAGCCACTTGTTTTTACATATTTGTTCGATTGTTTTCCATTGTGTGAAATCTTATATTGTACGTATAATAATAATAGCGGACGGGAAGGAACAGAAACTACTACTTTGTGTATAATTGCACCGGATTTGTTTCTTAGTTTGTTTTAGAAGATAGAAGAATATTGCGAATTTCTTGGCGTGTCGTGAGCATAGGCACCAAAAAGGTTTATCAATTGCGGAATAAAAATGGTGATATTCACGTATTTTAATCGCAACTCACGTTACATTATCTTTTTCCTTTTCCTGTTTGATCCGGTGGAATCCATTTTTTTCATACGGGGAGCCTCTGTACCTCATGGTTATGTTATAATATTCGGGACATATAAGCTCGTCGAATAACAACGTTACAGTGTTTGTCGCTTTACAATGATAAATATCCTTAGGTTGCTCTACTTCAGCGGAGTTTGGATTATATTGCGAAAGCACTATCGATTGTAGGTCTATTTCCAAGTAGCTAACATAGAAAGCTATTATTTCCGTTTTTTCAAGTAATTCGAATGATATGGTAACTTTTCCTTCAAAATACGACTCTTCTATTCTCAACCAAACATTATAATATTGAGACACTATTGTGGACAGCAAATGCCGTGTGAACGATGTGTTGTAGCATTTACTTGTTTTATTGGGAGTATCAAATTCAGATGGGAATATCAGGCCGGTATAGATCGATAGGGTGACGAACACCACTCCAAATCTCGTTCTAAGCACCTGTAAAAATGATTCTTCTTTTCGGATGAATTACGGACAAAATACAGTCATGCATTCCCAAATGATTATCAATTTTATTTGTAAATCGCACTAATTAATCGGCACAATGTGATTAAAATATAGTTGAGATTGCTACTCTTACCATTTTATACTTGCTACTTTTACATGATTTGTCGTCTTTACAAGAGCCCTAACTGATTTGTGAATAACTTGAAAATCAATTTATATATATATATATATACTTTTTTTTTAGTGTCTAATATATTCGGAAAATCTGGAAAGTCTGTATATGCTGAGGAAAGTAAAGGTATATTAAGGACAGATACGGCTAACTATAAGTATCTCACGCGCCCGTTGGCTTAAATATCATCCGTTATCAGCAAAATTATTTCTTCTTTAGATCTTTCGTGACTTTGACCGTGTACAATAGCCCAAAGTATAAACAAAAATAAAAATAAAAATAATGGATTGAGCTTATTCGAAAAGAAATTATACGGATATGAAGCTCACAAATATAAACAACTACATTAAAATTTATTTGTATGGGACACAATATAATAATTATTTTTACATAATTAGTTAGCATTCCGTATTTTTCACATTGTAGGGAAAATGATGCACGAACATATCCTTTTCCTTAGATATTTGAGACATTCGTCTTACTAATATACGTTCAGCTTCATAGATCGACTTATCCAAGTTGATATTATAGTTTATGTATTCTGCAATCTAAAACAAATTGTTAGTATTCATCTAAAAGTAACAATAATGCAGCTTGCTGACAAATAATTTCCTTATTGCCCTGTCGTTTTCGTAAAAAATGTAAGGCCATATATGCAAAAATGATGCAAAATAATAATGAATTTCTTAGAAATGTACATAAAGAATAATATAAAATTTACCTTGTGCATTTGGCACCTTGAATGCACGCTCATAATAACGTGACCTAATTTCTCGAGAAGGCTCATACTACTGCAACATGAACCGTTGTTGTAAAATTAGTACTAAATAGATAAATACGTACAGTGACTAATGTTGCAAACGGTGAAGGAAAATAAAACAGAATTTACCCTGGCAATAGATGAATCATATCTTTCAAGATAGAATCTAATACTTTAGACTTTCTTGCATGCTTCTTCACAATGATACGATATAAATATTTCTTTTGCACATCGTTCAATGGCGTCGCCATTGGGAAAATGTTATCGCTAGACTTAAACATAACCGAAGTTAACAACTCTTGTATCGAATCATCGTCGTCGTAACAGGTCATATATTGGACTATATTTTCACCCATCTCGTGCAAAATTTTATGCTTCACCAACGTCCTAACCTCATAATCTGGCTTCATAAGCCCCGCACAAAATACCCAATTCCTCCAACCCGGTAAGATTCTGCATGCAACATGAAAAGACATTAATAATTTATATCAAATAGAACTATTTAAATCTTTGCTACGATCAGATGATCTTGTATTCCTGTCGTACAGAAGATACGTTAAAAATGGTGATATTAGTTAATATTAAGAAAAAATGTTCAATCTATTGCATAATTACAGTAATTCGTTGGCATTTTTAAGGTATGCTTTTAATTTATCACTGGCTGACTGCCTGCATTTGTCATTGCCGTGATTACACATCCAATTGAGGAGTAACAATCGCGTACTTTTCAACATGTTATCATCAGTTGGTTTTTCATCATATCCTATCTGCGTCAATGCATCATTCATGATGTCTATTATGAAGTTCTGAAAATGTCATTAAGCAATTTTAATTTTCTGTATCATTTTTATGTCACGTTGTCTCATTTGTTTATATCGCTTGTACAGATTTTATTTCTGAAATCATACTCCTGGAAACTATAAATGCTATCGCGGAAAAGTTAAAAGCGTCATGGAAATTTTCCAAAAATTTAATAAAATAAATTTATCTGTATAGGTAGAAGGAAATATAATCTCGTCGCAAAAATACAGAAAATTTAACATTTGTGATAATGCGGTGGTAGTATACAAGCAAAGCCAATATTTGAAACATTGTAAAATGGTTTTACTTTCTTCATTACTATTATGTACCTTGAAACCTTCACTCTCTGGAAATTTAAAGAAAGGCGACATATAATGTAACACGTTCATCATAGAGTGCCATACTATAAAATCAGTTTCGTTTCTCAAGAAATCAATTAACTCATAATAAAACTTGTAATCCATTGTACCCATCATTACAAAATGATACGCATCATCGATGAGTTGAGCGCGATTCAAAACAGATATGGTCTTCCCATTGTCCTCTTTCAAGAAATATGCAATTTTCAACCAATTTGTATTATCGTAACGAACACGGTAGTAACCTGTTGTAGAAACATGGACTTACACACCTTGATTATATCATTTAACATTTTCTGTGATAATATTGAACCGGTCTTTTTCCTGGTAACTGTGTACTCACCAAAATATTGTACATTCAATATAACCCATTCTTCTACATTGTCCAAAGTTAATTCTAGATAGGAGTTCCATTCTGTATAATTGTTATTTAGCCAATGTATAAGACCATACTGGTCGAAATGAGGATCCTTTTTCGTAGTATAAGTCACCGGAATTGGCCGTATAATTGAATCATTGTGGTCTCTTTTTATTTCATTACATATAATGTGATACGTTTTGTTATATTGCCTAGCTACCAATACAGGATAGTACCTTCGCGACAGCCAGATAGACATTATGTCTGTTATCACGTTTTCAGGCATTTCATTCAATTTACTTAGGATACTAAAGAATTTGTTTGGTTTACTGATTCGATATTTACTGTATAAATAATATATTTTTATATATTTCTACCGTTTTATTCATTTATCTAAAAATGTGTTGGGTTATTCGGAAAATAATTTCGATTTTCTCAAATAAATGGTGTTAGTTGTCTTTTTAAGCAATTAACTTCATTCTAAGTCAGAAAATCATTTTATATTTTTACAAGGCACATTTCAAGCTTCATTTAAAAATAGTTGTTTTGGAATCTGTCAAGTTGTTTGGCGTCGTATGAAAAATGAAAAACCAACGTGAGCATTTTGGTCACCTCCTGCTTTTTTATTATCGTAAAGACAAAAGTGCAACGCAAGCGGGAAAATAATTGTTTGCCATGTATGGATAGGATGTGTTGACTGAACGTCAGTATGAGAATCGGTTTTCGAAATTTCGTTCTGGGAATTTCGACCTCAAATATGCACTATGTTCTGGAAGGCCAGTTGAGGCTGGTGAAGACCAAATAAAGGCATTGATTGACGCAAATCATTATTTAACAACACGAGAAATTGCTGAGAGATTGAATTTATCGAATTCGACTATGCATGAGGAGTTGAAACAACTTGATTTCGTTCCAAAGCTCGATATTTAGGTTCTATATACTTTCAAAGAAAGAGATTTGATTCGTCGCATTACCATCTGCGATTTACTGCTGAAGTGTATGTAAAATAATTCATTTCTAAAGCAACTTATAACTGGAGATAGGAAATGGATTGTGTAATATTAAAGTACAGTAATATTAAACGCAAAAGATCATGGAGCAGAGATGATGGACCAGCTCAAAGCACATCGAAAGCTGATATCCATCAAAAAAAGCAATGCTCTCTATTTGGTGGAATTGGAAAGGAATGGTCTTTTTTGAGCTTCTACTAAACAGCTAAACGATTGATTCGAATGTGTATTGTCGAATGTGTATTGTCATCAATTGGATAAATTGAATGACTCCATCAAATAGAAGAGACCAGAATTGGTGAACAGAAAAGATGTGTTTCATCATGACAATGCTAGACCTCACACAAGTTTAATGACTCGCTAGAAGCTGTTACCGTTTGGATGGGATTTACTACTGCATCTACCATGTTCACCTGATCTGACATCATCCGATTACACTTGTTTCGGCCACTGCACAATTCTTTGGATAGTCAAAATTTCGATTCGAATGAAAGTGTCAAAAATCACTTAATTCAGTTTTTTGCCAATAAGGACCAGAAGTTCTATAAGCGTGAAATTATGTTATTACCTCAAAGATGGCAAGAGGTGTTAGAAAAAAATGGTCAATATTTAACAGAATAAAACTTTTCTTTTTATTAAAAATATCGTCTTCCCTTTTCATGCAAGAAGCCAAAATTATTTTCCGAACAACCCAATTTATATCCAAGATTTATATAAATTTTTAATGCAACACGTTCAAATAATAAATTGACGTTTAAAATCGCAATCGCGTAATAGATCGCGCATTGTTATATCTCAACTGTTATATCATGTTAAACTGCATAAAATTGTTGTATTATATTGTGTTATAACGCATTACTTACTATGTATTTAAATATTCGACGACGGCAATATGGAACTTCTCTTTTGAAACAATATGTTCTAACATTCTTAATAAAACGGATGCTGCAAGATAATTCAAATTATGAAGAGTATAAATGATAAGATTAATTTAAAAAAAGACTAACAGTTATTAACAGCAGCATAGTTATTTCGAAGCTATTTTACGAACATAAAATATGAGTGAAGTCAGTCCTGAACTTTCACATCTTTTGTTTTCATTTTATTATTTAAAAGAGTAGATTCTATTAATTTTAGGTGGACAATATTATAATTCACCGCTCTAAAGTAAAGTGCAGACAAACTAGACAGATATTTTAAGAAATATAATATACTAGGTGCGCAACCAAGTTTCCGGGTTTCACACATGGATGGCGCTAACTATACATATAGTCGACATACATGTCTGAAGTTGTGTTTTTTTTTGTAGCGTGGACATCTGTTAACAATAACCAGTCATAATACCAACACATATCGCAATGCAAAAATATTTTTTCTAACAACGAAGATGTCGAGTTTTATGCCAAATAAACAGCATTTGTGGGAAGCTTTGCTTTTCTGCTTTAACTTGAAAAGAAGTGCAACTGAAGCACGTCGTTTGCTTGAGGAGGCCTACGGCGAATATGCACCATCGAAAACTACCTGTGAAAATTGGTTTAGACGCTTCACAAGTGGCGATTTCGACACTGAGGATAAGGAGCGTTCCGGAAGACCAAAAACAATTGAGGATCGGTAACAATTGCCGATCTGCAAGCGTTATTGGATAAAGATGATACGCAAACACAAGATCAACTTGCGGAGGCATTAAACATGACTCGCCAAGATATTTCCAAACGTTTACATGCCATGGGAAAAATTCAAAGGGAAGGAAAATGAGTTGACTAAGAGACAGATGGAAAATCGAAGAGCCACTTCCGAAATTTTGCTTTTGCGGCATGAAAGAAAGAGTTTCCTGCATCGAATTGTTACTGGCAATGAGAAGTGGATATATTTCGAGAATCCCAAACGCAAAAAATCGTGGCTTTCACCTGGCGAAGCATCAACATCGACGGCACGGCCAAATCGCTTCGGAAAGAAGACAATGCTCTGCGTTTGGTGGGACCAGGAAGGAAGCATGTACTATGAGCTACTGAAACCGGGCAAAACTGTCAATGGGCATCGCTATCGATAACAACTGATCAATTTGAACCATGTATTGCTCGAAAAACGGCCAGAATAGCCGACACGAGACACGAACGAGTGATATTGCAGCACGAGAACGCTCCGTACCATCGCACTTCCATCGTCCAGGACACTATCAAAACGCTGAAACGGGATCTGCTACCGCACCCGCCGTATTCGCCAGACCTGGCCCCTTCCGATTATCACTTGTTCCGGTCGATGGCGCATGGCTTGGCTGGGCAGCACTTGGCCAATTTCGAAGAAGTGCAAAATTGATTGGATGAATGGTTTCGGTCCAAAGACGCGTCATTTTATCGACAAGGGTATTTATGTATTGCCAGAGAGATGGCAAAAATGTGTAGCTAGGGACGATACTTTGAATAAACCATTTTTTGTATTTCTCTTGAAATTTTCCATTTTTCATTGATCAAAAAACCCGGAAACTTAGTTGCGCACCTAATATGTTATTTTCTTTGGCAATTTATATGCTAAGTTTTGTCCTCATTTACATTTATTTCATTTGCCTTTATCGTATATTATATCGTAACACTTTATATTCTCTCACCTTTCTTATAAATCTATTCTCACCTTTCTTATAAATGAGAGTTGAATAAATTGGGTCATCTGTACGTAGGATGGATGGCACTTTGAGAACAATATCGTTGTGCATAGCGGGTAGTTGAACCTGCACTACAAAAAGTTGCATCATCCGTTCCTTATCAAAACCCTGGAATGAGAAATTACGGACGTTGGCAGTATAAATAACACAAATTCAACGATGCATATTTTAGCTCTGCTAAAGAAAAAGAGATAAAATAAAAAAGAAAATAAAAAATCACCTGTCCGAGGATATTGTAACTGAGATATAACGCTAGTGCCTTGTGGAACCACGTATGAGACCAATGATTTGGATGGATGAAGTTTTGGATGTATTGTTCTGCTTTTCTATACGCTATCGTCTTCCATATATCAATTATACGACCAGGATAATGTATATCATTTTTGTAGACGAGATCACTCTCTCTGAAAATCACGTTTGTAAATAATACGGTTATATTAAGAGTTTTTTCACGCTTATAGACCGTAAGAATCGCCTATTAAAAATTGAATCATAAGAATTGCCCCGTAAGAATTAAAAACGAATATTCAAATCTATCGAAGAGATATCACGATATATTTAAAAAATATTGCACGTTTAAGCTTATTTTAACGTAAACAGTAAACGGCTTTACATTCCCTTGTGATCGAATAGAGCATTTAACCTTTAATATTTTCGTAATATTTTGATCATATGTGTGCATTACCTTAAAAATATGAGTTGCCTGGCTCCTGCTGTATTGCTCGGGAGATCGGAGAAAACCACGATTATCGAAGTTTCTAAACGCTTCTGCATATATAGCCATAAGAAATCATTGATTACGTTAGTGATATTCTTTATAACTGGGTCCGTTTCATTAGTGCCTTCTTGTCCATACCATACATCATTTTTTAATAAAAGTAACTTATTAAATTTGATAAGAGCGATTCTCAGTAGATTGATGCGCATTACAGGTGTAGGTAGGAAAGCCGTCCTTGATGTGGTTTTATTTATCCGTATAACACCTCGTTTTTGCATATTGGAGTAGACATGGTAGATAGGCAAATGTTGGATGATGATATAAAATGTAGCCTTGTAGGTTAATTCGTCCCGACATGGAAACACATATCGCGCGCTCTCCGGTTCTAACAGCATCACATATGACCAGCTAATCGAGTTGCAATAAAAACAAAATTTCACTTTAATAAGGAAACTTTGGACGCAGAATCGTTTGTTTACACTTCGTTTTCTTCGCATCGCGTAAAATATTAGATCACGCGTATAATAATTGCGGATAGGAAGGAACCGGAGCTACTTTGTATATAATTGCATCGAGATTATTTTTTCAGAAATTATTACACAACTCGGGAGTGTCTTGTAAATTTTTTGATGCATCGCACACAATCAACACCAAAGGAGTTAATTAATTGCAAAGTAAAAGCAGCGATATTCATATATATTTTAACCACAACTTACGTTTCATTGCTTTCTCTTTTTTCCTCTTTAATCTGATAGAAAGCTTTTGTTTTGTTAGTGAAGCCTCTGTACGACATGATTATGTTATAAGTACCGGGACAGAGAATCTCCTTGAACTTCACAATTACAGTGCTTGTCTCATTACAATAATAAATACCTATAGGCTGATCTATATCTCTGAGTGTTCGGTCATGTTGCCAGAGTATTACCGAATTATTCACTATTTCCAAGTACTTGGCATGGAAAATTAATGAGTACGTTTCACGAATTAATTCGAATAATATACGGACTTTCCCTTGGAAAGACAACTCTCCTGTTGTCAAAAAGATACTATAATAATTAGGTTGTACTGCGGACAGTAAATTCCGTATGAGTGGTTCAAAGTAGCATAAATTCGGTCCAAGAGGTGTATTAAACTCAGATGAGAATATCGGAGCGGCGTAGATCGATAATGTGAGGAACACCACTCCAATTCTCACTCCAGACATCTGTAAAAATGTTTTTCTTTTTATACATATAAGAGATAAAATATTCACGTACAAACAAATTATCAAGTATTTGTTTTCTAGTTGCTCCAATTAATTGGCGTAAATGCGATTACAATGTATGAGGCTGCTACATCTTACCATTACAAGTTCGTTATCATATCACTGTCTGTACAAGATCGCTGTCTGTACAAGAATATAAAATAATTGGTGTAATATTTTAATGCCTATGTATATATGTGTGTGTATATGTCTCTATATATATAGTCCCATACACAACACATATGCACACTTTAATCTAGTATATATGAAAATTCCCGAAACTTTATATTTGCCCTAGAAGCAAGGTGTATTAATGATAAATCCGGGCGAGTATCAGTACCTTATGATACTGATATCACCAATGTCATAAATATTGTCCGTTAATAGCAAAAATTACATCTTCCGTGACATTGTCCGAGTATGATAGCCCAAAATATAAACAAAAATAAAAATAATGGATCGAGCTTATTCGAAAGAAAATCGTACAGAAATAAAGTCCACAAATTTCATAATATTCATATTTATTATCTTTATTTATATGTATTATAATATGCATATTATTCTTATCCAATTAATTAGCATTTGGTTTCCTTTAGGACAGCATCGTGGGGAAAACGATGAATGAACATATTTTTCTCCTTAAATACTTGAGACATTCGTCTCCTTAATATATGTTTAGCTCCTCGCATCGTTTCGTCCGAATGAATATTATCATCTACGTATTTCGCAATCTAAAACAAATTGTTAATATTCACCTAAAAGAAACAATAATACAGGTTTCTGACAAACAATTTCTTCGTTGGTTTGTCATTTTCGTAAAAAATTTAAGACAATAGATGCGAAAATGATAGAAAATAATAATGAATTCCGCTTAGAGATGAACATAGGAATAATACAAAAAATTTACCTTTTGTAATTGGCACTTAGAATGCACGCTCATGATAACGTGACCTAATTTCTCGAGAAGAGACATGTTACTGCAATATAAACCGTTGTTCTAGCAAGGTCAGTAGTAAATAAACAAACACGTACAGTGATTGATGTTGCAAACGGTGAAAGAAAATAAAGCAGAATTTACCCTGGCGATAGCTGAATCATATTTTTCAAGATAAAATCTAATATTTCAGATTTTCTTGCGTGCTTTTTCACAATGACACGATATAAGTCCTCCTCTTGCTCATCGTCGAATGGCGACGTGATATCACGAGGCTTAAACGCAATCCAAGTCAACAAGTCCTGTATCGAATTATCATCGTCATAACAGGTTATATATTGCAGTATATTTTCATCCGTCCCGTTCCAAATTTTACTGTTCGTCAGCATCCTTATCTCCCGATCCGAATTCATGAGGCCCGAGCAATATACCCAGTTTTTCCAGCCCCATAAAATTCTGCATGCAACATGAAAAGACATTAACAATTTGTATCAAATAAATTTCCTTAAATTTTTGCTACTATCAGCTAATCTTATATTTCGGTTGCATAGAAGATATAGAGATTAATGAATAGCGACGTTAACTAACAATTGAAAAGATTTCCATTCAATTGGATAATTACAGTGACTCGTCAGCTTCTTTAAAATATGCTCTTAATTTATCGCTGGCAGCCTTTCTGCATTTATCATTACCGTGATTACACATCCAATTAACGAGTATCAATCGCGTAGCTTTCAACGCGTCTTCATCTATAACTTTTTCATAGTATCCTAACTCCATCAATACGTCACTCATGATGTCCATTATGAGTTTCTGAAAATGTCATTAAGCAATTTTAATTTTCTGTATCATTTTTATGTCACGTTGTCCCATTTGTTTATATCGCTTGTACAGATTTTATTTCTGAAATCATATGCCTGAAAACTGCAAACGCTACTGTTGGAAAGTTAAAGCCGTCTTCGAAATTTTTCAAGAATTTAATAAAATAACTATATTTGTAAAAGTAGAAAAATATAATTTTGTCGCAAAAATACAGGAAACTCAAAACTTGTGACAGAGCAGCGGTAGTATATATGCAAATCTGATATCTGAAACATTTTAATATGAAACTGCTCCCTTCATCGTCACTATGTACCTTGAAACGTTGACTCTCTTCGAATTTAAAGAAAGGCGACATATAATGTAACACATTCATCATAGAGTGCCATACTATGAAATCAGTTTCGTTTCTCAAGAAGTCAATTATCTCATAATAAAACTTGTAATCCATTTTACCCATCATTAGAAAATAATACGCGTCATCGATGAGTTGAGCGCGATTCAATGCAGGAATAGTCTTCCCGTTATCTTTTTTCAAGAAATGTGCAATTTTCAACCAATTTGCATTATCGTAACGAACACGGTAGTACCCTGTTGTAAAAGCATGGAGTTACATACGTCGACTATATTATTTAACAAATATTTCTTGTGATAAAATCGAACCGGTCGTTTTCCTGCTAACTGTGTGTACTCACCAAAATATTGTACATTCAATATAACCCAGTCTTCTTCATTGTCCAATGTTAACACTAGATCAGAATTCCATTCTGTGTAATTATTATTCAGCCAATATATAAGAGCATCCTGGTTGAATTGTGGATTTTTCTTCGTAGCATATGTTACCGGAATTGACCGTTTAAATGAATCATTATGCTTATGTTGTATCTCATTATATGTAATGTGATACTTTTTACCATCTTGTCTAATTATCACTATAGGATAGTATCTTTGTGACAGCCAAATGGACATTATATTTGTTATCATATCTCCAGGTATTTTTTTCAATTTACTCAGAATACTGAAGAAATCGTTTGGTGTCCTGGTTTGATACGCACTGCATAAATAATATATCTTTATATATTTCTACTATTTCATTCATTTATCTAACAGTATATATATGAGAGATTTAAATAAATTTTTAATGTAACACGTTTGAATAATACATTGATTTTTAGAATTGCGATTGTATAATTGACCGTGCGTTATTATATATATATTTCAACTGTTATACTATACCAAATTAAGAATAATTGTCGCAATATATTGTATTATGATGCATTACTTACTATGTATTGATAAATAAGGCAACGGCCTTCTGGAATACCTCTTTTGAAACGATTTGCTCTAACATCTTTAACAATACGGATGCTGCAGGATAATTAAAATTATAAAAAGTTTAAAAGGATGACATCAATTGAAAGAAATTGCAACAATATGCATGCACAGTTATTTCAGTTATTAGCCATTTTATCGATATAAAATATTTGAGTATTAGCTTTGAATATTGAAACATACTGTTTTCATTCAACTAAAATGTTTATAGATAATTAGATTAGATTCCACCAATTGGACGATTTTATAATTAACTGATTCAGTAAATTACAAACGAACTGTGTATACGTTAAAAAAATGAACTATTAAGTACCAGGTGCTTTTTCTCTTCACATAAAAGAGCTTGTCCACAATTATATTTATTTTATTTGACTTTATCCACATCTGAATCAAGAATCATATATGCTATTTTATATCGTAACTTTTGCAACTTCTTACCTTTCTTGTAAATGAAAATGGAATAAATTGGGTCATATGGATCTGTAATAGATGGCACGTTGAGAGCAATATCGTTATGCATAGCGGGCAGTTGAACCTGCACTACAAAAAGGTTCATCATCACATCCTTGAAGTTTACATTCTAGATTAAAAAAGATTAGAAAATTTGCAGTAAAAATGATGCAAAGCTCAACGATATGTATCTCAGTCTTGCTAAAGAGGAAGACATAAATTAGAAGAAAGAGCTACCTTTTCAAGGATGTTATAACTGAGGTATAACGTAAGTGCCTTGCTGAACCACATATGAGACCAATGATCTAGGTTGATAAAGCTTTGAATATATTGCTCCGTCTTTCCGTACGCTATCGTCTTCCATATCTCAAGTTTATGACCGGGAAATTGTACATTTCCTTTATAGACGAGATCACTCTCTCTGACAATCACATTTGCCAATAATTCAGTTATATTGCGAGTTTCTTCATGCCAATGAGTCATAAGAATTAAAAATAAAGGATACAAAGGGTATAAAGGGATTAGGTCGATCGTATCTAATATCACGATACATTTTAAAGATACTGCAGGATTGAATAGATAACGACAGTAAAAACGGCTTTGCATTCCCATGTAACCAAAGAGTATTTAACGTTTAACGTCGCATATAACTTTTTCATGATATTTTTATCATACATGTGGCTTACCTTAAAAGTACGAGTTGCCCGGTTCCTACTGTATTTCTCGGGATATCGGACAAAATCACAATATTCGAAGTTATCAAGTGTCTCTGCATGTATCCTATTAAGAATTCATCGGCTACGTCAATGACGGTTTTCACAAAAAAGCCCGTCTTATTAGTACCTTCTTGTCTAAACCATACGTTATATTGTAATTCAAATGACTCATTCCACTTGATAACAGCGATTGCTAGTAAGTCCACGGGCATTATGGATATAGGTTTGAAAATCTTCTGTAATGTGTCCTTGCCTCCCCGCACAATATTTTCTTCTGGTATATTGGAGATAACATGATAGGTACGCAGATATTCGACGGAGATTTTAAGAGTCGCCTTAGAAATTACTTCTTTCTTCCAGCATGGAAATATGTATTCTCCGCTGTCTGCCTCAAACATCGTTACGTATGACCAGCTAGTTGAGTTGCAATAAAAACAAAACTTTAAGAGGATATATGGAATGTTAAGTCGCTTGTTTTTACACGTTTGTTCAATTTCTTAGCGTTGCATGAAATATTAGATTTCATATATAATAATTGCAAACCGGAATGAACAGAAAAACTACTATTTTATGTATAATTACACCGAGTTTATTTGTTCGATGTTTGTTATAAAAGATAGGAATATTCTGCGAGTTTTTCGGTGTGTCGTGAACGATAGGCACCAAAGAGGATAATCAATAGCGTTATTTAAATATATTTTAATTTTAACTCACGCTACATTGCCTTTTTCCTTTTTGTTTTTGATCTTGAGGAATCCTTTTTTTTCATACAGAGAACCGCTGTACCTCATGGTTATGTTATAATATCCGGGACACACAATTTCTTCGAATATCAACGTTACAGTGCTTGTCTCATTACAATAATGAATATCCTTAGGTTGCTCTATTTTAAGGCAGTTTGGATTATATTGCTCAAATACTATTGATTTGAGATCTATTTCTAAGTAACTAACATGGAAAGGTATTATTTCCGTTTTACGAAGTAATTCGACTAATATGTTAGCTTCTCCTTGGAAAGACAACTCTTCTATTTTCAACGAAACGTTATAATACTGGGGTATTAATATGGACAGTGAATCCTGCACAATTGGTGTGAAGTAGCACATGTTTGTCTCCTCCCTGGATGTATCAAACTCAAATGAGAATATCAAATCGATGTAGATCGATAGGATAAGGAACACCACTCTAATTCTCGTTCTAAACATCTGTAAAAATAATTTTTTATTTTTGGACGAATCATGGACAAAATATAATAATCATGCATTCACAAACGATTATGAATTTTTCTTTAAATCGTTCCAATTAATCGACACTAATGTGATTACAATGTATTTGAGACTGCTACATCTTACCATTTTATATTCGGTATTTTTTCACGACCCGTTATCTTTACATAAGCACTAACTGACTTGTGAATAACTTAAAAACTAATTTGTGTACATGTATATACACCTCAGTGTTTAATACAATTAGAAAATCTGGAAAATCTGTATCTACTACTAAAGAAAGCAGGCACAATAATGACAATATGTGCAAATATAAGTATCTGACACAACCGATGGCATAAATATCGTCCGTTAAATTACATGACTTTGCCCGAGTACGTTAGTCCAAAATATAAACAAAAATAGAAATAATGGATTGAGTTTATTCGAAAGGAAATTACACGGATATGAAGCTCACAAATGTAAAAATCTATATTAAAATTTATTTGTGTGGGGTACAATATGTATATTATTTTTACATGATTAGTTAGCATTCCGTATCTTTCACATTGTAGGGAAAACGATGCACGAACATATCCTTTTCCGTAGATATTTGAGACATTCGTCTCATTAATATACGTTCAGCTTCATAGATCGACTTATCCAAGTTAATATTATAGTTTATGTATTCTGTAATCTAAAACAAATTGTTAGTATTCATCTAAAAGTAACAATAATGGAGTTTGCTCACGAATAATTTCCTCGTTGTCTTGTCGATTTCGTAAAAAAATGTAAGAATATCTAAGAATGTATGTGCGAAAATGATGTAAAATAATGATGAATTTCGCTTAGAAATATACCATATGGTACATTAGGAATGATATAAAATTTACCTTTTGCATTTGGCATTTAGAATGCACGCTCATGATAACGTGACCTAATTTCTCGAGAAGGGTCATATTACTGCAACATGAACCGTTGTTGTAAGATTAGTACTAAATAGATAAATACGACGGATGCTGCAAACGGCAAAGGAAAATAAAACAAAATTTACCCCGGCAATAGGTGAAATATATTTTTCAAGATAAAATCTAATATTTTAGACTTTCTTGCGTGCTTCTTTACAATGACACGATATAAGTGCTTCTTTTGCACATCATTCAGTGGTATCGCCATTGGGAAAATGCTAACGCGAGGTTTAAATATAACCCAATTCAACAAGTCCTGTATCGAGTCATCGTCATCGTAACAGGTCATATATTGGACTATATTTTCATCCATCTCGTGCAAAATTTTATGCTTCATCAGCGTCCTAACTTCATGATCCGGTTTCATAAGCCCCGCACAAAATACCCAATTCCTCCAACCCGGTAAGATTCTGCATGTAACATGAAAAGACATTAATAATTTACATCAGATAGAGCTATTTAAATCTTTGCTACGATCAGATGATCTCCGGTCGCACAGAAGATACGTTAAAAAATGGCGATATTAGCTAACAAATGAGAAAAAGTTTTCGACGAAATGGATAATTACGGTGATTTTTGAGCATTTTTAAAGTATATTCTTAATTTATCGCTGGCTGCTTCTCTACATTTGTCATTGCCGTGATTACACATCCAATTGAGGAGTAACAATCGCGTACTTTTCAACATGTTATCATCAGTTGGTTTTTCATCATATCCTATCTGCGTCAATGCATCATTCATGATGTCTATTATGAAGTTCTGAAAATGTCATTAAGCAATTTTAATTTTCTGTATCATTTTTATGTCACGTTGTCTCATTTGTTTATATCGCTTGTACAGATTTTATTTCTGAAATCATACTCCTGGAAACTATAAACGCCATCGCGGAAAAGTTAAAAGCGTCATGGAAATTTTCCAACAATTTAATAAAATAAATTTATCTGTATAGGTAGAAGGAAATATAATCTCGTCGCAAAAATACAGAAAATTTAACATTTGTGATAATGCGGTGGTAGTATACAAGCAAAGCCAATATTTGAAACATTGTAAAATGGTTTTACTTTCTTCATTACTATTATGTACCTTGAAACCTTCACTCTCTGGAAATTTAAAGAAAGGCGACATATAATGTAACACGTTCATCATAGAGTGCCATACTATAAAATCAGTTTCGTTTCTCAAGAAATCAATTAACTCATAATAAAACTTGTAATCCATTGTACCCATCATTACAAAATGATACGCATCATCGATGAGTTGAGCGCGATTCAAAACAGATATGGTCTTTCCATTGTCCTCTTTCAAGAAATATGCAATTTTCAACCAATTTGTATTATCGTAACGAACACGGTAGTAACCTGTTGTAGAAACATGGACTTACACACCTTGATTATATCATTTAACATTTTCTGTGATAATATTGAACCGGTCTTTTTCCTGGTAACTGTGTACTCACCAAAATATTGTACATTCAATATAACCCATTCTTCTACATTGTCCAAAGTTAATTCTAGATAGGAGTTCCATTCTGTATAATTGTTATTTAGCCAATGTATAAGACCATACTGGTCGAAATGAGGATCCTCTTTCGTAGTATAAGTCACCGGAATTGGCCGTATAATTGAATCATTGTGGTCTTTATTTATTTCATTACATGTAATGTGATACGTTTTGTCATATTGCCTAGCTACCAGTACAGGATAATAGCTTCGCGACAGCCAGATAGACATTATGTCTGTTATCACGTTTTCAGGCATTTCATTAAATTTACTCAGGATACTAAAGAATTTATTTGGGGTACTGGTTCGATATTTGCTGTATAAATAATATATCTTTATATATATTTCTAGCATTTTATTCATCTATAACATATCTTTATATATATTTCTACCATTTCATTCATCTATCTAAAAATGTATTGGGTTCGGAAAGTAATTTCGATTTTTTCAGATAGATGGTGGTGTCTTTTTAAGTAATTAATCTCGTTCTAAGCCAAAAAATCATTTTATATTTGTATAAGGCACATTTCAAACTTTATTTAAAAATAGTTGTTTTGGAATCTGTCAAGTTGTTTCTGTTTGGCGTCGCCATGAAAATTGGAAAACGGACATTTTCGTGACATTTCGCTTTTTTATTACCATATAGGCAAAAATATAGCGCAAGCAAGAAAAAAATTGTGCGCCGTGTATCGAGAGGATGTGTTAACAGAACGCCAGTGTCATAATCGGTTTTCTAAATTTCGTTCTGGAAGTTTCGATCTCAAAGATGCACCACGTTCTGAAAGGCCAGTTGAAGCTGATGAAGATCAAATAAAGTCGTTTGTGGATGCAAATAGTTTAACAACACGAGAAAGCGCTTGAGAAAGAGATTGAATTTATCGAATTCGACCATGCATAATCAATTGAAACAATTTACTTTCGTTTCAAAGCTCGATATTTGGGTTCCATACGTTCTCAAAGAAAAATATTTGATTCATCGTTTTTAGCTGTTACCAGGCAACGATTGATTCGAACGTGTATTGTCATTTGGACAAATTGAATGTGTGTTGTCAATTGCACAAATTGAATAATTTCATTAAGCAGAAGCTACCATAATTAACGAAAAGAAAAGATGTGTTTCATCATGACAATGCTAGACCTCACACAAGTTTAATGACTCGCCAGAAGTTGTGAGCATTTGGATGAAATTTACCGCATCCACCATATTCACCTGATCTGGCATCATCCAACTTGTTTCGGTCACTGCAAAATTCTTTCGATGATAAAAATTTCGATTCAAATGAAGGTGTCAAAACCACTCAATTCAGTTTTTTACCAGTAAGATTCAGCAGTTCTGCAAGCGTGGAATGATGTTGTTACTTCAAAGATGGCAAAAAATGTTATAACAAAATGGTCAATACAGACATATACAATACAACAGAATAAAACTTTTCTTTCTATTAAAAATATAGTTTTTTATTTTTATATAAAAAACTAAAATTATTTTCCGAACAACCCAACATATATCCAAGATTTATATAAATCTTTAATGCAACACGTTCAAATAATAAGTTGACGTTTAGAATCGCGATCACGTAATAGACCGCGCGTTGTTATATCTCAACTGTTATATCATGCCAAACTGTATAAAATCGTCGTATTATATTGTATTATAATGCATCACTTACCATGTATTTAAATATTCTACGATGGCAATGTGGAACTTCTCTTTTGAAACGATATGCTCTAACATTCTTAATAAAACGGATGCTGTAAGGTAATTCAAGTTATGAAAAATATAAGTGACAAGACTAATTTAGAAAAAAAAGTAACAATATGCATAGTTATTTCGAAGCTATTTTACGGACATAAAATATATGTGAAGTCAATTCTAAACTTTCACATCTGTTTCTATTCCATAATTTAAAAGAGTAGATTCTATTAATTTCAGGTGGACAATATTATAATTATACTCTCTAGTAAATTGTACACGGACTAGACAAACATTTTAAGAAATGTAATATATGTTATTTTTCTTCGGTAATTTACATGCGGAATTTTGTCCGCATTTACATTTATTCCATTTGCCTTTATCAACATTTAAATCAAGAAGCACACATATCATTTTATATCGTAATACTTTATGCATTCTCACCTTTCTTATAAATGAGAGTTGAGTAAAACGGGTCATCTGTGCGTAGGATGGATGGCACTTTAAGAACAATATCGTTGTGCATAGCGGGCAGTTGAACTTGCACTACAAAAAGTTGCATCATCCGTTCCTTATCAAAACCCTGAAATGAGAAGTTACGAATGTTGGCAGTACAAATGACGCAAATTCAACGATACATATCTTAGTTTTGCTAAAAGAAAAGAGATAAAGTAGAGAAGGAAAAACCACCTGTCCGAGAATATTATAACTGAGATATAATGCAAGTGCCTTGTTGAACCACGTATGAGACCAATGATTTGGATGGATGAAGCTCTGGATATATTGTTCCGCTTTTCTGTACGCTATCGTCTTCCATATATCAATTATACGACCAGGAAAATGTGTATCATTTTTATAGATGAGATCACTTTCTCTGAAAATCATATTTGTAAATAATACGGTTATATTGACAGTTTTCTCACGCTATAGATTGTAAGAATTGCCTATTAATCGTAAGAATTGGAAACAAAAATTCAAATCTATCCAAGATATCACGATATATCTAAAAAATACTGCACGTTCAGGCTAATTTTGATGGTAAACGGCTTTACAGTCCTTTGTAACCGAATAGAGCATTCAACATTTAATATTTTCGTAATATTTTGATCATATGTGTGCATTACCTTAAAAATATGAGTTGCCTAGCTCCTACTGTATTGCCCAGGAGATCGGAGAAAACCACGATTATCGAAGTTTCTAAACGTTTATCCATGTATAGCCATAAGAAATCATCGATTACGTTAGTGATATTCTTTATAATTGGGTCAGTCTCATTAGTACCTTCTTGTCCGTACCATAGGTCATTTTTTACTAAAAGTAACTTATTAAAGTTAATAAGAGTGATTCTCAGTAGATTGATGCCCATTGGAGGTGTAGGTTGGAAAGTCGTCTGTGTTGTGGTCTTATTTATGTGCACAACACTTTGTTTTTGCGCATTGGAGTAGACATGGTAGATAGCCAAATGTTGGACAATGATATAAAATATAGCCTTGGAGGTTGATTCGTCCTGACATGGAAATATATATCGCGCGCTCTCCGGTTCCAACAGCATCACGTATGACCAGCTAATTTTTTAATAAGAACAAAATTTTACTTTAACAGGATATTTCAATCAGAGTGTCGATTGTTTACACGTTTCGTTTTCTTCGCGTCGCATGAAATATTAAATCACGCGTATAATAATAATTGCGGATAAGAAGCGACAGGAGCTATCATTTTGTATATAAGTGCATCGAGTTTATTTGTTTGGAAGTCATTATACAAGGATATTATATAAGGACATTATATTAGAAGTATCTTGCGAATTTTTTGATTATCACACACAATAAACATTAAAGGGATTCATTCATTGCAAAGTAAAAGCGGCGATATTCATATATATTTTAATCACAACTTACGTTACATTGCGTTTTCCCTTTTCCTCTTTGATCCGATAGAAGCCTGTTTTATTAACCAAACCTCTGTACGATATAACTATGCTATAATTACCGGGACATAGAATCTCATCGAATTTCAAAATTATAGTGCTTGTCTCATTACAATAATAAATATCTATAGGCTGGTCTACGTCATCGATTTCCAGATCATCTCGCCAGAGTACTACTGAATTGTTCCCTATTTCCAAGTACTTGGCATGAAAAATTAATAAGTACGTTCTTTGAATCAATCCAAATAATATACGAACTTCCCCTTGAAAAGATAACTCCTCTATTTTCAGGAAAACACTATAATAAATAGGTTGTACTACGGATAGTAAATTCTGTATGAGTGGTTCAAAGTAGCATAAATTCTGTCCAAGAGGTGTATCAAACTCAGATGAGAATATCGGAGCGGCGTAGATCGATAATGTGAGGAACATCACTTCAATTCTCACTCCAGACATCTGTAAAAATGTTTTTCTTTTTGTACGTACAAGAGACAAAATTCTCACGTACACACAAATTATATTATATAGATAATTATATAAAATATAATTATCAAGTATTTGTTTTTTAATTGCTCCAATTAATCGGCAATTTCAATGTATCAGATTGCTACGTCTTACCATTTTAAGTTCGTTATCATGTCACGGATCGCTGTCTGTATAAGATGAAATAATTAGTGTAATACTTTAACGCCTATGTGTATGTTTCTACACCCACACACAACATACACGCACACCTTAATCTAGTATATGTGAAAATCTCCGAAACTCTATATCTGCTCAAAAGGCAAGATGTATTGATGATAAATCCGAGCAAGTATCTTATGATACTGATATCACATAATATTATGAATATTGTCCGTTAATAGCAGAAATTACATCTTCCATGACTTTGCCCGAGTACGATAGCTCAAAATATAAACAAAAATAATGGATTAAACTTATTTGAAAGGAAATCATACGGAAATAAAGTTCACGAATTTCGTAATCTGCATTTTTATTTCTGTGGATTATAATATGCATATTATTCTTATCCGATTAATTAGCATTCCGTTTCCTGAAGGCCAGCATCGTAGGGGAAATGATGCACAAACATATATTTCTCCTTAGATATTTGAGATATTCGTCTTGGTAATATATGTTTAGCATTTTGCAGCATTTCGTCTGAATGTACATTATCGTCTATATATTGCTCAATCTAAAAGAAATTGTTAGTATTCATCTAAAAGCAACAATGATACAGGTTTCTGACATACAATTTTCTCGCCTTGTCGTTTTGATAAAAAATGTAAGACAATATGCGCGAAAATGATGGAAAATAATGATGAATTCCGTTTAGAAATATATATAAGGAATGATATAAAATTTACCTTTCGTAATTGGCATTCAGAATGCACGCTCATGATAATGTGACTTATCTCGAAGAAAGACGTATTGCTGCAACATAAACCAGTATTGCAGCAAGGTTAGTGTAAATGGACAAACATATACGATAACTGATGTTACGAACGGTGAAGAAAAGAAAAAAACACAACGTACTCTGGCATTAAGTGCAATATATTATCCAGGATAAAATCTAATACTTTAAACTTTCTTGCGTGCTTCTTCACAATCGTACGATACAAGTCTCCTTTTTGCACATCATCTAATAATGACATGTTGTCGGGAGGGTTAGACTTAATCCAAATCAACAATTCCTGTATCGAGTCATCGTCGTCATAACAGCTCAGATATTGGACCATATTTTCATCAATCTCGTGTAAAATTTTATTCTTTGCCAGCATCCTCAGCTCTCGATCCGGTTTCATAAGGCCAGCGCAATACACCCAATTCTGCCAGCCCGGTAAAATTCTACATATAACATGCAAAGACGTTAACAATTTGCATCAGATTGATCTCTTTAAGTCCCTGCTTCCATCGAATGATTGTGTATTCCGGTTGCATAGAAGATACGATAAAGAATGGCGATATTAACTAGCAATTAAGAAAAAATTTCCGATGAAATGGATAATTACGGTGACTCTTTAGCATCTTTAAAGTATGCTCTTAATTTATCGCTGGCCGACTGTCTGCATTTGTCATTGCCGTGGTTACACATCCAATTGAGGAGCATCAATCGCATAGCTTTCAACGCGTTATCATCCATTACTTTCTCATCGTATCCTATCTGCATCAATACGCTATTCATGATGTCCATTATGAAGTTCTGAAAACGTCACCAAACAATTCTAAATTTCTATATTATTTATATGACAGATTTTGCTATTTGTTTATATCGTCCATATTATTGTTATATCGTCCATTTTTTAAATCTTATGTCTAGAAACTATAAACACTACCACTGGAAAGTTAAAAACATCTTTGAAATTTTCCAAAAGTTTAATAAAATAATTATATCTATAAAGATAGAAAAAATATGATTTCATCGCAAAAATACAAGAAGCTCAAAAGTTGTAATACCAGTGGTAGTATAGATGCAAATCTGATATTTGAAACATTGTAATATGAAGCTATTATCTTCACCGTCACTGTATACCTTGAAACTTTCACTCTCTGGGAATTTAAAGAAAGGCGACATATAATGTAACACATTCATCATCGAGTGCCATACTATGAACTCAGTTTCGTTTCTCAAGAAATCAATTAATTCATAATAAAACTTGTAATCCATCATATCCATCATTACGAAATGATACGCGTCGTCGATGAGTTGAACGCGATTTAAAACAGGAATAGTCTTTCCGTTGTCTTCTTTCAAGAAATGTGCAATTTTCAACCAATTTATATTATCGTAACGAACACGGTAGTAACCTGTTGTGGTAACATAGACTTACACACCTCGATTATATCATTTAACATTTTCTGTGATAATATTGAACCGGTCTTTTTCCTGGTAATTGTGTGTACTCACCAGAATATTGTACATTCAATATAATCCAGTCTTCTGCACTGTCCAAAGTTAATTCTAAAAAAGGATTCCATTTGGTGTAATTGTTATTCAGCCAATGTACAATAGTATATCGGCTGGTTTGATCAGTTTTCTTTGTAATATAAGTTATCGGGATTGGCCATTTGATTGAATCTTGAAAGTCATTATATACGTAATACGTATTGTTGTAGGCATGTTGTACAACTGTTATTATAGGATAGTATTTTCGCGATAGCCAGATGGACATTACGTATGTTAATATAGCTTCAGGTTCGTTTAATTGATTCAGAATATTGAAGAAATGAATTGGTGAACTGGTTCGACGCGCACTGTATAAATAACATATCTTTATATATTTCTACCATTTCATTCATTTATCTAAAAATATATATATCCGAAAATTAAATAAATTTCTAATATAAAATGTTCGAACAATACATTGACCTTTAGAATTGCGATTATGTAATAGACTGTGTGTTATTATATCTCAACTATTATACTGTACCAAATTAATTGTCGTATTATAATGTGTTATAACACATTACTTACTATATATGTAAATACTCGGCAACGGCCTTTTGAAATATCTCTTTTGTAACAATATGCTCTAACATTCTTAATAAAACGGATGCTGTAAGGTAATTCAAGTTATAAAAAGTATAAGTGATAAGATCAATTTAAAAATAAGAGTAACAATATATGCATGCATAGTTATTTCATAGCCATTCTACCAATATAAGGCAAATAAAAAGTAACTCTAAAATTTTTAAACACGTTGCTGCCAATAAATTCATATAATTAAATTCCATAAATCAATTCGTCTACTTTAGGAAAATGTAAGATATAAAACCAATTTAAAAGAAATTCTAACAATATACATGTATAATTATTATATACATGTATAATTATTTCAGTTATCAATTATTTTATTGGCAAAATATATGAAAATTGGCTCTAAACATTTAAACATGCCGCTTCCATTAAACAAATATTCTATTAAGTAAATATTAAGCAAATATGTTTATAAATAATTAGAATAGATTCTAGCAGTTGGACGATCTTGTAATTAACTGATCCATTAAACTGCAAATTACCTGTGTACACATTACAAAAAATGAACGTAACGGATGCTATTTCTCCCATTACGTCACTCCCGACAATTTACATACTAGAGGTTGTTCACAATTACATTTATTTCATTTGACTTTATCCACATCTGAATCAAGAACCATACATACTATTATATCGTAACTCTTGCAAGTTCTCACCTTTCTTGTAAACGAAAATGGAATAAATTGGGTCATATGGGTCTGTAATAGATGGTACGTTGAGGGTAATATCGTTATGCATAGCAGGCAGTTGAACCTGCACTACAAAAAGCTCCATCATCTTCTTGGAATTAAAACTCTAGAATAAAAAAAGTTACGAATATTCGCAGTAAAAGTGATGGGAAACTCAATGATATATAACTCAGCCTTATTAAAGATGAGGCCATGAAGTAGAAGAAAAAGCTACCTGTCCAAGAATATTATAACTGAGGTATAACGCAAGTGCCTTGCTGAACCACATATAAGACCAATTATCTAAATTGACAATGCTTTGAATGTATTGCTCCGCTTTCCTGTATGCTATCGTCTTCCATATCTCAAGTGTACGACCAGGAAATTGTACCTTTTTATCGTAAACGAGATCACTCTTGCTGGAAATTACATTTGCCAATAATACGGTTATATTGCGGGTTTCCTGATGCCAATGGATGAGTCGTAAGAATTAAAAACAAACGTTTAAATCGAACGTATCGAATATCACGATACATTTCAAAAATAATGCTTGTCCAAGCAGATTGCAACAATAATAAGCGGCTTTGCATTCCCATGTAACCAAATACATTTAACGTTTAACGTCGCGTATAAAGTTTTCGTAATATTTTTATCATATGTGTGGCTTACCTTAAAAGTACGAATGGCCAGGTCCCTAATGTACTTTTCGGGAAATCGGAGAAAGTCACAATTATCGAAGTTTCTAAGCGTGTTTGTGTGTATTGTGTTAAGAATTCATCGGCTACGTAAGTGATGATCTTCACCTCTGAGTCCGTCTTGTTAATACCTTCTTGTCCAAACCATAGGTTATACGGTGATTCAGATAACTCATCCAATTTAATAATAGCTATTGTAGATGGGTAGGTGGGTATTACGGATGTAGGTTTAAAAATCATCTGTATTGTGTTTTGTTCTATCCATTCAAATCTATCTTGTGGTATATTGGAGAAGATCTGATAGATATCCAGATATTCGACGGAGATTTTAAAGATTGCTTTAGAAACTACTTCTTTCTTGCAGTATGGAAATATGTATTCTCCGCTGTCTTCTTCAAATATTATCATGTATGACCAGCTAATTGAGTTGCAATAAAAACAAAACTTTACTTTACTACTTAGGAGAATACATCGAATGTTGAGTGGCTTGTTTTTACACGTTCGTTCTTAATGTTGCGTGAACCATTAGATTTCACTATTAGATTAGATATAATAATAATTGCAAACAGGATAGAACGGGAACTACTATTTTATTTATAATTACTGCGTTTATTTCGTTCGAAGTTTGTTACAGAAGATAGGAGTATTCTGCGAATCTTTCGATGTGTCGTGAGCGATATACACGAAAAGGGTTCATCAATTATGATATTTAAATATATTTTAATTGCAACTCACGTTATATTGCCTTTTTCCTTTTCTTCTTTAATCCTGAGGAATTCTTTATTCTTGTATAGGGAGCCGCTGTACCTCATGGATATGTTATGATATCCGGGACACACAATATCTTCAAATACGAACATTATAGTGCTTGTCTCATTACAATAATGAATGTTGTCAGGCTGCTCTGATTCTGAGGTATTTTGCGAAATCATTATCGATTTGAAGTCTACATCTAAGTTTCTAACATGGAAAGATATTATTTCCGATTTACGAAGTAACTCGAATGATATGTTGGCTTCTGCTTGAAAAGACGTTTCTTCTATTTTTAACAAAATATTATAATATTTTGGTATCAATGCGGACATTAAATCCTGCATTATCGGTGTGGAGTAGCAAATGCTTGTCTCCAAGGAGGTATTCAACTTAGATGAGAATATCAGGCCAGTGTAGATCGATAAAGTGAGGAAAACTACTCTAATTCTCGCTCCAGATGCCTGCAAAATAATTCTTTTTTTTTGGGCAAATAATAGACAGGATACGGTCGTGCATTCACAAACGATTATCAGTTTTTCTTTAAATTGCTCTAATTAATCAGCACAAATGCGATTACTATTAAGAGTGTTACATCTTACCATTTTATATTCGCTATTTTTTCATGACCCGTCGTCTTTACAAGAGCACTAACAAATTTGTGAGTAACTTGAAAGTCAAGTGTATCTGTATATATACCTTAGTGTCTAATACAATTAAACAATTTGGAAAGTTTGCTGAAGAGAACAGGCATAACGATAAATATGGTATATATAAGTACGGTAAATATAAATATCTCACACGACCGTTAACATAAATACCGTCCGTTAATAGCAAAAATTACATCTTTTGTTACTTTGCCCGTGTACGATAGCCTAAAGTATAAACAAAAATAATAATAATGGATTGAGCTTATTCGAAAGGAAATCATACAGAAATAAAGTTCACAAATATCATAATCTTCATTTTTATTTGTATAGGTTGCAATATTTATATTATTGTTATCCGATTAATTAGCATTTGGTTTCCTCTGGGACAGCATCGTGGGGGAAACGATGCATGAATATATCCTTTATCTTAGATATTTGAGACATTCTTCTCGTTAATATGCGTTTAGATGCTCGCATCGTTTCGTTCGAATACATATTATCGTCTATATATACTGCAATCTAAAACAAATTGTTAATATTCATCTAAAAGTAATAATAACAGGTTGCTGACAAACAATTTCCTTGTTGCCTTGTCATTTCGGTCAAAAATGTAAAACAATAGATGCGAAAGTGATAGAAAATAATAATGAATTCTACTTAAAGATAAACATAAGGAATAATATAAAATTTACCTTTTGTAATTGGCATTCAGAATGCACGCTCATGATAACGTGGCCTAATTTCTCAAGGAGGGTCATGTTACTGCAACATAAACAGTTATTGCAAATTTAATAGTAAATAGACAAATACGTACAATGACGGATGTTGCAAACGGCGAAGGAAATAAAACAGAATTACCCTGGCAATAAATGAATCATATTTTTCAAGGTATAATCTAATACTTTAAACTTTTTTGCGTGCTTCTTCACAATGGCACGATATAAGTCCTCCTCTTGCACATCGCTGAATGGCGACGTGCTATTGCGAGGCTTAAATATACCCCAATTCAACAAGTCCTGTATTGAGTTATCATCATCGTAACAGGTTATATATTGTAATATGTTTTCATCCGTTCCGTTTAAAATTTTACTCTTTGCTAGCATCCTCACCTCCCGATCTGGCTTCATGAGGCCTGAGCAATATACCCAGTTTTTCCACCCTGGTAAAATCCTGCGTGCAACATCAAGAAACATTAACAATTTGCGTTAGATAAATTTCCTTAAATTCTTGCTACTACCAGATAATATTATATTTCAGTTGCACAGATGATACATTAAAAAATAACGATGTTAGCTAACAATTGAAAAGATTTCCAATCAATTGGATAATTACGATGACTTTTTAGCATTTTTAAAATATGCTTTTAATTTATCGCTGGCCGACTGTCTGCATTTGTCATTGCCGTGATTACACATCCAATTGAGGAGCATCAATCGCATAGCTTTCAACGCGTTATCATCCATTACTTTTTCATCGTATCCTATCTGCATCAATACGCTATTCATGATGTCCATTATGAAGTTCTGAAAACGTCACCAAACAATTCCAAATTTCTATATTATTTATATGACAGATTTTGCTATTTGTTTATATCGTCCATATTATTGTTATATCGTCCATTTTTTAAATCTTATGTCTAAAAACTATAAACACTATCACTGGAAAGTTAAAAATATCTTTGAAACTTTCCAAAAGTTTAATAAAATAATTATATCTATAAAGATAGAAAGAATATGATTTCGTCGCAAAAATACAGGAAGCTCAAAAGTTGTAATACCAGTGGTAGTATAGATGCAAATCTGATATTTGAAACATTTTAATATGGAGCTGCTCTCTTCACCGTCACTATATGTACCTTGAAACGTTGACTCTCTTCGAATTTAAAGAAAGGCGACATATAATGTAACACATTCATCATAGAGTGCCATACTATGAAATCAGTTTCGTTTCTCAAGAAATCAATTAACTCATAATAAAACTTGTAATCCATTGTACCCATCATTACGAAATGATACGCGTCGTCGATGAGTTGAACGCGATTTAAAACAGGAATAGTCTTTCCGTTGTCTTCTTTCAAGAAATATGCAATTTTCAACCAATTTGTATTATCGTAACGAACACGGTAGTAACCTGTTGTAGAAACATGGACTTACACACCTTGATTATATCATTTAACATTTTCTGTGATAATATTGAACCGGTCTTTTTCCTGGTAACTGTGTACTCACCAAAATATTGTACATTCAATATAACCCAGTCTTCTTCATTATCCAATGTTAACAGTAGATCAGATTTCCATTCTGTGTAATTATTATTCAGCCAATATATAAGAGCATACTGGTTGAATTGTGGATCTTTCTTCGTAGCATATGTTACCGGAATTGACCGTTTAAATGAATCATTGCGCTTAAGTTTTATCTCATTATATGTAATATGACACGTTTTATCGTATTGTCTAACTATCACTATAGGATAATATCTTTGCGACAGCCACATGGACATTATGTCTGTTATCATATCTCCAGTAACTTCTTTTAATTTATTCAGAATACTGAAGAAATCGTTAGGTGTACTGGTTTGATGCGCACTGTATAAATAACATATCTTTATATATTTCATCCATTTCATTAATTTACCTGAGAGTATATATATCTAAGATTTATATAAATTTTTAATGCAACATGTTCAAATAATATGTTGACCTTTAGAATTGTGATTGTGTAATAGACCATGCGTTATTATATTTCAACTGTTATACTGTACCAAATTAAGAATAATTGTATTAAATTGGATATAATTGAATAAATCGCAATATATTGTGTTATAATACATTACTTACTATGTTTTGATAAATAAGGCAACGGCCTTTTGGAACATCTCTTTTGAGACAATTTGCTCTAACATTTTTAATAATACGGATGCTGCAGGATAATCGAAATTATAAAATGTTTAAAAGGATAACATCAATTTGAAAGAAATTGTAACAATATGCATGCACAGGTATTTCAGTTATTAGCTATTTTATCGATATAAAATATGTCAATATTAGCTCTAAAGATTGAAACACTGTTTTCATTCAACTAAAATGTTTATAGATAATTGGATTAGATTTCACCAGTTGGACGATCTTATAATTAACTGATTAACTGATCCAGTAAATTGCAAACGAACTGTGTACACGTCAAAAGAACGTTACGTTTGCTATTTCTCTTTGACAACTCACACACGACAGCTAGTCCACAATTATATTTATTTCATTTAACTTTATCCACATCTGAATCAAGAATCATATAAACTATTATACCGTTACTCTTGCAAGTTCTCACCTTTCTTGTAAACGAAAATGGAATAAATTGGGTCATATGGGTCTGTGATAGATGGCACATTGAGATCAATATCGTTATACATAGCGGGCAGTTGTACCTGCACTACAAAAAGGTCCATCATTTTCTTCAGGTTAAAACTCTAGAATAAAAAGTGTTAGGGAATTTGCAGTAAAAATGGTACAAAACTCAACGATATGTATCTCGGTCTTGCTAAAGAGAAAGACATAAAGTAGAAGAAAAAATTACCTGTCCAAGAATATTATAACTGAGGTATAACGCAAGTGCCTTGCTGAACCACGTATCAGACCAATGATCTGGGTTGACGAAGCTTTGAATGTATTGCTCCGCTTTCCCGTATGCTATCGTCTTCCATATCTCAAGTGTACGACCAGGAAATTGTATACTTCTATTGTAGATGAGATCACTCTCTCTGAAAATCACATTTGTCAATAATTCAGTTATATTGCGAGTTTCATTACGCCAATGGACGAGCTGTAAGAATTAAAAATAAAGGTTGAATCGATCGTATAAGAATTAAAAATAAAGATTGGATCGATCGTATATGCAATATCACGATACATTTCAAAAATACTGCACATCCGAACAGTAATTACAATAGTAAACGGCTTTACATTCGCTTGTAAAAGTAGAACATTTAACGTTTGACGTCGTGTATAACTTTTTAATAATATTTCATAATATTTCACAAATTTCATAATATTCTTATCATATGTATGGCTTACCTTAAAAATACGAATTGTTTGGCCCCTATTGCATTTCGCAGGAGATCGGAGAAAATCACAATTATCGAAATTTCCAAGCGTGTCTGTGTGTATTGTGTTAAAAATTCATCAGCTACGTAAATGACGGACTTCACAAGTGAGTCCGTCTTATTGGTACCTTCTTGTCCGAACCACACGTTATACTGTGATTCAGATAACTCATCCAACTTGATAACGGCGATTGTCAGTAGATCAGTAGGCATCACGGATGCAGGTTTGAAAATCGTTTGTAATGTGCCTTCCTCTACCTGCAGAGATTCTTCTTCTGGTATATTGGAAAGAACATGATAGATATCCAGATATTTGATGGAGATTTTAAAAGTCGCCTTAGAAATTACTTCTTTCTTCCAGCATGGAAATATGTATTCCCCGCTGTCTGCTTCAAATATCGTCACGTACGACCAGCTGATTGAGTTGCAATAAAAACAAAACTCTATTTTAGCAAAATACACCGAACGTTAAGTTGCTTGTTTTACATGTTCGTTCAATTTTTTCGCGTTGTAATTAAAATCTTATTATACGTATAATAATAGTGGCGGATAAGAAAGAAGGGAAACTACTACTTTGTGTATAATTGCACCGGGTTTGTTTCTTATAGCTTGTTATAGAAGATGGAAGTATTTTACAAATTTTTTGGCATGTCGTGACACCATATAGACACCAAAGAGGTTTATCAATTGCGAAATAAAAACGGTGATGTTCACATATTTTAATCGCAACTCACGTTACATTGTCTTTTTCCTTTTCCTCTTTGATCCGGAGAAATCCTTTTTTTTCGTACATAAAGCTGCTGTATCTCATAGTTATGTTATAATATCCAGGACATCCAATCTCTTCGAATAACAACGTTATAATATTTGTCGCTTTACAATAATAAATATTTTTAAGCTGCACTGCTTCAGCGGAGTCTGGATTATAATGCGAAAGCACTATCGATTGTAGATCTATTTCCAAGTAGCTAACATAGAAAGCTATTATTTCCGTTTTTTCAAGTAATTCGAATGATATGGTGACTTCTCCCTCAAAATACGATTCCTCTATTTTCCACGAAACATTATAATATTGGGGTACTACTATAGACAGCAAATACCGTGTAAACGACATGATGTAGCACTTGCTTGTTTTCTTGGGAGTATCAAACTCAGACGGCAATATCAGACCGGTGTAGATCAATAAGGTGAGGAATACCACTCCAATTCTCGTTCTAGACATCTGTAAAAATAATTTGTTTTGGACGAATAATGGACAAAATACAGTCATGCATTTACAAATGATTATTAATTTTTCTTTAAATTACTTTAATTAATCGGTAAAAATGAAATTATAATGTATTTGAGACTGCTACATCTTACCATTATATATTCGCTATTTTTTCATGACTCGTCGTCTTTACAAGAGCACTAACTGACTTGTGAATAACTTGCAAGTCAATTTGTATATATATACCTTTTTATCTAATACAATTAGAAAATCTGGAAAGTCTATATGTGCTGAAGAGAATAGGCATGTGTGATAGGCAATAATGACAATAGGTGGAAATGTCTCACACGACCGTTGAGATAAATATTGTCTATTAAATTACATCTTTCGTGACTTTGCCCAAGTACGATAGCCCAAAGTATAAACAAAAATGTAAATAACGGATGGAGCTTATTCGAAAGAAAATCATACAAAAATAAGGTTCAACTTTATAATCTGCATAAACTTTATAATCTGCATTTTTATTTATATAAGTTACAATATGCATATTGTTCTCATCCAATTCATTAGCATTCCGGCTCTTTTGCTTCGTAGGGAGAATTACGCATGAGCATATCCTTCTCCTCAGATATTTGTAATATTCGTCTTGTTAATATACGTTTAGCTTCATATATCCATTTATCCAAGTTGATATTATAGTCTATGTATTCTGCAATCTAAAACAAATTATTAATATTTATCTAAAAATAACAATGATACAAGTTATTGACAAACAATTTTCTCATTGCCTCGTCATTTTCGTAAAAAATGTAAGGCCGCACATATGTGCGAAAATGATGGAAAATAATGATAAATTTCGCTTAGAAACATACATAAGGAATGATATAAAATTGGTAAATTGATACCTTTTGTAATTGGCACTTAGAATGCACGCTCATGATAACGTGGCCTAATTTTTCGAGAAAGGTCATATTACTGCAACATAAACAGTTATTACAAAATTAATAGTAAATAGACAAATACGTACAGTGACGGATGTTGCAAACGAAGAAAAAATAAAGCAGAATTTACCCTGGCAATAGATGAATTATATTTTTCAAGATAAAATCTAATACCCCAGATTTTCTTGCGTGCTTCTTCACAATGATACGATATAAGTACTTTTCTTGTATATCGTTCAATGGCGTCGCCATTGGAAAAATGTTATCCCGAGGCTTAAGCACAACCCAAGTCAACAACTTCTTTATCGAGTCATCATCGTCATAACAAGTCAAGTAATGGATCATATTTTTATCAGTCTCGTGCAAAATTTCATTCATCGCCAGCGTGCGCAACTCCTCATTCGGTTTCATAAGACCAGCGCAATATACCCAGTTCTTCCAGCCCGGTAAAATTCTACATGCAACACGAAAAGACATTTACAATTTGCATCAGATTGATCTTCTTAAGTCCCTGCTTTCATCGAATGATTGTGTATTCCGGTTGCATAGAAGATACGATAAAGAATGGCGATATTAGCTAGCAATTAAGAAAAAATTTCCGATGAAATCGATAATTACGGTGACTCTTTAGCATCTTTAAAGTATGCTCTTAATTTATCGCTGGCCGACTGTCTGCATTTGTCATTGCCGTGGTTACACATCCAATTGAGGAGTAACAATCGCGTACTTTTTAACATATTATCATCAGTAGGTTCCTCATCATATCCTATCTGCGTCAATACGCTATTCATGATGTCCATTATGAAGTTCTGAAAATGTTATTAAGGAATTTTCTATTTCTTGTATTATTTGTATATCTGGTTGTCTTATTTGTTTATATCATTTACACAGATTTCATTTTTGAAATCATATGCCTGAAAACTACAAATGTTACTACTGGAAAGTTAAACATCTTTGAAATTTCTCCAAAAATTCAAAAAAATAGCAATATTTGTAAAGATAGAAAAAATATGATTTCGTCGCAAAAATACAGGAAACACAAAACATGTGATAGAGCGGCGGTAATGTACATATAAATCCGATTTCTAAAACATTGTAACATGAAGCTGCTCTTTTCACTACGTCACTATGTACCTTGAAGTCTTCAGTTTCTGGGAATTTAAAGGAAGGCGACATATAATGTAACACGTTCATCATAGAGTGCCATACTATAAAATCAGTTTCGTTTTTCAAAAAGTTAATTAATTCATAAAAAATATCGTAATCCATCATATCCATCATTACAAAATGATACGCGTCGTCGATGAGTTGAGCACGATTCAAACTAGGAATAGTCTTTCCGTTGTCTTCTTTCAAGAAATGTATAATTTTCAACCAATTTGTATTATTGTAACGAACACGGTAGTAACCTGTTGTAGAAGCATGGAGTTACATACCTCGATTATATTATTTAACAAATATTTCCTATGATAAAATCGAACCAATCGTTTTCCTGCTAACTGTGTGTACTCACCAAAATATTGTACATTTAATATAACCCAGTTTTGTTCATTGTCCAATGTTAACACTAGATCAGAATTCCATTCTGTGTAATTATTATTCAGCCAGTGTATAAGAGCATATTGGCTGAATTGAGGATCTTTCTTTGTAGCATAAGTCACCGGAACTGGCCATTTGATTGTATCGTCAGTATCACCACGTTGTTTTAGCTCATTATATGTGACGTACGTTTTGTTATCAATATTTTGTTCAACTTTTAATATAGGATAATATTCTCGCGACAGCCAGATGGACATAATGTCTGTTATCATATTATGTCTGGCATCTTCGAATGCATCTGCCCTTTCATCTTTTTGTGTTTCTAGTGATTTATTTTCTTCTGTGATATTTTTCTGTATTGCAACAGTTGTTTCTTTGAGTGTATTCACAATATCAAAGAAATTGTATGGTGTGCAATTCGAACTGTATAAATAACATATTTTTATATTTCTGCCATTTCATTTATTTAATAATATATATATTTCATTAATATATATATTTCATTAATAATATATATATTTCATTTATTTAATAATATATATATCTAAGATTTATATAAATTTTTAATGCAACATGTTCAAATAATATGTTGACCTTTAGAATTGCGATTGTATAGACTGTGCGTTATTATATCTCAACTGTTATACTGTACCAAATTAATTGGCACATTATATTGTGTTATAACACATTACTTACCATCTATTTAAATATTCGACAATGGCCTTTTGGAATATCTCTTTTGTAACGATATGTTCTAACATTCTTAATAAAACAGATGCTGCGAAGTAATGCATTATGAAAAGTATAAATGATAAGATCAATTTAAATGAAAAAGTAACAATATGCATATATAGTTATTTCGTAATCATTTTACCGAAATAAAACATTAAAATTAGGCCTGAACATTCAAACACATACTATTTCTGTTATTAACTAATGCGTTTAGATAATTAGATTAAATTTTATCAATTGACAATCTTATGATTAACTGATCCAATCAATTGCAAATGAACTGTGCACACGTTAAAAAAACATGTGGAGTGTTGCTTTTTGGCAATGTACATGCGAGAGGTTGTTCATAATTATATTTATTTCGTTTGACTTTACCCACATCTGAATCAAGAATCATTCATGTAATTATATCGTAACACTTGACAAGTTCTCACCTTTCTTGTAAACGAGAATGGAATAAATTGGGTCATGTGATAGGTCTGTGATAGGTGGCATATCCACAACAATATCGTTATGCATAGCAAGCAGTTGAACTTGCACTACAAAAAGTTCCATCATCCTCGCGTTAAAATACTAGAATTAAAAGTTACAAATGTTCGTGGTAGAAATAACGCAAAACTCAACGATGTGTATCTCGACCTTACTAAAACGAAAAAAATAAAATAGAAGAGAAGACTACCTCATCGAGAGTAATGTAACTGAGATATAACGTAAGTGCTTTGTTGAACCACATATGATCCCAATTATTTTGATTGTTGAAATTTTGGACATATTGTTCCGCTTTGCTGTACGCTATTGTCTTCTGTATCTCAAGTACACGGCCAGGAAAATGTGTATCATTTTTGTAGATGAGATCACTCTCTCTGAAAATCACATTTGCAAATAACACGATTATAAAATGAAAGTTCTTCCACGCCTATAGATTATTCGTATGAATTGAAAACAAAAATTCAGATCAATTAAGGATATCACGATACATTTCAAAAATATTGCTCGTCCAAACGGATTTTGATAGCAAACATCTTTTCATTTCCATGTAACTGTGAATAGAATGTTTAACATTTATTGTTCTAACAGTCCGATGACATGTGTAATAGATTACCTTAAAAATACGAATGGCCAGGCCATTACGTTCCTCGGAAGATCCGAGAAAATCACAATTATCGAATGTTCCAAGCGTTTCATCGTGTATTGCTTTAAGAATTCATCGATCACGTCCGTGATGATCTTCGTGAATGCCTGCGTCTTAATAGTATTTTCTTGTACGAACCATATGTTATGCTCTGATAAAGATGACTTATTAATATTAAGGACAGCGATTTTCAGTTGGTTAACATATATCGGTGGTGTAGGTAGGAAAGCTGTCTCTCTTGTCATGTTTATTACCGGAGATCTTCCTTCTAGCTGAAGATTAGAGAGGACATGGTAGGTACCCAAATGCTCGATGACGATATAAAGTATCACTTTGAAGTTTGGCTCATCCCAACAGGGAAACACATATTTCGCGCCGTCCGGTTCTAACATCGTTATGTACGACCAGCTAATTGAATAGCAATAAAAACAAAACTTCATTTTAACGGAATACATCGAACGTTGAACCGCTTGTTTACACGTTTATTTAATTATTCCGCGTTGCGCGAAATATTAGATTTCACATATAATAATAATTGTGAACGCGAAGGAATGGAAGCTATCACTTTGTATAATTGTACCGGGTCTGTTTTTTCGAAGTTTGTTATGGAAATTAGGAATATCTTACAAATATTTGGGTGTGTCGCAAATAATGAACACCAAAGGAATTGATTAATTGCGAAGTAAAAGTGGCGATGTTCACATATCTGAATCGCAACTTACGTTACATTCTCTTCTTCGTTTTCCTCTTTGATCCGGAGGAATCCTTTTATTTCGCGCATGGTGCTGTTGTATATCGTAGTTAGGTTATAATATCCGGGACACACAATCTCTTCAAATATCATTATTATGACACGTGACTCATTACAAAAATAAATATCTTTCGGCTGGTCTACTTCAGCGAAATCTTGTTCATGTGTAGAAAGCACTAGCCAACTGGATTTTATTTTCACCTCGTTAAAGGGAACAGCTAACATATGCGTTTTTTCAGTTAATTTGAATGTTATATTAACTTCCCCTTGAAAAGCCGAGTCTTTCATTATCCAGAAAATGTTATAATTTCGGGGTACTATTATGGACAGTAAATTCTGTATAAACAGTTTGGAGGAGCATATGTTCGGTCCCAAAGGGATATCAAACTCAGATGGGAATATCAGGCCGACATAAATCGATAAGATGAGGAACATCACTCCAATTCTCGCTCCAGACACCTGCAACAATGATTCTTTTTGTTGGATGAATAATGGACAAAATATACTCATGCATTCACAAACGACTATCAATTTTTCTTGCGTCCATAAAGTAATCGACACAAATGCGATTACAATGTATTTGAGACTGCTACATCTTACCATCTTAAATTCGCTATTTTTACATAGCCCGTCGTCTTTACAAGAACTCTAATTGACTAGTGAGCAACTTGAAAGTCAATTTGTGTATATATATATATATACCTTAGTGTCTAATACATTTGAAAAGTCTCGAAAGTCCGTGCTCAAGAGAACAGGTTTATCAATACAGGTATATCAATAACAAATACGAATAAATATAAATATCTCACGCGACCGTTGACATGAATATCATCCGTTATCTGCAAAATTACATCTTTCGTGACTTTGTCCAAGTACAACAGATCAAAATATAGTTTAAAATAAAAATAATGTATTGAGCATATTGAAAAGGAAATCACAGGAACATGTAGAATGTCAGAAATTTCAAAACCAACAATAAAATTTATTCATATCGGTTACAACATGCGTATCATCGTTATCTGATTGATTAGCACTCTTCTGCTTCCGCATTATACGGGAAACGTCCCAGAAACATATACTTATGCTTTGATATTTGAATTACTTGATTGGTTAATATACGTTTAGCTTCATGCATTTCCCCGCCGGAATCAACATTGGAGTTTATATATTTCATAATCTAAAACACACACATTGTCACTATTTACTAGTAAGTTACACTAATGCAGATTATTGACAAACAATTTCATCATTTTATTGTTGCTTGGATAATTAAATTGAGATAATGTATATGGAAATAACGAGGAGATGCGCTTAAAAATAAATATGAAGAATGTCAAATTTACCTTTTGAAAATGACAGCAAGAATATATACTCATGATGACATTACCCAATTTCTCGAGAGCCGTCATGTTACTGCAGCATAAAGCAACTAGGTTATTCTAATTAAGCAAACTTATACGGTAGTGCATGTTGTAAATGGTGAAAGAAAAAAAAAATAGAATTTACCCTGGCAATATCTGAGTCATATTTTTTAAGATAAAATCTAACACATTAGATTTTCTTGCGTGCTTTTTCACAATGGTACGATATAAGTCCATTTCTTGCCTATCGTCCAGGGACAACTTCTCATCACGAGGCTTGAACATAATCCAAGTCAGTAATTCCTGTATCCAGACATCGTTGTCGTAACAAGTCATGTATTGTAACATATTTTTATCTTTTTTATTCAAAATTTCATCCTTTGCCAGCATCCGCAATTCATAATCCGCATTCATAAGGCCTGCGCAATATACCCAATTCTTCCAGCCCGGTGAAATTCTACATGGAAAGACAAAAAGATATCGTTTTTTTATCTGCATCAGAGGTAGATCTCCTTAAATCGAGCTTTCATCAGTTAGTGTTGCAGGAGTTGTTCAAGAAATACAATTAAATATTTCATGTGATGTTAACAATTGAAAAAGGAATTTCGATTAATTGGATAATTACGGTGACTCTACAGCATTTTTTATGTATGGCCTTAATTTATTGCTGGCCGCTTGTCTACATTTGTTATGGCCGTGGTTACACATCCAATTGAGGAGTAACAATCGCGTAGCTTTTATCATGTTATCATCAGCAGTTTTCTCATTGTATTCTATTTGCATCAATACATCATCCATGATGTCCATTATGAGGTCCTGAAAATGTTATTAAGCAATTTCAATTTTCTGTGTCATTTATATGTGAAGTTGTCTCATTTGTTTATATCGTTTGTACAAATCTTATTTCTGAAATCGTATGGCTAGAAAGTATAAACGCTACCGCTGAAAAGTTAAAGACACTTTCGAAATTTTTCGAAAATTCAATAAAATTATTTTATCTGTAAAGGTGGAAAGAAATATGATTTCGTCACAAAATTACAGGGAACTCAAAACTTGTGAAAAAGCGGTGATAGTATATATACGAAACTGATATCTGAAACGTTGCAATATGTTTCTTCATTATCACCATACCTTGAAGTCTGTGCTCTCTGGGAATTTAAAGAAAGGCGATATATAATGTAACACGTTCATCATAGAGTGCCATACTATAAAATCAATTTCGTTCCTCAAGAAATCAATCAACTCACAATAAACCTTATAATCTATTGTACCCTGTATTAGAAAATAATATGCATCGTCGATGAGTTGGACGCGACTCAAGACATGTATCGTTTTTTGCTTGTCTTTTTTTAAGAAACGTGCAATTCTCAACCAATTTCTATTATCATACTGAACACGGTAATAACCTGTTGCAGAAACAAAGTTAAGCGACCCGATTATATTATTTAACAAACGTTTCCAGTAATAAAATCGAATCGTTTTCCTACTGACTGTCTGTACTCACCGATTTGTTGTAAATTCAATATAACCCATTCTGTTACGTTATCTAGAGTTAATTCTAGGAAAGAATTCCACCCCGTGTAATGATTATTCAACCACTGTATAGAAGCAGGTTGATTGAAACGATGTTTTCCTTGTGTGGTATAAGTTACTGGTACTGGCCATTTGTCTGAAGGAGTAAGGACTTGTTTTACCTCATTATATGTAACATACAACTCTTTGGAACCATTACATCCTTCAACTGTCAGAACAGGATAGTATTTTTTCGACATCCAGATGAACATTATATCTATTATCTCATTGTCATCTTTTTCTATCATGCGACGTTTTCTGTCTAGCGTTTTCGACATTTCCTTGATTATTTTTTTTATCACAGGAGATGTTGCTCTTAATTTATTCATAATAGTGAAGAAATCGTGTGGTGTAGCGGCCTGATACGCACTGTATAAATAATATGTCTTTTTATATTTTTGACATTTCATTTATTTATCTAAAAGTATATATATCCGAAATTTAAAAATAACTTTTTAATATAACACATTTGAATATTATATATATTATATAATACATTGACGTTTAGAATTGCAATTGTGTAATAGACCGCGCGTTATTATATCTCAACTGTTATAGTGTACCAAATTGGGTATAATTCGCATTATATTATGTTATAACATATTACTTACTACGTATATAAATACTCAGCAAAGGCCTTTTGGAATATGTCTTTTGAAACGATATGCTCTAACATTCTTAATAAAACGGATGCTGTGAGATAATTCAATTTATGAAAAGTATAAGTGATAAGATGAATTTAAGAGAACAAATAACGATCGATATGCATGCATACTTATTTCGTAGCTATTTTATCGATACAAGGCAAAATGTAGCTCTAAAATTTTTAAACACGTTGTTTCCATTTAACTCGCATAATTAAAATCTATCAATTAGTTCAGCTGTTTTATAATTAACTGCTCTTATAAATTGTAGACAAACTGGGCAGACGTTAAATGTAACAACAAAATGTAACGTATGTTATTTCTCTTCGGTAATTTACATGCGAAGATTTGTTCATACTCACAATTATTTCATTTGTCTTTATCGACATTTAAATAAAGAAACACCTACAATTATATTGTAACACTTTATGCATTCTCACCTTTCTTGTAAATGAGAGTAGAATAAATCGGGTCATCTGTGCTTAGGATGGGTGGCACTTTAAGAACAATATCGTTATGCATAGCAGGCAATTGAACCTGCACTACAAAAAGTTGCATCATCTGTTCTTTATTAAAACCCTAAAATAAAAAGTTACGAATGTTGGTAATAGAAATGATGCAAATTCAGCGATACGTATCTTAGCTTTGCTAAAGAGAAAAAGACAAAGTAGAAGGAAAAGCACCTTCCCGAGGACATTGTAACTGAGGTATAATGCAAGTGCCCTGCTGAACCACATATGAGACCAATGATTTGGGGAGACGAAACTCTGGATGTATTGTCGCGTTTTTCCATATGATATTGTCTTCCATATATCAAGTACACGACCAGGAAAATCTACACTTTTATCGTAGAGAAGATCACTCTTTCTGAAAATCATGTTTGCAAATAATATTATATTAAGAATATTATTATATTAAGAATTCCCTCATGCCTATGAATGAATCGTAAGAATTTTGAAAATAAAGGTTCAGATCGATCGAAGATGTCACGATACATTTAAAAAATACTGCTTATCCAAATTCGCTGGTAAACGATTTTGCGATCTCGTGTAACTGAATAGAACTGAACTTAATGTCGCCTATAATGTTTTCGTCATATTCTTATTACGTACGTAGATTACCTTAAAAATATATTTTGCCAGGCCCCCATTGCTTTTAACGGGAGACCTGGTACAGCTACAATTGTCGAATTTTTCATGTTTAACTTTTTCAATTTCGAATTGTCTGAGTATTTTTGCGTGTATTGCACAAAGAAATAATCTGTTAGAAAATTGATGACCTTCACAAGCTCAAGCGTCTCATTATTAGGTGTATAGCTGAACCATATTTCTTCCTCTGGATAATATGAGTATTTCAACTTGGTAAGAACGATTGTCAGTAGATAGGTAGACATCACGGGTGTAGATTTTAAAATCGTCCGTTTCGTGTCCTTCCCTATTTTCACAATCTTTTCTTCTTCCATATTGGAGAAAACTTTGTAGATAGCCGAATGCTCGATGCTAATATTGAAGGTCGCTTTCAACCTTGGTTCGTCCCAGCATGGAAACAGGTATTGCGCGCCTTTACGTGGTTCAAACGTCGTTACGTACGACAAGCTAAACATGTTAGAATAAAAACAGAAATTTTAACTGATCAAATTGAACGTTGAGCCGTTTATTTGCACGTATGTTCGATTTTCTCGTATTGCATGAAATATCACGCCGAAGATAATAATTGCGAACGTGAAGGGATGGAAGGAGAACATTTTGCATATAATTGCACTAGGTTATTATTGATAGTTGTTATAGAAGTTACGGATATCTTGCGAATTTTCGGTGTGTCGTGCGCAAAGTACACCAATGGGGAAGGTGTAAAATAAAAGCAGTTGTGTTTGAATATCTTCATCGCTACTCACATCTCATTATTTTTTTCTTTTTCATCTTTGATCGTGAAGAATCCTTTTCTTTCATGCGTGGGACTTCTATATGCCATGGATAGATAATAAGTTCCAGGACATATAATATTATCGAGTATCAGCACTACAGACATTATCTCAGGACAATGTATTATTGTCAAAGGTCTATCGATCTCATGTGTGTTTGGTTTATTTAGCATGATCAATATCGAGCGGACGTCTATGTCCAGATCGATGACGTGCATTGCTATCATCCGCGTTTTTTTAGTTATTTGGATAGTTGTGTTCATTTGGCCTTCCAAGGATGGTACATCGAGTTTTAGCGAAATATTGTAATGTTTAGGTACTATTATGGTATGTAAACGATACGTGAATTCTTCGTTGCGACATAACTCTACACCCATTATTTTAGTAAACTCAGATGTGAACGTCAGGTCGGCGTGAAACGATAGGATGACGAACACCGCTTTTATTATCGTTCGAATTATCTGTAAAAATGGTTTTTTCTTGGATGGACAAGAGACAAAATGTACAAACGTGCGTACATACGTCAATTAAAAAAAGAAAAAAAAATATATAAAAATATATATATATATATATTGATGCAATTAATCGATACAATTGCAATTATAATATATTTGATACTGATCCCTCTTACCATTTTACTTTCGTAATTGCTTCAGCTCTCGCTGTCTTTATAAAAGCACAAACTGACTGGCAAATAACTTAAAACGTCAGCGTGTGTGTGTATATATATACTTAAGTCTAACACATTCGAAATATGTCCTGATAGTTTATTTATGCTCAAGAAGCTAAGTATAAATATGGATGAATATAAATATTCCGACTAAACAAGCAATTATGCTGTTTCAAAAATTCATTATCCCTTCTCTCCTCTTATATGATTGTTATTATAATTTTCGTAAAAAATGACAAAAAGTTCGATATGTCGTGTGAGAAAGGACATCTACAAATTGAACACAAATTATGATAATATAATAAACATGACACGCAGTAAATAAAGTCAGGATAGAAAATATGAACTTCTAAATTGACATTAACATTTATTTGCTCGATTTAGGGTGATCATGCAATCGGCACTTCCAGTTGACACCGTCTATCGATATCATACGATACACAGCATAATAGTATTTGAATACGTTGTCATTTTGAGCATCTGTTATCGTTCATTGCAACGAGCATCGAGTTATGATGCCTGGGATTTTAGTTGATTAGATCGATAAACATTGAAATGATAATGAATGAGAAATTGATAGATGTATGCCATGTGAGACACGATAATAATAATAACAATGGTGATAATAGTGATAGTATAAGTAGATAATGGTGATAATAGAAGTAACATATATCAGAAGGAAAGAAGCATGACTAATATTGCATGGCACAAATTGCAAACATAATATTAGACTTTGTCACGTAGATTTTGTTTGTACGATTTCGAACACGAATATAAATAATAAGTAAAATTAATTAATATGTAACATCTTTCTTATTATGGGAAAAATGATGCATGAATACGCGCTCTCTTCTCTTTAGTTATTTGATGCTTTCGAATATTTATCAAATTTTCATCACTTCTAATTCCGACTAGGAAAATTCTTCGAAGTATTTTCATATTAATTTAAAACAAGTTGTCGATTTCGCAACAAGTGATATCAAACCTATATTTGTTGTCACAAAACTTTGCCACAACGCCATTTTTTACATAATTATTGCGGGGTAATAAGCACTAAATATATGTATATATATATATTTATTTATTTATTTATTCATTTATTACGCAAATAGCATCTCGTAGATAATTACAATGGGATGTATTTTGTCATAAAATTGTTATCATAAAAAACAGATAATTTCAATAAACACTATTCCATTTTAAATTCCATTTTAAATTTTAAATTCCATTTTAAATTTTAAATTCCATTTTAAAACTACTTGCGTTTTGTCACACAACCGTTGTTATAAATATTGCATCATTAGCAAAATAACATTGTTCATGACTATCAAAACCGACTATAAATAAGATAAAATAAGAATAATGCATGGAGCTTATCTGAAAAGAAATTAGAGAGAAAAATCCTTTTCACGTAGGATACAGACATATGTATGATACAAACTAATCAATAATAACAATCAATAAATAAAAACAAATAATAAAATCAATAATAACAATAATAATGATGATGATGATGATAATTATGAGAATTTATTTTAGGGGGAAAGAAGTATGATCACAAATAAACAAATACAATTTATTTATACGAATTAGGACGTATCATACATTCGTTAAACCTATTTGATCAACAGAAATCTATAAAATCGTTACCGTGAAAACGACGCACGAACTTTTTCTTCTCCTTTTTTATTTGATTCCATCGGAGATCTATCGCATATTCAATTTTATACAATGTATCAAGATCCCAGTCTTGAGTGTCACTTGTCACGTATTTCCAAATCTAAAACATATTGTTACCGTTCCAATAAACAATAATTCAATTTATTAACGGAAAAATTCGTCGCGACGTAACTCTTTATTAATGCGTTTATTAATGCGAAATATTATAATACTCACGATTTACATGTGATATAATACAAGTTATCGAGAAGTTGTACGATGAAAAAGTGAAGCGCGAGATTTTTAAGCTTACCTTGTCAAGTTGGCATTTGGAATATACGCTCATTATAATACGAAGTATTTCCTCCAATTTGTTCATTTGACTGTAATATCGAAGCAACGGATTCGTCATAAATAAGCACGATAAGCATGTATATCGTTATGAATATTGTACATGATAAGAAAAAAGCAACCGTACCCTTGCACTATTTTATCGAAATTGCTCAAAATGAAATCGAGCACTTTTTGTTTTTTCGCATGCTTCTTCACGATACCATGATATAATTTCCTTAGCTGAGCGACTTTGAATTCTGTCCATGTATCACGGGGATTGAATGTGGCCAGTTCCACTAACTTCTGAAGTAAGTGGTCCTCATCGACACATATCAAGTATTTAAGAATCTCTTTGTTAGGTTTGTAAAGGACATTAAGTATTTCTTCATGATCAGAGATGCTCATGAAACCCGCGCAATACGTCCAGTCTTTCCATTTTGGCAAAATCCTATATGAAATTGTATAAACACAAAAAATGACCAAAGATATTCAGCTTCGTATTTTACCGCGCGATCAAACAATTTCTTTTCTTTTTAGCTAATCTTGCCCGACAAGTATAATTACGAAGAATATTATTGATTAACAACTAAAAATGTATATTAGGAAATACCGATCGTCTGGATAATTACTTATGTTCCTTAGGATCTGTGAAGTGAGCTACTAGTTTATAACGGGCATTGTTTCTACATTCCGCCAGGCCATGTTTACAGGACCAATCCAGGAGTAATAATCGCATTGCTCTCACCATTTCGTCGTCTTCAGGTTGTTCATCATATTCAATTTTATCCAAAACATGTCTCATAATTTTCAACATCTTTTCCTGCAAAAATCATTAAGTAATCTTAATTCTCAGTGTGTTTTATACATCGGGCACGTGCTACTTCAGAAATTTTATTTCAAAAAACGTAAATTTAATATATAGGATGTCTCAAAGTCGAGCTATTTCTGTCTTCATTATTATGTACCTTAAATCTTTTACTTTCTGGATAGTTGAAAAAAGGCGACATATAATGCAGAATGTTCATCATAGAGTTCCATACTATAAAGTCCCTCTCCTTTCTCAGATAACTGATCACATTTTCAAAAGTCTCATAACCGATTTCGTTCTCCATCACAAAATGATATGTATCATCAATGATCTGAGCACGATTCAAAACGTGTATTTTCCTGTGATCTTCCTTTAGGTATTTCCAGATTTTTACCCAATTGTTATATTCGTAATTGACGCGGTAATAGCCTATCGCAGAAACAAAGATCCAGTGCTCCATTATCATCTAACGACATTCCCATGATGAAATCAAACAAATAAAACAAATGGTCAGTTCTCACCGAATTGTTGTGCATTGCATATGAGTATGCACTCTTCTTCTGTTTTTGCGTCACATGTATTTGGGAAATCGACATTCTCTGACGACAATTCATTATTCAGCCAAAATACAGACGAACTCGACGTGAAAGAAGATTGTGTTTCTTTCATGAATGTCACAGGTATCGACCATTCGATTCCTTTAGTACCGTAATATTTTATCTTTATAGTCGACATGTTATTACTGCCATAATCATACATGCCATAATTATTCTGTTGGGCAAGCAATTTTGGATAGTGTTTTTGCGACATCCAGAAGCGCAGTATTTCCGCTACGTTATAATGGTGTGCATGACCTGATTGATGTAATTCCCTATTAAGAATCTTTAAAAAATCGTCTGGTGTGGCGAAGCCGTATGCACTGTAAAGAAAGATTTTTAATAATATAGATATAGAAATTAGTAGAATATAAACTAATAACACGAATGCTGAACATCTTGATGACTTGATTTATGGAAAAAGAGAATAAAGTATTACTTAGAGATTATCTATCATTTAATTCATTTATCTAACAGTAATCTTTTATTCCAATATTTAAATAATTTAAAATTTAATTCATACAAACGATATTTTAATATATAATTGCGATTGCATGATAGATCATGTATGTCATCATTATTATACCCAAACAGTTAAATTTTACCAAAGTACGTACAATATAATTGTCGCATTATATCATATTTTATAATGCCTTACTTACTACGTGCTTAAATAATGTACAATAATTTGCTGCAATTTCTCCTTTGTGATGATATATTCCAACATTCTCAACAAAGCGGATGCTACAATATAATACGGATTATTAAGAATCTAAGAGATAAAATTAATTTATATTGAAGTGCGACACAACATACGTTCGTGTTTATTTTGCAGTTGTTATCAAAGCGGTGGATAGTTCTTAAAAATTTAAATTATTTTTTTTAAGTTATGTAATTAAATATCAATAATTAATGCATTAATAAGATACAAAAACGTACTAGTCAGCTGTTAAAATATGGTGTCTTATATCGTTTGCATTCGGTAATTTGCGAATGGTTGCTTAGTGAGTTTTGATAAAAATTATTTGAACCACATATTGGTCTTACTTAAGAGGCATATTTATGATTACAATATATATTTGATTGTATTGGCATTTACATGCGTGTTCTCACCTTTTTTGTAAATAAGAGAAGCATAGATTGGGTCGTATTCGTGCATGACGGATGGCACTTTAAGATCAACATCGTTATGCATAGCAGGTTGTTGAACTTGCACTACAAAAAGTTGCATCATGATATCCTCACCATAGACCTAAAATAAACGACTGTAAAAGATATAATGATTCGGAAATATGTCTTATTTAACCGATACGTATCTATAGCAGTATCTATAAAAAAGTAAAAATCAAAATCAAATATCTCTTACAAATTTTATGGTGTAGCAATAACATCTATATTAGTAGCAAATCTATAGGTAGTATCTATGTAAAACATACTACAATTGAATTTCTACTCAGTGTCTTAAACTTTGGGAAATCTTTGGAACAATTGTATAAAAAGAAAGAAAAGTCACCATCCCAACGATTTTATAACTGAGAAACGTTGCAAGTGCGTGGCTGAGCCACCGATGAGACGGTTCTATTGGAGTAACGATACTCTCGATGCACTGTAGGGCCATCTGTTTTGCTATTGTCATCCATATTTGCAGTTTGCGGTCGGGAAAATGATTATTCGGCTCGTAGAGAAGATCCATTTCTCTGAAAATATCATATTTCGAAATAAGACAATTTTTTCGAATTCTTTCATTCAAGTTAATTGCGTTTGTTACAGTAATTCTAATTAATTGACAATTCATCACGTCAGAAATTCTGCATGTTGAAGCTAATTTCAAAGATAAATAAATTTGCATCTTCTTGCAACCAAGACGACCCGCAACAAATATTCCAAATTTCTAAGTGCTAAAAAAATCTTTCCTCGTCCCTTTCTCTGTCCCTGTTTTTGTAATATTCCGATAACGTATATTACCTGAAAACTGTGAATCCCCATGCACCCACAGCGCTAAACGGGAAATTTGGATAAGCGAGGATATTGATCTTTTTGTTGTTCCATAAGTTGTGCGTATAATTAGTTAAGAATTTATCAGTCAGTTTAACAAACTCCTGGACGACACGCATTTGGTCCTGGCGGTCCCGTTTGAACCATATTACCACGTTGTCCTCTGTCATGGAACTTAAAGCAAAATCGCTCGTCACGATTGTCACGAGGTAGGTAGACATCACTGGCGTAGGTTCGAAGATCGTCAATATTTCCTGTTCCATTAATATTTGCTCCTTAAATGGCATATTCGAGAAAACTTGGATTGTGGACGAATGCACAATCGAGATATTGAAAGTTGCCTTGAACGTGGGCTCGTCCCAGCATGGAAAAACGCGTCGGGCTCCAATCGATTCGAATAGCATTATGTATGACGATCTGATCGAAATTCAATGATAAAGTTTCGATTATGACAGAACTATTATTGCGACATATCGTTGCTTCGCGATTCCGTGTCGTTTCCGTAATATCTGACATTCGAGTAACGTTAGTAATGCCATCCCGTTAATCAGAATCTTTCATCATTTTTTTGATAAATATGCATAATTCTTATTTAGCGCACATGACACAATACACTTAAATCTTTTCATTTAGACCGCATATAATTGCTAGATATATTTGTTAATTACGAATTACGAACATTACCCGAATTTCTTGGAATATCAGTGAACAGAGAAACCTGTTTCTCCGTCTTTTATTTATCACTCACGTGCTGTCAAAGTTCATGTTTACTTCACTGGACATCACGAAGTCTTGTGCATTGTATGGAAGACCGCTGGATTTCATGCTGAGCGTGTAATACCCAGGGGACAGTGTCTCGTAGAATTTGAGGACAAAAACCTGCGATTTGCTGCAGTGACTGAGTTCCTCCCATTTTATATTATCAACCGTATATTGATCACTATCATGTTGTTCGTGTTTCAAGAACCTTATTGTTTCCTCATCTATGTCCAACTTGTGAGCGTGAAAAGTAATGTTCGCAGTTCTATGAGTCACTTCGATGATTATACTGCTCTCTGCTGAGAAGTCGTTTTTGCCCTGTCTCAGTTTGATATTATAGTGTCGAGGTTTTACATCAGACGGTAAACGATAATCAATCGCATTGAGCGAGCAATTTACCGAACTATTACTGGCATAATTCAATATTACCGCGCCGAATATTATGCTAACGTAACACAATAGTTTCAGAAATGTCTCGACAATTCTCGTTAGATTCATTTTTCTCTTCGATGTAAAAAAAGATGCTGTATATAATATATTCGCATACAATTTTACATTTAATTAAAAAATGATTCGATTATAAGGAATATACGAGAGAATAAGATATGAAATATACCGGGACTGACGTTCTACGTGTGCGAACGAGAACTAGCCGGATCACAGACTGCACTTTTTTTCCAAAAGATTCGAGAATAAAATTTGAAGAACAGTTCTGTCTATACCTGCCCGTGTGATTTTTGTCTAGCTTGACTACTATTGGAGATCGCTATGTCTAACAGAAAAAAGCTAAAAGCGAAAAGAGCCTAAACTAACAGGTTTGTAACAGGTCATTTTCCTCAGGTATAATCCTTCGTAGTCCTCTTATGAAGCGTTCAGTCTTTATGTGTAAGCACCGATTTTTATCTTAGATGGAATGTACACGATATAATGGCCAGACTATCGATTGGAACTGTCTTTGTTCACATTGTATCCCATCAAAGTGTAGTATATTATAAAAAATAAATTATCATATATATATATATATAATCAGGTAATTTTGGACACGTAATTTGAAAATAACAGTCATAATAACTTTAATTTGAATAGAATTCGCCATATGTAAATTTATAATATAGAATTAATATTAAAGAATCTATCTTTTTCTAAAGACTTGAAACATGAAATTATACATATAAAAATTGATCGATCATGTTATGTTTCTAATGAAGAATATAATTTAATTGATATAAACGTCAATTTTGATTACGAAAAGAACTGTAACGAATTACTGTAAAATGTTGTAAATATGTTTAAGTTGCAAACAGCAATCTTTTATATCGCAGATGTATATTTTTATCAAAATTATTATTTTGCAACTAATGTTACAATCATGTTGTGCTCGAGATACCTTTCTCTTACTATTTCAAATTGGGAAACTCGGCTGGTGAATAAAGTTATAAAGTTAGTAAACGCAAGAAAAGCGATATATCGATCCCGGACGAGAGCCGGGATTTCAACGAAATAAACGATCGTTTTGCTTCAAACTCAAGATCACAGTCATCTTCCACAATTAATTATATTATAAATTTTATTATTATATTATATTTTAATATTATATTATATTAAAAATTTCGTCTAACAGAAACTTAGAATAACTGTGGTCATCATTTTGCGCGAGATCGATCGATTAGAAATCGAACGAGAGTTAACATTGTTAACATTGCGTTAATTAATTGTTGTATGCATATTTGCGTTGACAATATTTGAAATAACAAACGCATGGTAACTAATAATGACATTAATAATATTGACGATAATGGAACGGATCTATTCTAGGAGGAATAAAGTATGACCTAAATTACAGAATCAACATTAAGATTTATTTATACCAGTTAAAATTCGAATATTTCTGATCTGTCCAATTTATAGAAATATGAACATTTATCTGCAACTTTTCCGTCGTGAAAAATGGGCACGAATACATACTTATCTTTATGTATCTGTTTCCGTCGATATTTTATCAAAAGTTCAACTTCGAGCACATCTTGCCTGGGCCATCCAGATTCTTCAAATAGGTATTTCAATATCTAAAACAAATTATAATACTAATAAGTAACATTAATTCGGCACAGCGCGATTTCTTAATTAGCGCAAAGTGTTACGCACGAAGCGTACGTTATTAAAAATTATTGAAAAAGTATGCATAAATAAAAACGAGTGAAGCGCGAGTGCGTAAAGCGTTACCTGGTCAAGCTGGCATTCGGAGTACACGCTCATAACAACGTGAGTCATCGCATCTATCTTGGTTATGCGTCTAAAACATTGAAGAAAAAAATTTGTCATAAGTACAGATGACAAGCTCGTATGTGACCTATATTAATCTTGTAACAATATAGAAGAGAAAATGTAGCTTCTTACCTGCCCACTATTTCATCGAAATGTTTTAAAATAAAATTCAGCACTGTAGGCTTTCTCGCATGCTTCCTCACAAGGCCATGGTATAATTCCATTAATTGCGTATTTTTTAATCGTGTCCATGTACCTTCTAGTTTGAATGTGACGGATGGCAGTATGTCCAGAAGCACGAAATCATTTTCGGCACAAACTATATATTGTAACATATCCTCATTTTTTAACACGATATTATGCAAAATTTTATTGAACTGGTCTCTCGTCGTATTCATCAGACCCGCGCAATACAACCAGCTTTTCCATCCCGGTAAAGTGAAACTACGTGAAACAAAAAAAGATTTTCAACAAATATCTAATTTGAGATCCTGCTACAATCAGATGATATCGCGAAATGTTGAAATAATTAAAGATCCTGATTTTTTAGATAATTACTTATCGTTGTTAGATTTGTTGACGTGTGCTAACAGACTAAAAACGGCATTCTGTCTGCATTTAATATGATTGTGTTTACACGCCCAATTCAAGAGTAATAATCGTGTCGCTTTCAACATTTCATCGTCCTTAGGATTTTCATTGTACCCAATCGTATTCAAGACACTATCCATGCGATCCAATATTAAACTCTGGAAAAATTGTTGAATAATATTAATTTTGGTAAATATGCATATTAGGTCAACCCCCTCAAAAGTTCATGACCTTGATATATGTTGTTAAGAACATGTTCCTGAGTGTTATGCAAAAAGTTGTAGCCGTCGCTCATTGTTTACTAAAAAGTTATTAACAAAAAAAGTTTGGTATATACGTAAGTTGCAAATGCGTTTAGCACGGCGCGCTACGCCCCACCCCACCCTCGCCTCATCCCTATCTCACCTATCTCTCTTCATCTCCTTCCCATTGTTTGTTTTCAATCACTTTCGGGCAAATATCGGGGAGTGGGGATGTGGCGCGCGTAGCGCGCCGTGCTAAATGCACTTGCAACTTATGTATATACCAAACTTTTTTTGTTAATAACTTTTTAATGAACAGTGACCGCCGACTAAAACCTTGCAGCATTACTCAGAGTGATGATCTACATAATATACAACTAAAATTTTTGAAATCGGGAGATGGTCCCCATAGATAAATATTTACCAATGTTTATTTACCAATTGTTAAGAACTTTTTAATAAACAATGAGCGACGGCTGCAACTTTTTGCATAACACTCAGGAACATGTCCTTAACAACATATATCAAGGTCATTCTCTTGAAGGGGTTGACCTAATATACATATTTACCCCCCCCCCTCTCTCCCTCTCTCTCTCTCTCTGCTTTGGAAATTTTAATTTTAAGTATCGTTTGTGCATAGCTCGATACTAGGACGAAATATCGTATGTTCGATATTTCATCCTAGTATCGAGCTATTCTGGTCTTTGTCACTGTGTACCTTGAAATAATCACTCTCTGGGTAGTTGAAGAAAGGCGACATATATTGCAGGACATTCATCATAGAGTGCCATGGTATAAAATTCGTTTCTCTCCATAAGTAAGAGATTAACTTGTAGAAGGTCACGTAATATAATGAATTATCCATTACAAAATGATACGCATCGTCAATGATCTGAGCACGATTCAAGACATGTATCTTCGTGTAATCAGCCTCATCTAGGTACTTCGCGATTTCTATCCAGATCTTCTCCTCGTAATTCACGCGATAGTAGCCTGTCATAGAAACAAAGCACCAATCTCCGATTATCATCTAATGACACTTTCTTATGATGAAACCAAACAAATGGTCAGTTCATACCGAAATGTTGAATGTTTAAAATAACCCAGTTTTGAAAGTCACCCCCGAAAATATATATAATATTGCTTTGATTTAACCAAAGTATAGGCAAATTCTGTGAGAAAAGAAGATGTGGCTGTATCACATATGTTATTGGTATCAACCAATCAGTTTCATTTTCATTGTTTTGCGTGTCATTAGATACGACAACTGTCTTCGTATAACTGTCAATTTGTCGAACAGACAATGTTGGATAGTGTCTTTTTGACAGCCAAATATGTATTATTTCGATTATGTTACAATAAAATTTGTATTGTAAGGGGATCATTTCGTATTCCAGAATTTTCAAGAACTTGCTCAGTGAGGTGAAGTTATATGCACTGAAATAAATAAAACATTTTTTATAACGTCGATCGCTCGAATTAGATGGAACGCTATAAGAGATGGAATTTGGAAACGAGTTATCACTTCGGTGTTATCCATTTTACCAAATAAATTTGCTAAATTTTACAAATCCAATTAGGCACAACTGTTGCATTATATTGCACAACGATAATTATTACTTACAGTTCCTTTAAGTACGTGGCAACGGCTTGCTGAAATACCTCCTCTGTAGCGATATGTTCCATCATTCTTATCAAAACGGATGCTACGATTTAATGCAACAAGAAATGTAAAAGATAAAACATAATTGAAATAAAGTATAACACATGCATATAAATAATTATGTCATAACCATTTTCGATATATAACTGATGAATGTTAATTCTAAAATATTCAAATGCATTAATCCCATCGAACTAATATGTGACTAAATGCTAATTATTTTATTAATGAACATGTGAAAATGCGAATGAATTGGTCAGCCGTTAGAATATCATGTGTCTTATTTTGTTTGCACTCGGCAATTTTCAGACAATCGTTCAATTATATTTCATCGATATAACTTTACTGTCACTTTGATATTAATCAACGAATGTACCTACGATTATATCATGATATTTACGCTGTTTTACCTTTTTTATAAATCAAGGAAAAATAAAACGGATCATAATCGTCCATGACAGATGGTACATTGAGAGCAATATCGTTATGCATAGCAGGTTGTAAAACCTGCACTACAAAAAGTTGCATCATGATATCCTTATTATAGTCCTAAAATTGAAAGTTGTAAAAAATGTAATAATCTGAAAACTTAGCGATACATACTTAGTCGTCGCTAAAAACGAAAGGGTCATATTTTACCATAAAATGTCAAAATATTGAAATTATAATATAATATCGGTGCGAGATATGGAACAGTTTTTATTTCCATTTTGCGCTTTACTCCGGAAAATCTATGAAACGATTGACTAAACAAAGTCGGGTGTTTCTAGTTCGAATAACGATATAAAGAAAAAGAATAAGGACCTTTCTAATGATTTTATATTTGAAATATGTCGCAAAAGCATGACTGAACCACTCGTGAGACCATTTAATTGGAGTGACGAAACTCTCGATTGCCTGTTGTGTTAGTTGACTCGCTATCGTTTTCCATATTTCGAGTTTGCGGCCAGAAAAGTCCAACTGCGGTTTATATATTAGATCTTTGTCTCTGAAAATAGTATTTTTGAATAGGACAATCAATTCGACCGTTCTCTCAAGCGTTTCAGTTAATCGTATGTTAATTGAAGTGATTCGTAATAACCGACATTCAATATGTTAGAAATTCGCTATGTTAAAGCTAATTTCTGTGTGTAAACGAATTTGCTTTCCAGTGACCGAGGCGATCAGCGACAAACATGCCAAGTTCTTAAATGAGTGAGGATTTTGTCCCCTGCTCTTTAATTTCCGTGCTATTCTGATGACGTATGTTACCTGAAAACTGCAAATCCCCAAGCTCCCACAGCAGCACTCGGTAACATTGGATATCCTAGAATGTAAGTTCTCTCATTTTTCCATAAGTTATTCGTATAATCGGTTAAAAAGTAGTTAGTCAAGTTAACAAAGTTTTGGACTTCCGTAAGATAATTTGCCATTGTAAAGTTGGCATACACTTCTATATTTTCTTTTGAGTAATCTTCCAGTTGATATTGAACTGATTCCATAAACGCTATTGTTACAAGATAGGTGGACATCAAGGGTGTAGTTTTAAAAACCGTCAGTTTCGTCGTCGATTTCTTTGGTGTTGAGAACGATTCCTTCTTACTCATATGTGAGAAAGCCCAAATATGGGATAAATGCTCAACGGAGATGTTGAAAGTTGCCTTGAACATTGGCTCGTCCCAGCATGGAAACACGCGTCGAGCACCGGTTTGTTCGAATATTGTTATGTACACCGATCTAAATGCATTTCAATGACGTTTTAGAAACAGCAGAACTGTTATTCGCACTTTTATTTAGAACACTAGTATTCACTAATCTTATTTTGCTCCGCGATATGTGAAATTCAATCGACATTGGCAACATTATGTTTATACGTGAGAAACTTGTTTACTTTGTCAAAACTGGTCTTAGACCTTGAGAAAACGAACGTTTAGTCATTTCTTTCGTATTACACGCGATATGAAATTATGCGTATAATGGTAATAAAGAGCAAGTAGGGAATAGTGCTCGCATACAATCGTGAGGGTTATTAGTTTGATAGAAATTAGAAATTATGAACGTTACACGAATTTTTTTAGTAAACATCACAAGGAGAACGCTTGTTTTCCTTTTTATTTGTTTTTTTTTTTAAGTATACCATCTGTTACTTACTTGCTGCCAAAAAACGAGTGTAGATTTGTAATCATAACTAAGCCCTGGTCACTCTGCAGAATGCCTTTGTACTTCATGGTTAACGTGTAAATCCCAGGAGATAATTTCTTGTAGAATATAAGAATAAAGACCTGCGATTTGCTGCAATAACTATATTCATTCCATTCTATATACGACCATAGGGTCGTATTTTTATCATTTAATTCATGTTTGTAAAGCATAATTGTGTTCGAGTATATATTCAAGTCATAAGCATGGAAAGTAATGTTCGCGGTTTCATGAATTATCTCGATGATTATATTACTCTCGCCATCAAAGCCATTTTCTTTCTCTTTAAGCATGATATTAAGATTATAATGTCGAGGTACTACTTCTGATGATAAACGATAGTCGAGTACATCGAGCAAACAGTTTTCTTTATATTTCCTGATGTTACTTGGGACGGCGAATATCAGACCAGCAGTGAGTAGCAGCTTAAGAAACGCCACTCTAATTCTCGTCCCTGGCTGTAAGATAGTTATAAAGCGTTGTCTACAAGACATTTTTCTTTCTCGACGAAGAAGAAAGGATAATATGCACGCATGATGGTATACAACTATAAGTGCATTTAAATAGAGATTCGATTAATTGACGTTACAATTTTCAAATATTTCAAGTGACGTTACAATATCAACATGTATATAGGACTGTTTTTCTTACCATTTTGGCTCGATGTCAGAACGTTCTCAGTTACAAACATGAATTAAACGGTGAACACAGCCTGACAATTTATAAATACCTGACACAGAAGTATAAAGTATATGTAGATAGGCAAGGACGAGCGTTGATATTTCGGCGAATGTAAACAATCTATTTCAAATTTAAAGTCGATTTACCTCGTTTTACTATTATCGATAATGTAACTCTCGTTACACTAAATCGATAGATAGTGCAAATCAACAGTCATTTTCTGTATCTGTCCCGAAATTATGTCTTTGCATGCTATTGCATGGCATATTGTTATTAAATATAAATTTTGTTATATTATAATTCATCAATGTTATTATTAATTTATTGTTACTATAAATTTTAAACTGTATAAGAAGAATATACGTTGCTTCATTGTATGTTTATTTTGCAAAGAAAAAGGAAAATAATATATATGCAATATATTATATATAATCGCGCCCACGAGTGCGTGGAAATTATTTATAAAATTGCAAATATATTTTAAAACACAGCGAATATTATTTTTGATGTATGCGTTCGCAAACAATATAATTATATTAAAAATTCGCCAATTTAAAATTAATCTTGACAATAAAGAAAAAGAGAAATTATATTTCTAATCGACTTTCGATCAAATTCGCTAATGCTGATCGTTAGATTGTGGAGCGAACGTCGAAATGGCACTAGAAAGTTCGTTTCGGGCTTCTCTCGTGACATTCCAATTGCGTATATGTATATTACCTGAAAATAAAGAAAGTCCAACTTCCTATGGCTTGGATTGAGAATTCCGGAAGCACCACAAAATATCATTGTTTCTATTTCCTTAATTTGAGCGAAATACTAACAGAAGAACTTTTCTGTCTTTTTAAAGACCTTCATCACGACTTACATTTGGTCCGTTACTTGCCACCTACATTATATGTGGATAGTATTGTAAGAGTTGTGCATCTCTGCTAAATCAACAAGTGCGATTACTAAATGGAAAGCTGATATTAGTGGAGTAGTGCCAAAGATCGTCTTAGAGATGCCACCCATAATCGATCTATTTATCGCTTCCATATTCGACAAAGTTGTATACTCGTACATATGCTCGACGGTAATGTAAAATGTCGCTAAAGAATTCGGATAGTCTCAGCTTGGAAACAAACGTCAAGGACCTCCCAATATCAATGTATTCACGTACGATTTTCTGTTGGAATTTCAACATGTTTTTTAAATAAGCAGAAAATTTCACTGTGACATAATGAAAAGGAAATAACATGAAAATAATTTTAACTTTTGTCATTTATATTACATGTTTTCACATATGTTTCGTTCTTCGTTTCTTTCGTATATGGCTTTTACATCAGTGAAAAAGATAAAAACGAAATTTCCAATGAACCTGAAATAAAACCAAGTATTTGTAGAAAAAAATCAAGAGAGAGAGAGAGAGAGAGAGAGAGAGAGAGAGAGAGAGAGAGAGAGAGAGAGAGAGAGAGAAGGAGCATTTAAAGCGAGCGAAAGAATTATCGCGGAAAAGAACATGTGCAGCTGAAAAGAACACCCTTGGTCTGTTTTTTTCAGCTGTACTGCGGAACTAGTGCAATAAGTTAGAATGAGACAACTATATTTTTTCTCACTTTAACTTATTGCACCAGTTCAGTAGTGCAGCTGAAAAGAACAGACCACCTGTCTCGTTAGCGCGAAATTCACACTCGCGCGCATGTGTATATCTGTGGCGGAACGTGGTGGTCGGTTACATGAATACCGGTGTTGTCTTGTGGCAGCGATTAACGTGCTGTTCAACGAACGCTAAATAATTCATGTGTAATCGTTATTCTATGACCTATCGTCTCTCACGACGTTGTTTCATATTTTCATATGATTAGAATTTATCGATCTATCGCAACCAAGTCCACGCGATTCGATTGTCGTCTGCACATTGTAGGTTAGAACTGGCTCTCAACTTTCTTGACTGGATTAAACAATCAAAATTATATAAATAAATTAATTCTCAAATAAAGATGTGACATAGTATATATAATAAAATCGACGAGAGAAGATTAATAAACGAAAATAAACGATAATTTAAGAAAAATACGAATTATCTAATTGTTAAATGAGAAATAATAATTAATGGAAAGTTGCAGTACAAATTGAAGTTTTATATTGCTATTAAAAATGATGGCTGCTACTAAGTGATTAATTTATTGAAATTAAAGCTAAGGTAAAGAGGAATCACAGTGAGTAATACAATTGTATCTATCAAATGCAATTGATTTAAGATGCTTTAAGAAATAAAAAAATAAATTGTCAAGTTTTAGTTTCAATTATAATTACTATTGCAGCATTCAATGGATCATCATGGCTAACTCTGGACCAGGGAGAGACAGACTTTCTCAAAAGACTCTACTATCCAGGTAACGCAGAGTTTTGGATCGTATTCTGGACTACAGCTACAAAATGTCCTTTGGAGTACGGCTAGCTCGCAGCAGACCAATGCGTTTACTAGGCAGCATTGCCTTGAAATGCTGGGCATTTTCTGGCGTTTATTTACTGCTTTGCTTCTTCCTTTACTGGCTATATGGTGGTGTCTTAGCCTTCTTCCTACTGTGTTTTGCTACAACTGGTTTGTATTAATTCTATTATGTATTAATTCCTATTATGTATGTATTAATTCTATTAATTGTATTAATTCCTATTTTCTTAGAGGTCTAAGTTTACATTGTATTGTCCATTTAATACTGATCCATTTAATACAATGATAATGAAATATATAATTTTAGTATTAATAACTCAAGAGATATTTTTGTGTATGTTTCATATTTATAGCTTATTATTATTTCCTCATGGAACAAAATAATTTTGTTGATATTTTGATTAAATTTTTTTAACTTAAAATATTACTTAAATAATCAATTTTCATTATAGGGATCTTATATCATAGAGAAGATCAGCTTCTCTACCATCCAGAAATGCCAGCGCATTCTAGGGTATATGTCCCTGCTCCTTCCATCTTTAGTTTACCTTATCAAAGTATATATACCAAATCTGGGGATGGAACAATGTTGCACATGTTCTTTATTTCTCAGCCAGAGAACAGAATGAAGAATGTGCCCACTATCTTATTTTTTCATGGCAATGCTGGCAATATGGGTCACCGGTACGATATTACTTTTATATTTTTATATAGTATTCAATATTACTTATTTTATTAAAGTTTATAAAATGCATTTTCTTTATAATTTGTAAAAATTTTTGATGTTATAAGAGAGAGGAAGAGAGAGAACAAGAGAGACATAGACATAGAAATCGAAATAGAAATTCAAATATTGAATAAAGTAATAAAAATAAGTATTTTATTTATTTACCTATTTTTTAGGTTACAGAATATACTGGGTCTGTACTATAATGTACAATGCAATATTCTCATGTTAGAATATCGGGGATATGGCTTGTCTCAAGGTTCTCCATCGGAGGAAGGTCTTTATATGGATGCTCAAGCTGGCATTAACTATTTGTCCACCAGGACAGACATAAATACTAATGAAATTATAGTGTTTGGTAGATCGTTGGGTAATGAAGATAAAGTTTCATCATATAAATTTAATTTGAAATATGTAGCAAAAGAAAAGCTCTTATTGATATAAAATTTTCTTTATTTGAGAGATGCAAAGGTAAAGAACACTATCTTGTTTTTTTGTTTTGCAATTTTAACAGGTGGTGCAGTAGCGATCGATTTAGCTATGAAGGAGGAGAACTCACGGCGTATTTGGTGCCTTATCCTAGAAAACACCTTCACCAGCATACCGGACATGGCCGCACTCTTCCTAAAATCCAAATTTCTACAGCATCTGCCACTCTTTGTATACAAAAACAAGGTGAGAAATAGCGATATTTTATATCTATATAATATCCAAATGAAATTATATTTTCTTTCATTTTACGCGTTTTCTCTATGTCAAGAGAAAAGTTTATTAACATTTTAAATAATAAATTCTAAAGCATACTACGTATAAAATTTAACGTATTTTCTTATTTTATTGCAGTATTTGTCTATCCTCAAAGTGCGCTCCATTATTGTACCGACCCTCTTCATTTCCGGTCTGGCGGATACCTTAGTACCACCACGTATGATGCAAGATCTATATAAGACTTGCCGGAGCGGTCATAAGCGGCTACTTCCCGTCGCCGGCGGCACGCACAACGAGACGTGGTGCCAACCTGGATATTATCAGCACATCTGTGCTTTTTTGACCGAACTCAGGGAAAATCCGCCCCTGAGGGTGGCGTCTAGTCATTGGCACATAGACGATATTTAGCGATAAATTCAAACTCGCGAAGGATTTATTTGATAAAAGACATAATTTCAAGATTAACAGAGAGGAATTAAAAATAAAAGCATTCAGTGATATAATCAGGGAAATAATTTAATTTCCTCTGAATCTTTCTTTGAAATATTGGAGCTTTGTTAATTAAATTAACAAATTAGCTGTCCAATAAGTCCAATAAGTCGTGTAAGATCTAGTGTGATGAATTAAGGATAAAGAAAGATAAAATAAATATCTTTTCTATTTTTTCCCAATGAAAATCTTAATATCTTTTGGTATTAAAATATTTGTAATATATGTAAAGATATGTTACAAATATTTTATATGATAATGTAATATGAAAATGAATGGCAAAAGAAACTTGGTAGACTAATTTAGAAAGTTCTGATATTTTATTACAATCTTATATAGTAATAATCTTATATTATTTAATTTTAGCGAAACATCTTCAAAACATTTGATATTTTTCCTAAAATCTCCTATTGATTCGTCTTTTCTTTACAATCATTTTTCGAGTCATCACAATACCGATTATTACAAAAAATATGAGCATCGTCATTGTAATGCTTAAGACAATCAGCATTCCATTACTCAAGCTAAACGTCGCCGTCTGCTGACTGGACACTTCTGCAACACTTGCCATCAATAATCTTTTAGGTAGCTCGTTGCAAAATACCTTAATATTCTGCCACTTGTACCAGTGGACTATTCTTATATTTGTGAAAGGAGCTGGTCCAGCGCATCTAAAATTTATTTGTAAATTAAGAAAACGCGCATATATATATATATATATTTGTATGTATATATATATATATGTTTTTACCTCAGTTCCTCCAAGAGTTTGGGTTCCATTTTATAAAGGTAAGGAATAAGGTTGCCTAGCATCCACTGCAATGAGCAGTTGCAAACAAACGGGTTTCCTTGCAGATTGATGAGGAAACTTGTGTTCTTTAATATTGTACTTTCATATACTATTTTAGGTGAAAATTGAGTAAAACGATTGTTGCTCATATCTAGCTGAAAGACGAGATATATTGCATTATTCGTGCGTATATTGAAAATGCATACAAGTACATCGTTCAAATACTCTTAAGGTGAAAATGTTTCCGATTGAATCAGCAAAAGATTTTTAAAGCATTTAACATGAAATACTTACGAAGCACATGTTGATATCGTGAAAAGCATTCTCCGCCATTACACTCAGTTTGTTGTTGTTGGAAATAGTTACATTTATGCATTCATTCGCTCTCCCCTTCAATTTCTCAAATGTATCTTCATGTATCCCTTCTATCATATCCATGTAATTTGCCTCGAAAATATTTAATTTTAATTCAGATTGCAATTTCAGATCCTGCAATGGATTTCCACTAACGTTGAATATTTTCAGCATAGGGAAAAAGTTCGTTGAAATAGATTTCGGAATAATCGTCAAGTTATTGAATGAAAGATCCAATGACTCCAAATGTTTCAGCTTCACCGACGGGAATTCAGATAAGAAATTCCCGCTTATATTTAAATGCATCAGTTCCTCCAGCAACGAGAATTCTTCCCTCAAGTCAGAAATTCGATTGTTCTCGATATTTAGAACACGAATAGATATTTTCTTAGGTAACAAGATGCCGATGAAGTTGCCTCCTGCATGAAGTTCTTCCAGCCTTAAAGGAAGATCCTGAAAGCTCAAAGATAGAAGACGATTGTCATTGATGCGGAGGATCTTTAGGTACTGCAGGTGCATCAGAGCGTTCGCTTCCAGTTCGCTGAGTCTATTGAAGGAGAAATCCAGATATTCGACTCGTGGTACAGCCTTCAAGAAGTCATCGTATACATAGGTCAGGTTATTGTAAGATAGGTCAAGCACCTTTAGACTTGTAACCATGTGTTGCGAGCTTCTTTCCAGACTGTTAATCATATTGTGACTCAAATTAAGTTTCACGAGAGGGAAATTCGCGTTCAGGACAGAAATGTTGAAACTGGATAGGCGATTGTTGGAGTAACTTAAGTCTTCGAGGTCGCTTAGATCCTCGAAGACATCTATGTGTATATTCTCCAACAGATTTCCGGACAGGTCCAGTTGCTTCAGGTATTTCATCTTTTTCAGAATTTGGCTAGTTAGTAACACTGTACCAAAGTTTCCGGTCTGGACGAGTTTATACAGAGAACGATCGTCCGTCGTAAGAAATTCGTAATAGAAGGTTTCGTCATTCTGTGTGAACTTTCCACGGCAATAAACGATTAGTCCCGAATCTGCCGATAAGATAATGTCTGATGTAGCACAGATGTACTAGATCCATTTAAGAAAATCTAATATATGAAAATTGCTATAATGCAACAGTCTAATGGGAATTTTGTGATATAGAGACATTTAATGTGCAAGACTAGTTCATATATAGCATCTACTTCAAATTTATTAACTATTAAAATCTCTCTTATTGCTTTATCAATCTTTATTTTCCTTTATAAAAAAAAGATTATTTGAGTTTTAGATAAACTTGAGGAGGTTGTATGTTTCTCCTTTAGAGAGTAACATAAATCTCTTTATAATCTTTCATTATAATCTCACCTGTGTTGACGCATTCGCACACTTTACATATGTCGCACAAACATTGATTGCTGCATAATGTCAGAAGCAACAGTATTACAATATTAATGATATTAAACATTATGACACACACAGATGTATATATATTACGTTATGAACGATGTATCACATTTCAAATGTAGTATTTTCGGACTACTGACGAAATGTACCTGAACGGAAGACTCAGAACTTATTGTTAGTCATACAACAAACTACGTATATATCGGTTCTGATAGCATATCGCGGACGCAGTATTTATGATAGATAATAGGACATCTTTATATTGCTCACTTTACAAACTTTGCTTTATCTTGCTGCTAGATTACATTCCGCGAAGCATGAGTATGATTGATAATAATTAATGATTAGAAACAAATGTCAATCTCATGTTAGTGTTAATAACAAAATTATTATCATCATTAATAATCAGAATATTATCGATAGACGATGAAGAAAATATAAGAAAAGAAAATATGAATGGATTGAAAATTAATAATTTCCTTGTGATGTATATTTTCTCTTTGATCTTTATTGCAAAGAAAAAATAAAATAATATAAATGGTTTGATAATTTTGAACAATTCAAATAAAATAAATTAACATAGCACTTATTATAATTTTATTCCAAATACATTAATATAAAAAAGTGTTAATATATAAGAGCAAAGCACTGATCTGTTTGTATGATAATATTTAATGCAAAGGGAAGTTGACTGGTGAGAGTAATATACATATGATAATTAAGACATATTTCAACGTTTTGTTCGACTTTTATCAGCCTTGTCTTATATGTTATTATTTGAATTCATATTTTGATATTTATTCTGTTCCAAATGTAGTTGAAAGGCACTTTTAAAATAATGATTCTTACATAATTGATACTGTGCTAAACTTGTCGATATTCATTGGTATTCATGTGTCACTTATTAATATCAATGAATTATAAGACACAAAACTTAACACTAAATTATTAATAATTAACGTCAAATTAATATCAAGGAACCGTCTATCGCGGTTTTTTCGCGTACGAAACAGCATTTATATACAAACAAAATCAGGCATTTCCAAACAACATTCTTTGCGACGCTAGGATGCCTTGAAAAACTTCATCAGTGTAGTCTGTTTCTTCTTCGCATTGTCGACCTTCGTCTGCGCCTTTTTTATTCGGGATGATCCTTTCTCTTTCTGTTTCTTCTCTTGTTCTTCCTTGTTCTCTCGTTCTTCTTTCTTCTTTTGTTCTTCTTCTTCATCTTCTGAACAGCTCACGTAAACATGTACCTTTTTAGTCACTATGAAGCCACGATCGTCCTTATAAGTCTCGTTCATCATCTTCAACATTTTTCGTTTGCCATTCTCATGCTTCACTGCTGGTGGAGATGGGCTCTTGGGTCTGGTGGGTGCTGCCTCAGTCTCAACTATAGCCTCGGCCATTGGTTCATCTACATCCATGTCGCTTTGTGCTTCTGAGTCACTGGAATCATTCTGAACCACGATTCTTTTTCTTTTCTTGGTATTGTTATCATTCTCTTGACTCTTAATTCGCTTCTTTCCACGAGGTTTTCTTTTTTCTTCAACTTTCTTGTTTTCAAAGATCTCCTTAACTGGATCCTCCTTTTTCTCTGGCACAGGTTTGGCCTCTGCAGATTTTGGAAGGGATGACATTTTCCCGAATAAGCTATCCAAGCTTCCTTTCTTCTTTTTCGTTTCTTCCATTTTTGGAGAGGTTTTCTTGGATTTAGAGTTCTCTGTGGCGCTTTTACTCTTTTCCAATGGACTTTTATTTTTCTCTGAGCTTTTGTCTCTCTCTGTTAAATTCGTGTCTTTTGAAAGACTATTATTTTCCTCCCCAAATTCTTTATCCTTCTTTGTCTTGTATGCTTTCAATGTTTCAGGGCTTTTCTGCTTGCCAGCTGTATTGAAGAAGTTACTAAATCCATTCTTCTTGGATGCAGCTGCTGGTCTCTTATCTGTTTTCGAATAATTTGTAGATTCCATAGGCTTTGAATTCACTACCTTTTCTTCGATAATCTTTTTGGATGTAGTTCCCCAGCGCATAAAATACATCTCTTCGTCATTACGCTCCACACAAGCATCACATTTTATAGCACTATAACTTACATCGCCAGATATGTCAGAGCTGGCAAGCAGCTCTAGATCCTCTAAAGGCTTATGAACACTATATATATGTTCTGAAATTATTTTACTGAATTTCTCTTTAGCCTTGGACAGATTTGATTCTTTCACAACTTCTATACGCATGCTACTGTCATCTAAGGCACCTATTAATAAATGTGTGCACTCAATGTTGCTGTTTTCACGATGCTTTTCGTAAAACTCCCACAAAATTTGCTTTGCTACATTTACATGTACTTGCAGCTTCTTGCTCAGCCATTTATAGGTTACCTGTAAATATCAATGTGTTATATTTCTATCCTATTTCAATATAAATTAATTGTATCTCTCTCTCTCTTTCTTGACAGGTAAATATTAAATCCGAAATATATTAGTTAGCTTATATACAAATAAATAAATATATTAACTTTATTTTTATTTAAATTTTTATAAAATTACCAGCATATCATGGTCGAAAATGTGACCAGCTAGAATTTCCAGATATTCACCCGTAGTCATTTTCAAATAATTTCTTTATAAATATCAATAAAATGTCTCCAATTCTAACCCAAATCCTCTACCTGACCACTAACGAAACATTAATAAAGTAGTAGTAGTAGTAGTAGTAGTTCTTTTCTGAACTCCGGACTGCATTCAGCCTTGTCCATACGCCATATTCCAGTAGTATGAAGACAGAGAGAAGAAGGAGAGAGGTCACGAGCCGCTTTTAGCCGAGCCTAGAGTCCCTATAGTAAAGCCAGCGGCACACGGTACTTGTTTTCGTACTGGATTGCTTGCTGGATGAAAATATTGCGTTCTGATTGGTGCATTTCCATCCATCTTCGGAAATGTACCAATCAGATCGCAGTATTTTCATCCAGCAAGCAATCCAGCACGAAAACAAGCACCGTGTGCCGCTGGCTTAAGAGTCTGGCCAATGTGGTCCAATTTTTGATTGGCTGGATACGAAGTGGCGCCACCAATTAGTGATAGCAAAGTATGCGGGATATTTGAATAGCAGTAACAGGGAAAAGGAAAATTAAAATACATTTTTGCAATTTTTTATTATTAAATTTTGATATTACATAAAGTTAAAAAATATTATATATGTAATAACATGATTATTAAATTTTATCTAATAACGGAATGCATAACCATGGTTTTACTATTAAAAACAGGTTTTTCTAATTTTCCAGTGTGATTTTTTCTTATTTTAAAATTAATGAAACGAATTTTAATTTTGTGGGATAAATTGTGATATGTTTTTAATGCAGTACATTCAATATCTTTCATTTTTTCAATAAGGAAATTAACAATGTTATAATTGCTTTGCTTAATATAAGGCAAATAATGTATAATTACATAATTCATTTCTAAGAAATAATTAAACGCCGTATCGTTAACAAAAAATAATGTTTTTACGCGATAACATTTTAATAATAATATTTATTAATAATAATTTAATTATTTTCATCGTTGTTTTTATTATATTTTAACTTCTTTATTTTTCCATCGAAAGATTCCGACATTACTTTTGTATGAGGAAAACTTGTTGGCACTGCTTGTGCTTTTAATTTCTTGAAACCATCCTGTCGTGGTTTTTCCCACATTTCTTTAGTAAAATGAACCTACAAATACAATTAGATGAGAAACATGTTTTGTTTATTATTTGATATAATTACATGCTTACCTCACAAATTGCTGAGTATTGTTTCGGTTTCCAGTTTTCTCTTCCAATTTGTTTCAACCATCTAATTTTTTGTTTTTTACTTATTGGAAAACGTTTCATATAGAAGCTATTTCCGCTTCTATTTCTGCATCCCGGTATGCAACAACCAGTCATTTTTTAAATATTTTTATATATATTTTTATATATAGGCCTCTTATTGTGTTGGAAGTTTTTTCCAAGATGAAATGATGTTATGTTATCACTTGCATGTGCACGCGTAAAAACCGAGATTATAGTAGGTGCAGTACAGGTGTCGTAGCCATTTTGTATCCAACTAGAACATTGGCCAGACTCTTACTATAGGGACTCTAGCCGAGCCCAGTGTGAGGCGCCCTCTATACTGCACATGAACTACGATGCCAATGTCCACGACTCTTTTCTGATTTCCTCCACCACGCATGTACTCATAGCCGGCTCAGTCTATCCGTGTGGACCACGCGCTCGACAATCGTCGGCGCGCCGAGCGACAGAGAGATATCATTCCCTCCTTCTCACTTTTGTGTTCGCTCAGCGACGCGAGCGAGAATATCTTTCCCTCTTTCTCGCTCTCGTTCTCGCTCAGCGACGCGAGCGAGGCTAAAGCCCAAAACACAATGCTAGGCGATAGCGATAGGCAATAACGATAGCGATAGCATATCAATAGAAACAGAAAATTCCGACACTAGGGAATGTATATGCCAGTGCAGAATGGAACACGGAACAGGCAACAGCGATAAAATTTCCGACGAATTGGAATTCTGTATCTATTGTCTTGTAGCCTACCAATCATAGCTATCGTATTTTGAACCCTCTTTTATCGATAAAAATGCTTTAAATGAGGCTTCTCAGTCAATTATTATAAGAATAATCGATTATGATTGGTCCATTTCTTACTGCTTACGCTTACAACCTTATTCTTGCAGCCATTGTAAATAGGCCTTAAGGCCTGGGGCTCGATTCCTGACGACGTGCGAATGAGATGCGCATGCGAAAATCTATATTATATGTAACGTGAACTGTATATTTTCGCATATGCATTTCATTCACACGCCATCAGGAATCGAGCTTTAGGAGTGTTTCGAAAAAGAACAGACTTTATATTAGAACGCGAAAATAATATTGATAGTACTGTTAGCGTACGTTCGGAACGCAGCCTGAATTGTGAATTACTGGTAAAGGGAACAGATTTGATTCTATATGAAATGATATGCAAGTCCTTAGTTCGCCTCCGTTGGATGTGGTTCCTGTAATTACGCATATTTTTTTATCGTGGGGATTGATTCTCTTATGCGTTGTGCATTATGCGTTATGCAGAAGTCTGTGCTCTGGCCCATAGGACCATAGGGCTCTGGCCCTATGGGCAAGAGCACAGGCTTTTGCGTAATGCATAATACATAACGCATAAGAGAATAAAGCTAAGACTCCATGCATGCGGTGAACTGCGGCAAACGGTTGCGGTGACCAATCAGGAGGGAGGCGCAAGTCCGGTTGCGGCAAGCTCCGGCATGCGTCTGTCTCCTGATTGGTCACCGCAACCGTTTGCCGCAGCTCACCGCATGCATGGAGTCTTAGCTTTAGCTGAAGTCTGTGCTCTGGCCCATATACCGAACGAACGAACGAACGAAACAGATTTCAAACATAAAATCAGCTGTTACGTGTTGAGGTTATATATAATAATCATTATTAGAGTTTAATAGTTTTTAAAGTTTTCTGTGAAAAAATTGTTTAAAAAATGCTATAAAAAGTTAAAAATGTTATAAAAAATCAAGGTAGAAAGGAAAAGAGAGTGCGTGAGATAATATAACTTCAAAACTCAGAAGAAAACAAAATTATGTCATACGAATAATGTTTACATTTCGCCGGTCAAGAAATGAATTCTATATATACATCTTTATATGTTCATGATTTAAGTTGAAAAATAAAAATTCACCTCTTTTTACTTATTATACAGTTTATCTCGCAATTTGCAACACTTTTTATTGAGTTATTAAACATGCAACGCTTAAGCGACTGGTTAGCTGTTCGTGTGAATCTCTGCCGAAGATGTTACTGTACTTCTGTGAAATTGAACAATAATCAAAGATTAGCAGGTATATTCACTTCGAATGTTTTTTTCTAATTATATATTCTGGCAATGTTTACTAAATTATTTATAGAAATAAAGAAAATATAAAAATTTAAATATTGTATGAATAAAAAGCATAAAATTATAAAATTCAACATAATTACATAGATGTTAAAATTGTATATACATATGATTATAGATTGTGTTATATCTTTTCCTATATTTGTCCATAAACTAGAAAAATATAATTTGTTAATAAGTTATTTTCTTTCATTTATATTTAATTATAAGAATTAAGGATAATTGTAAGAATTGTAAAGGAAGGAAAAGAAAAATCAACTAATCAAATTTGAAAATAAAGTAATATGATGCAAAATTTGTGAACAGATTTCCCTACAACTTATAAAATAAAGGATATGGAGCAAAAGTGGTATGATGTATGGCAACAAAACAAATGTTTTTCGTCTTCCAAGACGAGAACTACCAATAAAAAGGGCTCTTTCAACATGGTTTTGCCACCTCCTAATATCACAGGTGTATTACATTTAGGTCATGCACTCACTGCTACTATCCAGGATGTGTTGGCCAGATGGTATGTTGTCAAAGAAGAATTCATAACATCCCTGATTTTTTTGCATTTTTAGAAGATACTTTTAATCATAGACTTCTAAATGGCAGGTATAAAATGAAGGGTTATTCAGTGCTGTGGATACCAGGTCTAGATCATGCTGGTATCGCTACACAGGTCATCGTGGAGAAGTATTTGCATCACACACGAAATCTGTCGCGTCATAATTTGGGCAGGGAGGAATTCGCATCGATGGTCTGGCAATGGAAAGTGGAGAAGGCTGAGATGATCCGCAATCAATTGAAAATGCTGGGTGCTAATCTCGATTGGGATCGAGAATACTTCACCATTGATGAAGTATGTTTGAAATATCAACCAAATTGGAATCAGTGTAATTGGAATTAATTAAATTAATATTATAAGTTATCTCTAGCATTACAGCGCGGCAGTAACGGAAGCATTTGTGCAATTGCATGAGCGAGGACTTCTGTACAGAGATTGTAATTTTGTCAACTGGTCGTCCTTGTTGCACAGTACCATTAGTGATATTGAGGTGGAAAATATGACCATTCACGGAAGTACCAAGCTCCATGTGCCTGGTTATAACAACAAGGTGACGTTCGGCCGCATGATGAAGCTGGCCTATCCCATAGAAGACTCTAGTGAGTGACAAATGCATTTAATTACCTTTAATTAAACATTATAACCTTAATTATCACAATATAATATATAATTATAAATCTTTTTTTTATATACCATTTTTTATATATCATAATAATTATAATAAAATTATTGACATGGTTATCATGATATTATAATCTAAATTATGATTAACATAATTGTTTATCTTTGTTTCAAAATTACTTTATTAAGAATTAATTAGTCAATCTGTTTTGAGTGAATAAAATAAATAAGTATAGAGTTGACCCAATTTCTGGTTTTCCATAGAGGAGGAATTAATAGTGGCGACGACGAGGCCCGAGACCATGTTCGGCGATGTGGCTCTCGCTGTGCATCCGGACGACGACAGATACGCGAAATACGTCGGCCGGCGTGTTATGCACCCCGTCAGGAACATTCCCATCCCCGTCGTGGCCGACTTCGCGGTCAAGAAAGAATTCGGGACTGGTAAGGTAATAAACATTCTTATATTAATGAGAAGGATCTCACGGCTGATTTTCTCTCTCTTCCAGGCGTGTTGAAGATTACGCCGGCACATGATCGCACGGACCATGGTATTGCCAAAAGGCACAATCTGCCTCTCATCGGCGTCATCAATGAAGACGGCAACATGACAGATGCCTGCAAGGGATACGAGGTACTTCAATTACAATCTAATAAAATTTTATTTAAGTTATGGGTTTCTTCGTTTACTTATATCTATTAATACCAATATTTATTCTACAGGGATTGCCGAGATTCGACGCCAGAGAAAAGCTACTGCACGAATTATCCGTTCGAAAAGTTTTGCGAGACGTGGATGACGGTCACAATATGGTGCTGCCACGTTGCTCGCGCTCGCAAGACATCATCGAGCAATTGTTGAAGGAGCAATGGTTCGTGAAATGCGACCAGATGGCTAAAAACGCCATCGATACGGTGGAAAACGGCTCGCTGAAGATCGAGCCCAGCGTATACAAGCAACATTGGCAAGACTGGCTTGGCAATATTAGGTAATTAATCACTTGAAAGAAAAAAAGACAGAAGTTGAAATCAGTAGTAATCAGTTTGTCAAATAAAAAAGAAAATAAATGGAATTATTCAATTTCGAAGGATTAGTAATTTTTACGAATAGAATGAATCGACTCGATATTGTTTTAGACAAAACGTTTAACGAGAACTTTCTATTTTTCTTTCAATAATCCTGCAAGAATTTAATAGAAAAAAAACAAATCCTTTTGCATCAACTTAATAATAAAGGAGATAATCTGATTACTGTGTAGTTTTTTTAATTATTCATATGCGACTATCAATTTCCTCCGATTTTCTCTTCCTCTTGTGTTCAGGGACTGGTGCGTGTCGAGGCAGTTGTGGTGGGGCCACCAAATCCCGGCGTATTTCGTAATCCAAGACGGCTCATGGATAGTCGCACGATCTGAAGAAGAAGCTTATTTGATAGCCAGGAAGAAATACGGAGACGACGTAAAACTTCGTCGAGACGACGACGTTCTCGATACATGGTTCTCCTCGGCGATCGTGCCATTCGCCACACTTGGTTGGCCTAAAAACGTAAGAAAGAAGAGAAATATAATTATTAACTATAAATCATTGAACGTAATCAAATATATAAATACACATTTGTTTATTCTTTCTTTTTACTCATAGACACAGGACATGGCGAATCACTACCCGCTATCTCTAATGGAGACCGGTCACGATATTCTCATGTTTTGGGTGGCAAGGATGGTGATGTTGAGTTTGGAGCTGACGCAATATTTACCTTTCAAAGTAACACTAATCTATCCGCACGAAAATTCTAATTATATATAAATTTTGAAAAATTTGTATCAAGCTATTATTATTATATTATATAGGAAGTATTGCTACACGGAATTCTGTGTGATGCTAATGGCAAAAAGATGTCCAAAAGTTCCGGCAATGTTATATCGCCAGAGAACATTATCAACGGTTGCAGCTTAGAAGTAAGTACAATATTAAAGACTATCATAATAGAAATAAGCAGATTAATTAATATCGTAAACTCGGTTCTTTGCTATTAATTCTACTTTTTATTTTTTTTTTCTTTAGACACATATCTTAGTGATAAAAGTTTCTTTATAATTTCCTATAACTTAATTTATGGGGAATATAATTATTATTGTTAGGAATTGGACGCGCAAGCGAAGCGAAGCTACGAAGCCGGTATTCTCAATGCGGACGAGCTGCGTAGAACGCTTCGTGTCAATGCCAAATCTTATCCCGAAGGGATATTCGACTGCGGTGTAGATGCTCTTAGAATGGCGCTGTGTGCACGCAACATCAAAAGTAAGTAGTGCACGAAATTTTCTGCTTGTCTATCTTAAAAAACATCTCTATATTCTTTATTTTTCAGATCATAATGTCAGTTTCGATATAGCGAACTGCCGGACGAATAAACATTTCTGCAACAAGATCTGGCAGGCGAGTAAGTACATGTTATTAATGGTGAACGAGGACCGAGAGGGAGACGAAGATATAGAAAAATTGAGCAATTTGGATCGCTGGATCCTGAGTCGTTTGTCTCTAACGGTGGAGACGGTAAATACAGCATTCACCGAGCGGAATTTCCACAAGGCGGCCTTAATGATTCGTCAGTTTTTACATTATGAATTTTGTGATTTCTACTTAGTATGTATATAAAAATTTCCTCGATAGTTATATATTTTTCAATATGTTTATATAAAAGTACTGGAATGTCCTTGTAGGAAGGGACGAAGTTTGGTTTCAAAGATGGCAACGCAAATATCGCATCTGGTCATTCATATACTTTGAAGAAATGTCTCGAAGTCTTCCTGAGGCTTCTCGCTCCCCTCATGCCTTATTTAGCGGATGATCTATACAACAGATTCGCCAAGAAACTGCCAGTGTCTTTTCTGTCAGTGTCTTCGTTGTTGGAGACTGAATATCCCGAGTTCGTGGAGGTATTTTTATTTTATGCTTTGTTTCAAATTTATTTTATGAAGTTTGAATGTATTTGAAATTATATATTTGTTTATATCCAGAAATTTATTCTAATTATATACGTATTGATCAGTAATAAATTATAAATTAAAATGATAATTATTAGTTAGTAATAAAAATGGATTAAAAAAGATTATATCTCTTCTTATCTCCATTATGTTCATTTTTCAGTTTGAACATTTGAGGAACGTTTCGTTGGAGGAAGACATGCAGAAAATCATCGATCTGATAGACACTATCAGAGTCTGCATGGCAAACGTCAGCAAGAAGTCCAGTCCAGAAGGTAAGACTCGAAATTACGCGCTTTGCGCAATGTAAATTAATTAAAATTTAAGAAATATATGATAAAATTAATGTTTCAAAGAAAATATATTATTTTACATTGTATATGTTACTTTGCTAAAATATTTAAAATTCACATTGATTAGCTAGTTCTGGAAATATCGATAATACCTCTAATTGTATATAAAAATACTGTTCATAGTTCGTATCTTGACTACAAATATGCAGGACTATGATCTGTACAAGGATAATGTAAATCTGATCAAGGGAGTAAGCAGAATTTGGAATGTATCGATTTACTTGACGAAAGATTACGAGACGATGAAAAAGGATAACTGCGATGAAATCCTGTACGTTTACACGGACGATTGCTCCTTACTCATTACAATTGCGGTAAGCAAAAAATACCTTTCAAACTTTGAACTCCACATTTCAAAATTAAACGAGCGCTTCTCATATTTACGCGTATTTTCGAAATATATATTTATATCCATTTTATTTCTATATATTTACTGCTTTTATGCTTCAGGACGCGTCGGTGATGGAACAAATAAAGAGAAACTTAAAAAAAAAACAAAGTTTGGGTTTGGAAAAACCAGGGAACTCCGCAAAATTAATGCAACAAGAAGTCTAATTTAATAACTGTGTAATTGTAATTATACTCTATAATTAATAAGTAAAAAAGATCTATATGTATTTAATTCCCTAAATATAAAATTTTGTAAAGTTCGGTTAAGATGGATTACCGCGTAACAATTTATACTCTAGAATAGAAAACAAGAGATTATAGAAAACAAAACGAAAATACTAATTTATTTTTTAACATAGAATGAAACAACATTTAATGTTTAGATTATTAATCTATATTAGATAGCAAACATAATAAACGATGGGTAATTTATTGCGTAATTTTAAAATTATAGACATTTTCTGGACAGAAAGAAAAGATCAATTACATTACTGACATGATTTTTTTATATTTACATATTATGTACGAATCTCGTTATCAGTCTTAGTTAATATCTCGTGTTAACTTTGTCATCTTCAGTCATCCTCGTTACTGTCCTCGCTGTCATCCTCTTCCGAGCTCGAGCTTGAATCGAACCATGTATGCGATTTGAGGTTTTCCGGTATCAGTGTCTTCCATTGTTGCAACTTTCGGCAATCTGTGCAGGAAGATGTGAGCATGAATAAGCAATATCGGATGATGATATTCGATAATTATCGAACAACGACAATACCTAGACTGTAGAAGTCGTTGAGGGTGTATTGCCGATCACAGTCCTCTACAAGTCCACCGTACAAGTACAGAATATTATTCTTCACCACCATCCCGGTGTTCATTCGTGCCGAAGGTGAGAATGCAGCAACTTCTCGCGAATTCTCGTCTACGGATAGATCGTCCATGCCAGAGACAGCTTTAACTGGCGCCGTGCCCAATGTCATCTGTTTCATGCCAAAATATTTAAAAAAATCTGTTTGTCTTAAGGCTCTTGATCCTTGGCCGTGGAGAGGAAAAGAAAAGTTTGTGGAGCACTTTAGAGATGTGCTCAATCAATCGCAAGTGTCATTTTATGGATATATCTTGATTTCTACGGTATCCGTAGGAATTTTTAATATAGATTTCCTCGTTTCTGATGTTATCATTCAAGATGGCAGCGACGAAGAAACAGAAACTTTAATAGACATAACGATATTTTTCACAATTTTATGTCTATTAAAATATATTAACTATAATATAATTATCACAGCATCTAATATGATATGCTTCTAGTATGATAATTATATTATATGCACTACATATTACAATTATAATATGTTAAAAATATGATATTCAGATCATTATATAAAAAGTAATTAAGCAACACCTACTGTGAATACTCCGTCTTCAACGGTGATCGTGTTCGATTGCGTCGGATTGGTCGGTGATTCCTGTGACATTTCCGCATCCTCGGAATCATCGCTCTGTTGGTTCTCTCTTTCTTCATCTCCTCCATCCTTCTGTTTTCTCCTTCTCCGTCGCTCCGTCGTCGCGTTTTCTTTCTTTCCAGACAAAGTAACTGTAAAAACATGCGATTACATTATACGAAGCGCGTCGTGAAACTTACAGAAATTTTTTTACTTATTTAATCGTCAATAAATTCTTGAAAATGACAGAAGTGGAGAACAACTTACATGCGCGTTCGAATTATTTTCTATGCGCGATATAAAGAAATGAAAAACGAGCGCTCACCGCTGTGCCACTGAAACTTCTCGAGATCCAGAGCAAGCAAATCCTTGTAGAACGTGCCCCGCAGATTCTCCTCGTCATCTTCTTCCTCTTCGTCTTGCACACCGCCAAACAACAACGCCAGATTGGGCTGATCAAGTGCCGCGGAAATGCCGCAACGCGGAGTCGCGCGCATTCCTGTCTGTCGCACGCACGTCCACTTGTATTTGGTCGTGTCGTTTTCTAAAATTCGCCACATGAATTTCGCATCATTCATTATAACGACTTTCATTTATTTGATTCTATATCGTATGTATATTATTCAGTTAAAAAAGAAAATAACTGACTGTCCGGAGTTAAGAGAAACATGTCGTCATGAATGCGACCTTTGTCCACGTCCTTCTTTATCCTTTCCTTGTTGTAGCCGCCGTACACCATGATTTTGTTGCCGGGGGTCGGCAATACCACACAGCCGGATCGCGGAGTGGGTGCCAAGCCTGAGATCGTCGATCAAATTAGATAGTTTAGTTTAATTTAATTAATTTACGTATTAATTTAATATTTTTTAAATCGTGATTAACATCTTAATTTAAATGTTACATCAATACAGTAATTATTATTGCGATATTTTTTATAAGATATGATAGAGAGAGAATCTAATATATTACCGGCGGGCTCGATCTTGCGCCAAACATAAGTCTCGAGATCGAACGCATACACGTCGTTAAAGTATTTGTAATCTCTGAGATTGTCATGAAATCCGCCAAACACGATCAGCTGTTTCTTTAAAAGCACCATGCGGTGTCCACTTCTAGCCGACGGACCGTTCGGGGCACTGAAAATAGATTTCAGATAAACAATTCTTCCATTTTATGTAATAATTCATCTATCTCAGTGATGTTTTAATACCAAGTGCATAAAATAATCACGCATCTTATATTTTGTAATAACAGTATTATGTAATATTTTCTATGATCCTTTCTGTTTTATACGTACATGATTTTCTCCCATTTTTTATCTGATAATAGAAACACCCAAAGGTCGCGATAATGATAGAACTGTGACTCGCTAGGGCTAGAGAACTCGCCACCAAACACCCACAATTCGCCACCTCGAGCAGCGGTAATTACTGCTTGATGACCACAGCGTGGGGGTGGCGCTCCAGGTGCCTTCACCACTGACCATTCCTTTTTATTTATATTGTAAAAAAACATATCCCCATATACTATAGTCTGAAAAAAGGAAAAAACTTGTAGATTTATTTCCTCCATTATTACTAAATATTAATATCATATCTATTTGCTAATTGCAATAAATATTATTTAATATCATGTTACTTAAAATTTCTAAAAGCTTTAATTCACTTTAAATTATACAAGTGATATCTTATTATATCTTATCATGTAGATATAACTGAAACATCAATCTAATTAATTTTTTATATACCTGTCGACCATCATAAAATTCACCACCCAGCATAATAAGTTCATCTTTGTAGGGATGTGCATTGAGGGTAAAATTTACTCTTCTGGACGGTGGCTCAACTATAACTTCCTTAACACGTTGCCTACGAGCTTCTTCTTGTTCAATCTCTGCTACCACCTTCTCTATGTCATCCTAGGATAATAAGTAATATGCTTAATTATATATTATTACCGCACTTTATATATATATATATATATATACATATTCTTTATTCTGCTCGTTCTTCACTTCATAATTACTTCTATCCAATTACATTTTTTTCTTAAAATCCTTATTCTCTTTCCCTATCTTAAACTTCTTTTAATTCATAATTATCGTTAAATTTCAATTTCAAACTCGTTTATCGTTAAAATTCAAATTTTTCTCCATTAATTCCTCTTTTAATTATTATTGCAAATTTTAGATAATTGTATGTTTAATTCACTTCCGTATATTTTCCTCTTAAAAAGAGAGTAAAGAAAAGAAATTAAATTTAACCTCTCCGAGCGCAGCCAACTCTTTTTTTTGCCGGGCGTTCAGCTTTTTTTCGGTTTTTAACGCCGTTTTCTCACTACCGCTCATCTTCTTCTTATTCTTATCCTTTTTTCCCATCGTATCTATATTGCTGGAGATAGAGTAATAAATTTAACACCAATTAATTTGATTAGTACTCTATATACACGTATTTGAATCCACATGAGCCATCAAAATAACAGATCATCTGCTAAAAGATGCATGATGCTACTTTACGTCATCTAGCGACATTGAAAGAAGCTTGTTTAACATAAGGTTTGAGTCTCAGCTAAGGTTGGTTGAAACGTCGGTTATGTAGGATTTGAAAGCTTGGGATAAAAGACTCATCACATCTACATTCCTTTATTTTATTAGTGCCGAGATCACCGCTACGAGCCGCCACCAACCTTATACGCCATTCTTATACTGTCATCACACACTATATATGTATACATATTCTATCCTATTATACTCCTATTATACTCTATATTCCTATTATACATTATATTATATTTTCTATATATTCTATTATGTATATTTATTGTATTTTATTATATTATTTAATATATATATCACATACATTATATTTCTAAATCTTTACGCATATATAGAAGTACATGTTGAAAAGTTCGATTTTTAAAATTTTTTCTTTATTGTTAGATTTTTCTTCTTTTTATTTTTAATCTGATTAACTATTTACGTCGCGCTTGATCACTTCATTTGACGTGTCATCAATATATTACCATATTATTATATTATTTACGTCTTTAACAACGTAAAACTACAATGTCGCTTGATTCTTCAGATATTCAAATACAATACAAACATATCCTATAATATTAACTTTATTTTCCACATATGTATAATATAACATAATAATCATGTGATACATTTTTTAATACATCGTCTATTTTTCCACTGTGATATTTTGTTCGGAAACAGTGTCACTTGTCCTGGGAATTCGTGTAACTCCGTAGAAGTGAAATTGCCGTTGATGTGAGTTACATTGTTCTGTACAAAGACGAAAGGCCGTTGAATCGAAAGATCCCTCGTCTAAGTGCCAGCACCGCTGGTTCTTGAATTCCCGTTGTTGCAAGTATGTATCCCGAAGAAGACGCTTGCGCCGACGCATCGGGCAGCGAGCTTAGGACACAAGCGTCACCTTATTTCAACGCGTGGAGAGATCGTCGGCGGACCTGAATTTACATATACATACGAAATATATTAGCATATTACTTACATCAAAACTGTGCATTTAATTTATTATTTTCTCGTTACATATCATGCATAGGATATTTTTCGAAGCGATTAAATTCCAACGTATCGTAGATCATTTAATTTCATTCGTCACTTCTCGAAGATAACAGTCGAGTTCCGATGTTATGGACCATTTCCGGTGCTCGGAATCTCACGCGATTAGATAGTCAATACGTACCGCTTAATAACGGTAAGATTCATCGACGTACCCGGATAATTTGCGTGAGACGTGTGTCAGTGATTACATATGGCCCATCGGTATTTGGGTGTCCACGCGATTGTTACCGGACGCAAATGTCTCTTCTTCCAGATCCCAGACCGCTTTATCATCGAATTTCTCTTCCTCCAAAATCGAGCCGCAGACCGACACGTGCATAAGGTGGCCTGTGCAACATGAAGGAGTATCATCGCGATTCAACGGTATCATGTTGCACGACTAATTCTGAGGAGCGAACCCGAAGAGCGACCCCCGATTTTCTAACATCGCTGTCTCCAGAATTTTCCGATTGTGCAATAGATAAGTAAATAAATAAATAAATAAATAAATAAATAAATAAATAAATAAATAAATAAATAAGTGAATATATATATTCATTTGTTTGTGTTTATATTATATAAATTATAGTATTATTTTTGCATCATGTATGCTCGTGTGTATGCAGGACATCCCTAAAATACGCGATTAAGGGGTAACATCTGAGTGAACGGCTGAGAACACAGAGTAAGTTTGGGAATTTTTTGTAGTTAAATAACAACATAGATGGAAAATTAGTTTGAAGGCCTCTAACGTGCATATCTTAAACTTACACAAAACAATTTTTTGTTATTATTTTGTCTCAAGATGGCGGCGCTGAAGTTCTCCAAGTAAAATTGCATTTTTCTCATGGATCCCCGCGGCTTGCAGCAGAAATGCCGTATACTTTCAAAAAGGACAAAAAGGCAAAATTTTTGTTAATCTATATTAAATTTGCTAGAGAAGTATACACGTATATGTTAAAATATTGATTTTTGTAGAAATGATGAACATTAGCAAAAAAGTTTCAGTTTTATCCAAGAAATTCAGTGAAAAAATATTTACAATAACAAAAGTTTCAAACCGATCGTAAAAATCATGTGTACTTCTCTAGAAAATTTAGTTTAACAGCTACTGTAAAAATTTCGAGTAAATCGGATGAAATTTGTTAAAGTTCTGCTGCAAGCCAATTCGAAAAACGTGCTTTTACTTGGAGAGCTTCAGCGCCGCCATCTTGAGGCAAAATAATAACAAAAAATTGTTTTGTGTAAGTTTAAAGTACGCACGTTAGAGGCCAATTCAAACCAATTTTCCATCTATGTTGTTATTATTTAACTACAAAAAATTCCCAAACTTACTCTGTGTTTTCAGACGTTCACTCAGATGTTACCCCTTAAGCTATTATACTCGAATATTGTAGAATGTTAATTTCATTGATCTCACCTACTATGTACACACATGTAATATAATACACACATATAATACACACGCACATATACACTGAATATCGGTGGCGTTTATCGATGGTCGCTGCGCTAGCAACCCTTTCTTTCGCGCGCGCCGAGGATCGACGCGACTCGGAAATCGATTACGAACATACCTGTTATTAATCCGGAAACGATGGAGATTCCCAGGGTGACCACCAGCGCCAGTAATTGAAATCCCGCTTGCTGATACGCCGTCCGATCGTATCCCGGCGATACGTCGTACATATTGTCCCGCAGCTCGGCGAATTTCTGCCCTGAGCTGGGCGCCCGCGCTGGGAAGATCTGTCGCGAACGCCGGCATTTAATATTGCGGAGGCACTGGCCATGAGGGATGGGGAGAAAAAACCGCCGCGGTCGAGAGGGTGACGCGCGCGAACCGAATGACATTAATGTCCGATGTGTTTTGTATTCTTTGCTCGTCCATTGAAATCCCCCGACGAGGGAATGTCGAAGTCGCGCTAATTTTTGAGACGCAAGCAACCGATATCGGAAAAATTCGCTCGCTCGAACGTCAATATTAATAAAATTTGTCTCTAAGATGCGAATAACATAACAAGCCAGATACCATTTATATATGTTATTATCATTGATTTATACTTCTCCGCTTGCATTCTCGACTTTCGGTGACTTCGGCGAGACGTTTCACGTCTCGTTTAACATGTTGACTTTGATTCAACGAATCTCACACGCCTTCGTTGTCTACGTCGCAATTCTTGTTGTCACACAAATATCTGATATATATATATATATGTAATAATAATAAAATATTGATTATGATTAAAAGCACACAGAGAGAACGATTTAGTTGAATCTAACAAATGTTTATTTGGAATAGTCGAAATAAATTTTTTGATTGATCGAACAAAATTTTGTTTGACGCAACAAAAACATTTCGTTGGAACCAAGCTGCAACGAAATATTTTTGTTGCGTCAAACAAAACTTCGTTCGATCAATCAAAAAATTTATTTGGACTATTCCAAATAAGCATTTGTTAAATTCAACAAAATCGTTCTCTCTGTGCAGCGTGACTAAAGTGTGAATAAAGCAACGATGGAAGTTGATACGCGATGAAAGCACGATACGATAAAATTAACGATCAAAGTACGATTAAACCACAAACGAAAGAAGAGCGATTAACGAATGATGAAGGCAATGATTAAATTACAACGGCGGATTAAAGTACGATTAAACCGTGATAAAAAGTAGAGCGATTAAAGAATAACGGAAGATCACTTCAAAATACGGCTGAGATAATGAGATAAAACTAAAGTACACTGTGTTGGCAGTTTACTCTATTATGCCGCACCGGGGAAGAGGTCCGCCGATGGGTCCTATGAAAGTCAACGTGTTAATAATAAGCCTCGCGGTATATGACGACGATCGAGCGACGATGAAGCGGAACGCGTTCGCACGACCTACATAGGTGGCGGGGAGGCCTTAAACGACTATCACTTCTTCATCAGTTCGGCTCGGTAATTATCGCTAAAGTTTACTCGGAAATTCGCGATCGCCCTACCAACTAACGTCGCACGTCCTCCCGCCCGTCCGCGTCCCGCTTGGTAAATGTACTTTAGAGAATTAATTACGGCAACGACCGGACGATTAATTCGCGCGACCGAGTTACGTACGTCGTACAGGGAATAATCGTAAACGGCTTCGGTCGCAATGACCGCCATAAGCGCGCCGAAAACTCCAGCCAGCACGCCAGGCATCCCGTGCAAGTTGTGCACCCCGCAAGTATCGTGGATCCGCAGGTGCTTCTGTATGATCGGCTGCAAGGAAGAACAACGTGAAGAATATGAATTTGCGCGCATCGTCTGTAACATTCCCTCCGGTCCACCACCCTGGACTATCGTGTATACCGAAGGACAAAATACTTATCAGAGAAAAGAAATAACAAACATGTTTGTACTCGGTGAGTATTGATAAAATATTTGCTCAAATTCTAGTGCATTTTTATTTAAGTAGAATAAATAATTGCTCTTTCATAAAGAGAGCTACAAAGTTTTAACAAAATGTAAATTTTCTGATTTGAAGGAAAATATTTTCTCAGTGTGAAAATATTCATATCAACATAAATATTCACAAAATATTCGCGTAAATATTAGTATAAGTGGATATGTTGTTAGTATCTACCAAGTAAATATCTTTTATTTTTTAAGTATGTTTCCTCTGGTGTGTATATTTTACCGGCGTATATTACATATTCCGACGGTTAATTACAAGTCCCGACTGTGAGACATTAATGCGAAAACGTCCACAGTCGCGGTAATTTTCGCGTCGCGACTGAAATTGAGTCGCGCTGTTGCGTGCGAATCTCGAATGTCAGTGACCCTTGCTAGTCAGTCGTCCTGATAATGAAAGAGGAGCGCGATAGGAAAATATGATTTAATGAATTAATCGAACAGTTTTGTTCGCTTTTTGATTGAATCAGTCGCATACATGTCGTAGAAACAACACTACTGATAATATTCTGTTATTATAACGTTGACGAAGGATCACGAACGACGACGGCAATCACTTTCGTTCAATGAATAATTTATTCCCGTCAAATGCAATAAAGACATGAATAATATATCAAATCAGATTTTTCGACCGGCTCAACGTATGCAACGAGGAAAGATCAGAAAATAATAATACGACAAAATCCCGAGATTATCGGCTACATAACGCATTATCGACCAGCACTCCATTTGTGGAATACTTCTTTATCGAATAAAAATATAATTATATTATATTAGTTAGTAATTTTTATTTGTTTAATATATATTTTAATTAATATGTAATTCCATCTTGTATGCCTACAGCGTTCCCTTAATCAGGGGAATTGGGAAATTGGAAATTCCCAATTGTGTCTACGTTTTCCATAAGAGGAAAAAATAATTTTAATATTAATCTAAGACTTCTAGGAAGTGAATAGATCCTTCAATGTTATGTTTACACTTTCCGCTTATAAAAATAGTTTCATTATTAATCTAAGACCTCTGAAAGAAATAGGTAAATCCTTCGATAAAATTTAAACTGATAATTTCACGAAGATTACTCACGAAACAATGATGTTTATTTATTAGATTTGGTTTTATTATCAGGTCTTATTTGTAAATATTAATTTATTATTATAAATTTATAATGTAAATATTATTTAAATATTATTATGAAATATTATTTAGTTTTATTATTAGGTTTTGTAGATTATTAGGTATTGTAGATTTGAAACGTTCATTTTTTAGGCTTTTATTATTATTAGATTGAAGAATATTCGTGCTTACCGTGAGGTATTTATATCCCAGCACGCTGATTATCCCGGACAAAGCGCCGACGGCCAAAGCTCCTATGCCTCCACACATCATACCTGTGTGCATTAGAGAGAGGGAAAAATCTCGGTCTAGCGCGATCATCAAAATAGCTCGACTCGTCGTAGCTCACAAAGATCGATTTTTCGCCCTTCGATGACGAAGACGCAAAGCGAAGAGCAATCATACCTGCGGCAGTGCCAATGGCGACGCCGCCGGCAAGGGTCGAGTTTTGCACGTGCACCATGTTGAACTTGCTGTTGGAGACCAACGCGGACACGGCGAATGCGGTCACGCAGCTGGCGGATATCGACAGCAAGGTGTTGATTATCGCGCGCTGTTGATCGTCGCCCGTCAAGCCCGCGCTGTTGAATGACGGCCAAAACAGCCATAAGAACAGCGTACCTAAGGAGCAGCGCGCGCGATCGTCAGCTTCGCCGACCTGTTCGTCTTCGGGGAACGAGGAGACAACAAGAGTTGTTTCCACGTTCCGCGAGTCACGGACGATTCTCTCCCGTGGCTCGACGAGAACGAATTTTCGCTTGAACGATTGAGGTTTTATTCATTTATTTTTTTTTCTTTAACACGTTAATTGCCGCTCTGAATTTCACCGATTGTGCAAAAATTCAATTGATGGTCAAAGAATATTAAAAACACACACACGATAATACGATAAATAAATGTAATTCGAGATGCATTTCCTCTCTTCATTTTATTGCCTCTCCAATGGCCGCAGAATAAAATGTTCACGCGCGATTAATTGTATTTTACATGCTTAATTTAACGAGACAACGCGGCGTTATCTCAGCAGCGCAGCATTCAACATCGTCAAAAGAGAGTAAAACAAAAAAAATCAACACACAGAAAACGCACTGTTGCGCGATGAGAAAAAAGACAAATAAATCTCGCTTGACGTCGCCTATATTCTCGAGATTTACGGTTCTCCTGGAGATTCGTTCGTAGGGAAATCTGAACGTATTTCACCCAACAGCCCATTGTGAGAGCATAAGCCGTTTTCTTGAGAGATGACAGATACTTTTCGCACTTACCGATCATGGCGAATATGTCCGACTGGTAGGATGCACCCTCGAGCTCGTGCTCCTTCGGCTCCTTCTTCGTTCCGAACACGTAGCTGACCGCCAGGCCGAAGTACGCGCCGAACACGTGCACGAACATACTGTCACCGGCGTCGACCACCTGCGAGACACATGAGTGGCGCGATTTAAACGACGAACATTCACCCTCCGTCTCCTCTCGCAAAGAGGGACGACGAGTGGAGTAGAGTAGAGTAGAGTAGAGTTGATATTTATTTGCCTTGGGATACTCCACTTGGTGCACATATGCTTGACGCATGATAAAGTACGGACGGGTTATAAGCATGTAATAACGATTCATCTGGAGAAAACAGAAAATAAAGCGAATCGCGTACATACGTTTATCTAAAAAAAGAAAGCAAATACTATATCAGGAGCAGAATTATTATAATTTCACACGTAATTTCATACCTAATTCATACCTAATTCTTATAATTGTAAAATCATAGGTGTGTTTTAATTATATATGTGGTAATAATAGTAATAATGAAATGACGAATAAGATAAAAAAGTAAAAATTAAAAATATGCGCACATTTATTTGAAAAAGAACGCTATATCTCGAGTAGAATTATTATAATTATGTAATGTAATAATAATAAAAATTGTATCATCTTTTATTTTTTATACATTATCGCCTTAATTGCAGAATTATAGAGAATCGTTATAATTATATATAATCGTTATATCGTTATAATTATATATAATCGTTATATCGTTATAATTATATATAATAATAATAATGTAATAAAACAGAGAGGAGGATAAAGTCAGGCGAAATGACAGTTGTCTCCAAATGTTTCGTCTGCCAGAAACAATCGCTGCCGAAGAAACGAACGAACTCACCATGAACATATGCTCGCCCACGAATTTGTTGACGTTGAACATGATCAGTTCGGCGATCCCCATAAATATCAGCTGCATGTAGGTCGTCTTGCCCAAGAGCGCTCCCATGGAGATGAGCGGCGCGGCGACGGCGACGTCCGCATCGAGCAGGCTGAGAGCAGAAGTTGCGTCGCGCCGGTGTCCAATAATTAACGAGGGATTATTTCCGAAGCGCGTCGGACGAACGGCGTGGATCATGCAGACGGAATATTTGATGATAATTGAAGCAGCGTTAATAATTAAACGGGAGAATCGCGAGTGCGCACGATCTGTATCCACTGGAGGAAGATTCGCGACGCGAGACGATGAGAGCGGATGATGGACCGGGGCGATGATTTTGGCGCATTCCGTCCGTATCAATCCCACCGCAGTCAGGAAAATCGAAAGCAAATATCAATCGACGAGTTTGTTTCGCCGGCAGTTCATCTGCTATTTTCGATAATAGTTTCGACACTCTCTTCTTCTCCCAAATCCTTGTTCTCTCTCGCTCTCTCTCTCTCTCTCTCTCTCTCTCTCTCTCTCGCTCTCTCTCTTTCTCTTTTTCTTTCTCTTTGTCCCCCCTTTTATCTCTAATCTACTCCATTTTATTTTATTCTACTCGTTCTCTCTTCCCTTTTCTCATTTTTTCTCCCCCTATCTCTTTCCATCTTCCGCTCCTCTTCCTCGTTTCCTCCTTCTTCTCTTTTCACTCTCGCTGTTTTCTTTTTCGACCAATTCCACACGGCGCGCCCTGGGGTAGTTATCGAATCACATATATGTTTGCACGGTGGCCGCGAGATTGCCGCGATAAATGTTCGTAAGTTAACCACGGGTTTACTGTTCGTGATTTTTGCGAGAGCGCGCAGCGCTCGAAATTCGGTTAATTTCGCGGGACAAGAGTACCGCGTTTAATTATGCACGATCGCTCGGACGCATCAGGCATATTATTTCAGATGTATTATTCACCGCGGGATTTATCGTCGCGGATGACCTAATAATGCTCCAGGAGATTTCGATTTGCAAGCGAGAACGCTCGCTCGGGGAGCTCTTCCAGCCGGCACGCGCGCTCGCGACGCGCACTGAGCGACGCGTAAAATCGCGAGCCTCCTCCCGAATTATAGATCGCCCCGCGGACAGAGGGGGAGAGAGAAAGAGACGCGGAGAGCGCGGGATTAATGCGGAAAACAATCGAAGATTTATAGGCGCATGCATATGCATGTACATCTGCAAATGTAATTCCGATTCCTCGAGCGCTCCGAGAACCGCATTCTCCCCTGAGTTCTATCGCGAATCGAGTCCGAGAGTTTCGAGTCTCCAGATACGAGAACTGTTTGTGTACTGGCGCTGTCAGTGTAAATTCAGTGCTTCCCTGGGTCCGGCCAGCCAGATATCCATCCGATACTCAAATTCGCGGGTACTTGGGAAAAAATTATGCACTAGAAAAATGAAAACCCAAAAAAAAGTATTCTATTTGTAAAGTGATTTTTCTCATAGTCTCATATTCTAAGCGAAGCCTTTTACAGAGAAAAGATTCCCCTCTCGATAAAGCGATTAAAGTGAACCATTCATCTAAAATTTATTAGATATTATTCTAACTGTTTTCCTCTTATTTCAAGAGAATTTCCTCTTATATCAATTAATTTTCCTTTTATATGAAGAGGAATATGTTGATTTGAACGTCGGCTTCTTTTGTTCATGCTTTACCTCTAGACATGAACAAAAAAATAATCATGTGCTCGTGGGTCAGAATATTTGGAACGCTTGTTAAAAAAGGCATGTGTGTTGCTGTAACATATAATGTAGATAATTTATCCATATTTGATCAAATGCAGTTTATAATCTATTTGATTAAGAAGTTGAATAATATATTCTTTCTTTTAACTATGTTTCATACAATTGGTTATGATAAATATCTTTGTAACTATAAAGTCCATAACAAAATCGATTGGATATTTATTTGTTACGATGATCTTATTTCATTCATGCCTACTTGTAGAACTTGTAGAACTGGAGCTAGAAGTGCATCTATATATATATATATATATATATATATTGCTTTTTGCTATACATTATAATAATTTTTTCAAATTAACTAGTGTAACCAGTAAGAATAAGTAATAATCCTCTTAAAAAACGATTAAATAATTTGTATATAAGGGGGAATTTATATTAAAATCAATAAGATTTGCATTATATATATATATATTTATATATATATATAACATATAATTCCTCTAACTTTAAGAATAATGTGTTTATAATATTTTCCTCTTAATCTTAGAGGAATCCTCTTAGGAGGCCATATATAAGAATAAAATCCTCTAAAATTTAGATGATTTCGCTTTCCGAAATTACTTTTTTTGGGTGTAATGTATCAACAGCACTGAGATGTGACTGAAGCGCATTTTCCGCGTTCGAGATTGTCATTGAATATTATTGATGATTGAAACTGTAATACTGCTACTGAAGTTAGTACTCGAGTCATCAATATAACGCATCAGTGTACCATATTTCCAATAATATCGCTCTGAATCTAGAATCAAGAGAAAATGTCAATAATACCGCTTCGAAGATTTAATCCAATTAGACCGCTGTGTCGATACATCGCTTTTTCTGCGAAAATTTCCCCTCTATTAAAATCCGTGGCTATCGTACGAATAACGGGCTATTTGGCAAATTTGCCTGTCGATACTCAAATACGCTATTTGACACTTAAATCCGTGGAAACTACCAAGAAATTATTCAACTCCGCGCTCAAATTCGCAAACGTTGCCCGGACACCCAGTTATCCACTCGATGCTGAAACACTTCACAGAGTTGCTGCTCAAATTAACCGAATACTCATCTGCCTCTTGTTCTCAATGCTCACAGCGGCTGATCCGGAATCAGCTGATTCCATCGTTCGCTTTTCTAAACGTATCACCCACCCGCCACTGATTATGTTACTCGAGTACCTAACCCGGCCAGACGTAATCGTGTACCGTGAAACGCCCTAATATCACTAACAAGAACTCGAGAAGGAAGCGCAATTCGCACATTCCCGCGCCTCGGAACTTCCGCTTCCGCGAGCACGAGACAGAGGACAGGGTGAAGGTAAACCGAAGGAAGACACTGACCTTTTCAACGAGAGATAAGCCTTGGCGCCCGTCAACGTGTTCGTCACGCCGTTGCAGATTAGAGCCACCTGGACGAGCACGGCGCCGACGAGGAAGGTCAAGCCGGCCGCGCTCTGGCCGTAACGCTTGAGGAACGTCATGAGGAAGCCGAAGCCGACCCAGATCATCACGTGGACATCTTGATACACTGTGCCGTTTTAACCGGTGCCGCAGGAAGGTTGGGGGGAACCAAACAACAAAAGCCCTTTTTATAAGCGACATGCATGCACCTTGCGTGCGGTTAATGAGCGAGCGTCTCTGCTCTTGTCTTGCTTGCTTTGCTTTGCTTTGCTTTGCTTTGCTTTGCTTGCCCGCCTGTCCCGCTTGCTCGCGCGCACGAGCAGTTGCTATGTTAATCGCGCGTTAATTGACCGTCGCGATCGCTTGATCGCGCCGATCCGCAGCTTCGCGATTTTCGCGTCACGGAGAATCGCTATGATCGTTGCCGTCATCTCTTTATTACGCGAAGCGAGAACGACGCGAACTACGGCTACACACTTCCGGTTTGTAACCCGGAATATTTTTCTCTCTCTCTCTCTCTCTCTCTCTCTCTCTTTCTTTCTTTCTTTCGAATTTTCTTTGCCCCTTCTTTCTTTTTTATCTTTTGCATTTCTCCTGTCTGTTTCTCTCGGCTTTTCTTTTTTCTCTTTCTTTCTCTCTCTCTCTCTCTCTCCTCTCTCTCTCTCTCTCTCTCTCTCTTCTTTTCCTCTCTCGTTCTTGCTCCCGCGTCTGCTCTGATTGGAACTTACGTGGTGCATACGTGATCGGCGATCCGCTCGAATGCCCGTTGAGACTGAACGCGTAGATATTGGCCCTGTTAGTCGCGCTCACCTCCGGCGCGTATTGGAACGTGACGATAAAACCGCACAGCAGCATGCCTTCGATCGCGAGGAGCACCATCGCGTGTACCAGCGCGTAGTTCCTCATGTTTCGTAATAAGGAACTGTTCATTACTCCACCGCGTTTTGGACTCTTGCTTCGCACGGCATGGGAAGGGATCGGCGATTCGCAACGATTCGATGGCCGAGTATCGCGAGCAGATCTTTCGCGAATGCCAAGAGCGGGGACTGTCGCAAAAATGGCGGATTCATTGTGTATAGGCGCGATAGTCATCGACAGGTCCCGTCGAGAATAGCGCAGGGAGGTCATGTCAGACAGGTTGAGTTCGGCCAATTGCCGGTACGGCGAAGAAAAGCGCGCGAGAACGGTGGAAACGAGAACGCATAGCGTGTTTTACAGCGCGGGGTATTGTTATTCCAATGAGCGGATGACGTGTCGTCACCTTTATCGTACAACTGATAAACACGCGCGATAAAATTCTTTTCATTAGCGGCTTAAACTTTCGATCGTACACTAGAAAAAACAATGTCTAAAAAGCAAAAACTCACATTTATAAAAAATTAATAAATATTTTAAATTTCTGTGTAAGATATTGAATAAAATAAAATGTGAAATATAAAACAAATATATGGATATAAAAATAAAATACATTAATATATAGATAAATTTTAACAAAATTAAAATAAATATTTTGCAATATTCTAGGAGATTTATTCGGTAGATACCGAATAGCATATTTCGTTAAATCCAAATTCTTTTATCTAGATAGAAAAAACTATTGCTTCTTTTCACGAAGAAAGCTACGGCTTCAATCAAATAAATATTCTTCTATTTGAAAAGCAATTTCGTTTATGTAAAAATACACATACATTGACATGAGTAAATATATTATTAGTATTCACCGAATATTTATTAAAATTTAGATTTTAATTTCATTTTCTTCCTTCAGGGTACGGCTCGAAGAAGCGATTATCATACACGGCGCGGAGTCATCGCGGAAAGTTCGCATTTCGCGGGACTTCAAGGAGCCGTCGCAATATTTTCTTTTTTATATGCGTAATCATATCAAGTAGGACAATATGATATTCCGATATGATCGTATTAAATATTGACACGCAGTGTGATATTAATTGAAAGGACACAATTGTTTAAAGTGACACAACGGGGTTACTTCGCTCAAGATAAATTCCACCGTTTCACATCATAGACTAAAATATGTGAAATTTAAGTTACCGTGTGCGTCCAATACCTTGCCAGCTCTCTCCTTACTCCGCTCACTTTTTTGGGAGACTCCTCGATATTATTACGTCGTATATAAATCCCATAAATAGAACTGGAGATTAATCTCGGCGGAGCACTCGCGCGAGCCGATGAAGATTCCGCGCGATCTTCGTCGAAAGTTGCTCCATCCCTCGACATCGGTCACGTCGCGAGCTCTCTCAGACGCAGTGGCGAACATCGCGCGATTGCGTGGCGTGGTTATTGGTATTATTGGCGTTATCAGCGCATACGGAGCATTATCTCGGTGCCGACATTAGTGAATCCCCTAATCATGTTCGGGCTGTTACATGCGGCAAAGTAAACGCACGAATCCATGCGCGCGTAATTCGCACGGTCGCGTTAATTAATTTCGACGAAGACTCGCGAGATAAATCGACGGCCGGCCCGTTGCACCGAGCGAACCGACCGACGCGTCGTGTCGCGACCATTATTAATAGCGAATCGCAGCTGTTTAGTGATGTTCGGCCGTGTATCTGAGAGAGAGAGAGAGAGAGAGAGAGAGAGAGAGAGAGAGAGAGAGAGAGAGAGAGAGAGAGAGAGAGAGAGAGAGCGGTATATATTAAGCTCGTTATACAAATACCCGCGGATAAATCAATCGATAACGTGACACGCGCGGTGGGATAATTGGCAATAGATAGGAATTAACTCGACGCGGCTCGAACCGTCGGCGTCGCGGACGACAAGGAAAAATGTATCGTTCCCCCTTCTCTTCCTCGCTATGCGTCGATTTGATCTTTTTACCTCCCGTCTCGTACTGTTCAATTCTTCTTTCAGTTTCAGTTTCGTACGTAGATAATGACAAATTTTAGCAAATTTCAATTAATTTTAAAGTAACTAAAATCTATTATTTGTACAATTGGTTGTTTCTCCCTTTTAACCGCTTGTTGAGGGTCGATCTTTCGAAAAATTTAATGTCTGTTTAACTATTTGTAAATTGGTGAGCATTTCGTGTGCCTTTTATTCTCTCCTTTAGAAAGACTCGAGAAAAACGAACAGCGCCAATGTACTCTTTGCTTTTCAACGGAATGAGTCAACCCTTTAACTTAATTGATAGCACAGTGGCATAGCGGGTTTTAAAATCGACGATGGGGAACGAGGGGGTTTATTTATCGATGTGGATTCGTCGACGAACTTAAGGCTTCCCGCGGTCACGACGAAAGCACGCGCGGCGTAATGACGCGCCGGTGCTTCGTTCGGTATTTTGCTAACGAACGACATCGTTGTCGCGCTTTTGTTATTCAATAGCGCCGCTATTTATATCCCGCCGCGCGATGAGAAAATAGAACTTATCGCGGGAAGAAACGCAGCGGGAAAAGCACCTTATAACGTCGCCTCTGTCGACCCGGCGCAACTCACCGGCGAACTTTTCTCTTCGCCCACCCGCCCGTTGTGGTACTGTCGCGAGAGAACACAAGAGATACGTGTATTTATTTCTCGCTCTCTCCCCCCCCCTCCTTCATCTCTTTCGTTCTTGCTCGCGAGATAGATATAAATATGTGACGTTGTAATTCGATTTACTCACTCGGATAAATTCGCAATGGGTCGTCGTCTGGTTTCTTGTCCTGGGCTTTGCCGGCGGCGGCGGTGATGCCTGCAAGTTTGATTAGCATTTATTTCAGGCACGAACGGGAGAATTCTCGACGGCTGAAATTCTCTCGGTTGCCGTCGTCGTATGCGCGATTTACCGCAACTTTCTTCCGCCAACGAGGAGAGACGCGCACGGGCGCGATTCCGCCTGAGAGTGATCCGCGGAACTCCGCGGAAACGCGGAGACATTCGTCACAAGAAAAAGCGCAAAACGGCCGAAAAGAAGTAGGAGGAAAGAAAGAAAAAGAAGGGAAGGGAAAAGTAATGCGAGAGATTCGCCGTTTTCTCTGCGATTCTTAATCTTTAATCGTGTTTCCGCGGAATCTCAAGTTCCTCCTTCCTTATTCTCTTCCTCCTTTTTTTTCTTCCCGCCACGCACGGTCGCCGGATCTTCTTTGCGCGAGAATTAAATTTACATTCCCGTGCGATTCGTATTACATCGTAATACCTTTCCTTGATCATACACACATTTCACACGTACACACACATGTATCCGTAGACGCAGTTCGCGCGATGCGAGGATAAGCGCGTTCGGAAATTCGGTTGGTAGTTGCGCCATAACATTCGTAACCATTAACTGCGCTAACTATATTATTGCGTAACTAAGGCGCGCACGCACACCTCCGAGAGGCGCGCGTGTGTTTCGCATGGCCGCCTACGTATCACGCACGTACACGTGCGTACACGTGCATACACGACGGTCGTTATGTACCAACCTGTGTGATTTCTGTGCGCATTAACACTCGCTTCCGGCCCGTACGTCATCAACGTCCCCATTAGCACGATCAAGACGATCTGGATTAAAAACAGCCACAGCACCTGCTGCTTGCCGGAGACCGACGAAAACATTCCCTGCGAAGGAGCAGAGGACAAGGAGAAGAAGAAGAAGAAGAAGAAGAAGAAGAAGAAGCAGACGTCAGGTCTTTCATTCGTATCGTTCAAACACGCTCGACGCGATTACGTACGCTATTCGTTCTTTTGTCACATGAATTATTTTATGTATTTTATGTGTTTCATTCTCTCGCTCCCTGCCTTGTATATATCTCCGATTGTTGAATCTGTGGGCATATACTTTGACTTTTCCCAGCTGTATATAATATTTATGCGACGAATATTTTCACGTCAAATATTTATACTTTTTATTATTTAGGCGTTCCGCAGACATTGTCTATTTGCGATTGACCATTTGCAGAAAATTATGTTTCCAGCAATTTGAATATCTTAATAAATTTGCGACCGTGAATGGTGCAAAGATAATTTAACAGTAAGATTTGATTGCACAAATTCGTTATAAAGTTTATTATGGATAGGTAGAAAGGTAATTTAACAGTGACATTTGATTGAATACAAATTCGTTATAAAATTTATATTATAGATAATTCTAATTAAAATAATTCATGTGAATAATTCATAGAAACAGTTATTATCGAGTATTATTTTGTCGTCCAATGTTATCGGGTCGTTGCGGTAAATCGTTTTATCATTTTTTCGCCGAGTTTCGCTGTGCCAAATAAAAATCAACGAGATTCCGTTTTATTGGAATTGTGAAAAAGTGGAGTTAGTCAGTTTCGAGGAGAATCAGCCAGTCAGTCAGTCAACAAGTCAGCTAGTCAGTCGATAGGTCAGCTAACAGGCAAGGTCTATTGAGCTAACAGGCAAGGTCTATTGAGATCGAAACAGTTTTTAATTGTTGAAAAATTATTTCCAAGCTCCCACCGAATCGAGTTTTCGAGCTCGCTCGGCGGGAGAAACGAGTCCCCTTCGCCATCGATTTAATAATATTTTTCGCGATATCCTCTCGTCAATCTATTTATAATTAAATCCTAGAATATCTTTTCATTTAACCTGGAATATCTTTTTATTTAACCTGGAATATCTTTTTATTTAACACCCGCGAATATTTATGGATACATTTATGTTGCGCCGGTTATACCTTCATTTATCTCTATCGCTCGCACTCGCTTGAGCGCGTCAATATTTGTTGCGATTTACTACCGTAAACGGAATTTATCATCACGAGCGATCAGATATTGTGTAATACTTTTAATCACGGCGCTCCTCCCTTTTTTCTCGATTCGACGGCGCTGATCGATCCTGTCAATAAAGCGAGTTAACGCGGAACAAAGCTGCCGAGGCGCTATCTCTTCACTCTCGCTCTTAGAAAAACAGTTATATGATTATCGATCCCGATTCGTTTTTAACATCTATTCATGATGATGCACCCTTAATAATCGCGCGCAACACGCGTCTCATCGGGCCGATCACGCTGGAAGGAAAATAGACAAATAACCCGATCCGTGTGAATGTCCCATGAAAAATAAATAAAAAAGAGAGACTCGTTGAAATAGCCCGAATCGAGTTAAACGAACTCGATTTCAGAGTCGCGCATGGCCGACTAACTGGCCTAATTTCTCCAGTACAATTTTTATTTCAGCGAAATACGTTCCTCTTGTTTATTTGCATGAAACGAATTAAAAATCTACTCCAATATTATTATAAAATTGGCATCTTCGGTCGCGTTTCCTGTCTGATTCGCTCAACCTTCCATCGCAAGTAGAGTCACAGTTCGCGATCAATTTTCGGTGATTACTTTTGCTAATTGAAGGAACGTCTATATGACACATAGCAACTACGTTTCAACTACGATTAAATTCCGCAGTTCCAACGTCCAACTGCCGCGATCCGATGCGATTGTTACTCCGGTCGTCGTCTCGAGCGTAATTTGCAATTGCGCGACCTTGAAACTTTGTTCCTCTCGCCTGATTTCTTTCCTCTCAGGCTACATACCACCACTGGTAAAAGATATTTCAGCGTGCGCGTATACCGTTACTCAAACGAGAAATAAGAATCAAATCAACAAATTAAACAAAAGATCAAATAAAATAGAAGAACATCCAGTATCGATAAAAAGTGTACACTAATGGAGGAAAATATAAATATATCCATCGAATGCGATACCTCTCCCATGGCGTGTCGGTAATCGTGAATTCACAGCGCGCGAGGCACCTGGTTTCCTTGGTCTCCGCTCGCGCGATCTTCCGCTTCTTGCCGCTAAAAGCATCGCTTTTTCAGATCGCTACCTCACCGTCCACCATCCGGCCGCTTGGATATGCGCGCCGGAAGGCACCCTTCGCTCGTTCGCTCGCTGAGCGCGTCTCGTGCGCGTCGAAATTCACCGCGGAAGAGGCAACCACGTGAACGAGGGCGCTGTCGTCCCGGGCCCGGCGACGTCGACGTTCGCAAATTGCATCGTTACAACGGTCCGCCGCGAGGATGACGTATTAAATTAAATCGTCATCAACGCGACGCGAGAACGCGGCCTGGGGCCGGACGGGCGGGTGTGCGGCGGCGATGACGTCGAGAGGCCGCGAAAACAATTGATAACGATGGCGCGCGCGATAAATACACGGGAACACGGCGGGCCATCCGCGATAACGGATAGTGCAGCCGGCTATCGGGCTCGGATAGTTTGCCGCAGCGCGAGCGAGCGAGCAAGCGCGCACGTGTGCGTGCAAATATTAACTTTTGTCGTTCGAGCGTGCCGTTTAGAGACAACGTTTATCTGATATCGACGAATAAATCATCCGCGAGCATTTCGAGCGGGCGCGCGCGCGCGCGAGCGAGCGGCCGGCGCCAACTTTTCCGCGCGAAATTCGCTTCGGATCGATCGGCGAGAACGCGAGAGCGAGAGCGAGTGTGTGGAGTATGTTATCGTCCTGGGACGTTGTCCTCCGAGGACGTGAAATGATCCGGAAAATTTAATGAAGCAAATTAAGCTCGGTTGTGTACGCATGACACCGTGCAAATTTTACGACTGTGACGTCGCCTCAGATTAAACACGATTAGACACGAATAAGACTCGATGTGATTCTGAGAGCTCGCGCGCTACCTTCCTTCTGGGCGTTGGATTTATTTTCACAGAGGGAGAGAGAGAGAGAGAGAGAGAGAGAGAGAAGATTAACTTCCGCCATTTGAGGACGTGCTCTTTGAGGACGACGTTTATCCAGTATCGACGAATAAATCATTCATGCGCTCCCGCGCATTTCGAGCGCTCGTTCGTTCGCGCAAGCTTTTCTCCCTCATTACACAACGTGAGAATGAGCGTGAAATTTCCACGGATCGCGGCAAGTGAGCGAGTAGCGCTTCTTATTGATCTAGGCTACACCCTTTGAGAACATACAGTGATTACAAAACTCGACATTGACTGACACAGAGATTAAGGTCAGTCGTACATCTAGCGGCACGGTGCAGTTGACGCTCGAGGAGTTTCCATTCCAAAAGGAAATCGCGCAATCTTCTTCTCTGAGTATCGAGATTGACTTTTTCTTTCCACAGAGAGAGAGAGAGAGAGAGAGAGAGAGAGAGAGAGAGAGAGAGAGAGAGAGAGAGAGAGAGAGAGAAGGAGAGAGAAAGAGAAAACTATTCCGTCAGTTCATTCGCGACTGCACGCAGTGCTGCTTTGCATTACGCAGCGTGCGGAGAGTCGGAGGCGCAGCGAACGTCAAACGCATCGGCATTAAGGGAATAGCGTATATCCGTTGGGGTGATTTAGCGGCGACGTCAGCGAGGTCAGCGAGCGAGCGATCAAGCGGAGCGAGCTAGCCTGGCTAGCGAGCGCGCGCGCGCGCGCGCACAGATCGAATCGGATCGGACGCGACGTCCCGCGCGTGGGCGCGTAATTGGATCGTATACGGAATAAAAGGATAAACAATATCGGCCATGTACCGACGCGAATTGTCCGATAAAACCCGTTTCCGTCAGCTCCATCACACGCGCGCACGCGATCTGTCCGCATTGAATGCATCTCGCGAAACGCCGAATCCGCGACCGGGACCGACGTGTGACGCCACGCTCCACGGTTCGTCTGATCGCTCTTTTTCTTCTTTCTTTCTTGCTTCATTTCTTGCGCGAGAGGCAGAGAACGGTTGCCTCTTCGGCGGAGGAAGCTGCTTTACGGCTGTTGTAAAATTCGTGAATATGATCGGTGTTATACTCCAGACCCTGGCTGAGTCTAAGTGAGCGCAGCGCCAGGGAAATTCACCAAGTTTACGACAGTTGCAAGGTGGCTTCCTCCGCAGCCACTGATCGTTGGACGTGAAAACAGAGCGAATCGGCTGCTCCGCGAGATCCCTTCGAGTGAAATTCCACTCGAAAAGCAGAGTAACGCTCGAGTCACTCGAAGTCGAGCGATTTCTCGCTCGCGCCGAGTGAATTCTTCCGCTGTGAATCGTCGAATGAATATTTTCGCTGGAAATTGAAGAACGAATCTTGGCGTGGTGCTGTATACCGTCGCAGGAACAGATTCGCTTCAGTCGCATAAAATATTCACCACGGACTACGCATCCGTTCGTTAAGTTTGAACGTTGAACGTTCGGCCCGGCGATGCCGAGTGGCGGTATTTTCGCTGCCGCCACCGGTGAGTGATCATTCGTCCCTCTCACTGAATGTAGACAACAAAGTCTCCTCGTACGACGCTTCGTCTCTCGAGAAAGTTGTCTCCGATGACCGAGAGAAGTGAGAGATCTTCCCTCGAGAGAAACTGAGAGCAACGAAACGAGAGAAATGAAAAGTACCTTACAAATTATTCAAGCTCCTTCAAGCTCGAATTACCGGAACTCGAATTTAACGCGCTTTAGTAAGGCACCGTCGAGATACCTCGGAGAAGAACACGGAGGAAAGTTACGGTCAGGCGGCGGAATCCGTGCCGCCAGCGACCCGTGCGAATTTCGCGATGACGCGACATTCGCGCGCTCCGCCCGCGCGTCATATCGCTTTAGCGCATCGCCCGCCGATAGATCGAGCCGATCGATCGATCGGTCCAGATCAATTGTCCAGGGTCGCCGTATCGATCGCAGGCGACTCAGCTTGCGTTTCGAATCGGAGATCGCGTGACGCGCGACGAACCTTGCAATCGCATACATGCATAAGTGATGCGCCGACCGCTTGTTTACTCGGCATCTCCCTTACAACGCGCTCGAATCGGAACGAACTCGCGCAGCTTCTCCGACGACAATCGACGTCTCGTCGCGCTGCGTATCGACCGTGTACACTCGATTGCAGAAGGGTTCGGGCACGTTTTTTCCGAGTTTGAGAAGTTAGGTGCCCGGCAAATGCTATCCGCGATTGCGAGCTACTTGTGACAGCAACCGAAGTGACGAGATATGCCTGTTTCGCTCTCTTTCAGCTTGGTTTCTTTTCCCTCCGACTCCGAGTTATATATGTTTAACTCTTACGACAAGAAGCGCGAACCAGTTCAGCTGAAAAGAAGAAAAAACAGATCTAGCTTGTGAGACATCTGGCATCACACTCTGAATGTAAATGTGTTATTTCGACTTCTTCTTACACGTTTCTTGCCGTTTTAAACCACGTGACTTAAAGAGCTCTGGTCTAATTGCACGCTTATGCGTACAAAAATGAAGCACTTGAATTTGTAGTAAACTACCACGGAGAGGATTCAAAAAAGTTTAAATATTTTTACAGCATTCTTACCCCACCATCCTTACTTCAGACAAGAATATAATAAATTATTATTTCTGTTGAGTAAAAATTATATTTACATATATTTCTTACACCAAAAATTTATACTTTTTCATATATATTAAAAATTATACGTGTATTTATATATGTTTTTCTTATCTAATGGATAACAATTTATTATGCTTTCTTGATCTGATGAATAAAAATATTGCAAAGATATCTAATGTTTTTGCAGAAATTTTTTTTATTAAATAAAAATTATATATATGTATATTTCTTATTTTTCCGATAAGAAAAATAATAATAAAATGAAATAAAATAAAAGATTAATGTTTACACTGTGTACTGTCTCTTTGGTTGCTATCAGAAGCGAATATTGTGCAAACTCGTCAACAGTAGCTTATAATAGTGGCAACTTGGAGCGTCCCTACCTTCATTGAGATAAGAAAGGTACGTGAACCGTTCTGCAACCGCGTGTAGTACGTTCTACCGGAAGCTTACACGTCGACTTTGGCACGGCGTATCGTTCGTAGCGGGCGTTTCCGCGAATATTTCAGGGAACGACGTTTCTCGGCGAACGGGAAAAATCGTTTGATCCCGGCTTCGAAACGACGGCAATTCTCTCTTGAACTCTCGGCTCTCTCCGAGCAGAAGTCGGACCGCGTCCCGTCGCGCGCGCACACGCGAATTGTCGCAAACCGCTCTGCGCCGTTTAAGCGTCGGTACTGAGGGTCCGGCCGAGTTCATCGGGCCGGTTTATAGGAACCCCGGGGGTCCGTACAGCGGGGAATTGCTAACAATTGTCGTTTTTACATAATTCTACGCCGCCGTCCTTGTCCGTCGGGTCTTGCTTGCGCGGCTCGCAAGATGAACGGCTCTTTCCAGAAATAGGAGAGGCACAACGAGATGCCACCCGATCCGCGGATTCAAGAGCGCCGCGGGACCATCCCGAGCTAAAATTAATGTCCACGTCAATCTTCATCGTGCGCCACGCGTAATTCAATCCTCGGTACAATCAATCGTTTGAAAAAATTCAGTTTGATCGTTACGTAGAATAATCCCGGGTGGGATAAAACGTTTCTCACAAAACCGTAAATAAAAGGAATGAAAAAGTGTTCGCGCGCGCGTTTGCGGTTTGATTATTATGTAACAAAAATTCCGGGAGAGACAAAGCGCTCTTTGTGAAAAAGAATGGAAAAGGAACCGAGAAGGAAACATGCTTCGAATCCTCCATATCTTCGATGTCTCTCTAAATCATATATCAGAAATCTATCAATTGTTTTTCTTTTATTTATATACCGATATATTATGAATTTTTTCTATCGGCACAAAGTGGAAAGGATGAAACAAGTGATGAACGTCATCCCTCGCCTTGGTATTGGATAGACGGCGGAGAGACGATAGATGATGGAGTTCAAAATAAGATCGCGGCTTCCGAGTTGGTTGTAGGATTTTAAAGCGAGTTTTCAAGAGAAAATCGACCAAAATCGTCGTTCCGTCGTCCTCTCCAAAGCTGTCTTAGATCGAATGTTCCTCCGCGGTTGTATCTCTCGCGCGCGATCCCCCTTCTTATTTCCTCGGAAAGTAATCGTTTACTCGAAAATAGATGACTTTAAACAAGAGATACGTCCCATCTCAGAGCGGCTCTTCCATTCTTGCCGAAGAATCGACGCGCGTCTCCGTCTCTGCTGATATTTCTCTAAATTAAACATCACTTCGATCGCGAAAATCTCTCTATTTTCTCTCCCTCTCCCTCTCCCTCTCCCTCTCTCTCCCTCTCTCTCCCTCTCTCTCCCTCTCTCCCTCTCTCTCTCTCTCTCTCTTTTTCGCTTTGTCGCGATAAAGCCTTGCGCGAGCCAGTTTGCGGGCGGATACAAATGAATTTTTCACCAAACCGATATCTCATCTTCCCGTTCTTTCGTCGGTGGGCGGCGGAAGAGTCGAGTCGCGCGACGGTGGGACCTCTCGCCGTCGTCTCGGCCGCGCCCGGCGAGAGAACGCTTAACGATTTTCCCGTTCGCGAATTTTCGCCGCCGCTGAAACGCGAAACCTCTTGGCCGCCGGCAATTAGCGGGGCTAATTGAAAGTGGGACGCCCGGGAATGAGGATTTATTGTGCTCACTCTCGCTTCTCTGAACGTTAGTGACAACGACTACTACTACGACGACGACGAGGACGTAAAATCGGGATGGACAACAGGGTTAGAGGGAGAAAGAAACGAGGAAGAAAAAAAGAAAGTGTGAGAAGAGGGCCGAGGGAAAAAGGGAGGGAGAGAGGGAGGGAGACAAGACAGCGGAAAAAAGAGGAAGCCGGAGGCCGGCTTAGGACGCACCAGCAGGCTCGAGTAGAATGGAATTTTTAATTAGGCTCTCGGGGACAAGCTGCCATTTACCGAGCCGTGATCTGGCCGAACGGGACGGTAATATCCTAGAGAAGGATTGTGCTGGAGCGAGCGAGTATCTTTCACGTGATATTTCTTCGGTGGCGAGCGCAATCGATCGATACGCAATGTAAGTATTTACGCAAGAAACCGTCCGGATAATCGGATGGTAATAATAATGTATCATTCCGCTTCCGGCTGCGCTTCGAATGTTTCCTTGCGCCCGAGAAGAATTATCAGAATGCGCTCGTGCGAACGTCACCGCACGCCCCTCGGAATCCTGCCGAGGGGAATTCGATCAGCGCGAACGCGGACGGACGCGGGAGATATTAAAATGATGATTAAGTCGGAGCTTCCCGTGGGACGCATATTTCGGGGTTTTATTATCGATACGTGACGCGTGGGTCAAATCACGATGGCGAGCCGTTCGTAATCTAGAAGCGGAAAATTGGCGACCAAAATTATGATATAACGTGTAAAAAAAGTGTACATGTATATTTATTTACTTTATGTATAATGTTTCATGTACCAAACGGGAAACTGGTGATACAAAACAGAAGAAGCGATGATTCTATATGGAAAAATAAATAGAAATTGCGCAGAATGAAATGTTTTTCACACGACGCTTCGTTTTCGAAAGAAATAAAAATTTGAATACTCGTTCAGTGTAGTACTGCGAACGTTTAATAACCTTACTCGTTGAATAATCCATCTATCAAGATGTCTACGAGTAGGATATCGGTTTCGGTAATAATTAGCTGCAGGAGCATTAGCGTCATATGCATCCAGCACAAGGATCGTGTCGCTTTACTGCTGATTCCTGTGCGCAGCCATATCGATAGAAGGATGTATATATACACACGCGTATACACTTCATTATAATTTATACACATATACAAGGTGGCTCAAAAATTTGGAAACGGCCGAATATCTCGTAAACAATGTGTTTTAGAAAGAAAAGATATCCTAAAAAGTAGTAGAGATGTGCGAACTATTCGAATTCGAATCCGAATAATTCGAAAATCTCGAATCGCGAAGATTCGAATACGAATCAAATATATTAGCGTTTGTGCGTATCAGTTATAAAACGGGCCATCTGGGCCTGTACATTTGAACCCTTAACTTATTTTTAATTAATTATTAATTAATAATGTTTAATTGCCGTAATTAATCTAACTTATAATTAATAACTTAATTATAAATTACTATAAATATTTAAATATTTTATTTTAAGATAATATTACAATATTAATATTCCTTTTCATATTAAAATCTTCCATCATTATTTGCATTTAATTTAATATTCATGTTAAATTTTTTAATGGTTCGATTCGATTTGATTCGAATTCGAATGAAATTTTATAGATTCGTTTCGATTCGAATCCGAATTTAAAAAATGAGATTCGATTCGATTCGATTCGACATAAAAATTCTTGATTCGCACATCTCTAAAAAGTAGTAAAATTTAAAATGACGCATCCCGTGGCAATATCGGTTTGACGACGAATGGCGTTGCCAGGATCACGTCAAGGTAAAGACAAACTTTATTTTTTTAATGGAAACCTTTATTTTTTATTATATATTTTTGCAGCTGGCATCGGGACATTTTCAAAAAGTATAATAAAGCTCTAGTTCGTTGAATGCTTTTCGTGTTATCGTTTGATAAATATCAAGTACCGTCAGCATTAGCGTTATGTAAGAACAAGATATAAAGATGCACTTTATTCTTTTAATGAAAACTCTTATTTTTTATTACACATTTTTGCAGCTGGCGTCGGGACATTTTCAAAAAGCATAATAAAGCTCAAGTCTGTCGAATGCTTTTTAAGTTATCGATTGATAAATATCAAGTACCGCCAGTATTAGCGTTATGCAAGATGTATTATGTGGACAGTCGGATTTACATCTCTTGTATATGTGTGTAGACGTGTATGCGAGCAGAGATAAGGACACCACGGTTCGGCACTCCCGCAGTATTTAATGATTCCAAACCCTCTCTACTGTGTACGTAAGTGTGCTTTAGTTGAGCGAATGCTCGTTGTCGTCTATCTACGGCTTGACAAAGACCCAAGCGTTCATAAAAATTGCTTAATATATTTAGTAACAAGATTTGAGTGACAAAATGTGACAAGCTCATTAATAATAATTATTTTGTAAGAATGATATCTTTTCTTTTTCAACATTCTACGGATGATTTATTTGTTTCGTTTATTTGCTTGTGCTGTACATATATACGAATATATATATATATATATTTTTTTTTTCTTGTCCAGCTTCGAATAATAATCTCCAGTTTTCCCAATCGCGTCGATACACGCGAGGAGGAAAAAGCGGAGAGCATTCGCCGGAAAAAAATCAACAAAGAAAACGAAATAACTTGAAGCGCGTTCGCGTGCTTTGCACTTTGCTCAGACGGTCGATACTCCACTTACCTCTGCTTTGTTCAACCGCTCTTCACGAAGATACGACGAAGACGTTGGGCGGAATACGCTCCGAGTTCAGGGCGATCGCCTGTGGAGGAGTTCGTGCGGAACAACCTAACGCATCACCGAGGCGAGACTTCTTCGCTGTTGCTGCCTCTGCTTCTGCTGCTGCATCATGCGACTACCGGTCACAAAGTTCCTCAGCGGTCTCCGGATCGTCGAATCACGACGTGGAGGGTCATATGACTTCGCACGAGAGACAGTCACGGGACATCCGGCCGCGAGAACGAGCGGGACGGCACTCGGCGACACGAAAGAGCCCGGACACAATGTCGGCGAGGATGAGCACGCAATCGATTGGCCTCTCGGCCAAGGAAATCGACAACCACGATGACGACGGTGGTCAACATGTACCGATGTCATTAGACCGCGCCATAGCCGCAGAAGGAGAGAGAGAGAGAGAGAGAGAGAGAGAGAGTGAGAGAGAGAGAGAGAGAGAGAGAGAGAGAGAGAGAAAGAGAAGCAAACAAGTCGCGATTCGTGGCCAACGGCAACGGCAATCGCGAAACTCGCTCGACGCAAGGAACGGCTCGTTTGTGATATCGAGCAAACGGAAAAACAAGGACCGGAAGGTAGGAAAATGAATATTTGGATTCTCTGTTTGTATCTTTACAAAAGGAACGTCGGAGAGCACTTGCACGAGCATATTGATGTACATTCAGCGTAAACGTCGGATAATTTATTTGTTTTGTATTTGTTATAGGAATATATACACGTAAAATTAAATGCGTAAAATGCGTAAAAAAATTAGTGTCAAATTAAATATATATATAAAAAATATACTTTACGGAGCAAACCTTCGCGCAATATTTCAATGGTGTATTCTGGTAATTGATCGGAATCAAAAATCTTGATACAAAAATTTCAAGAGAGAATTTCACCATTCGTCACAATTTTCCAACTTTCAACATCGTATTGTATTTAACAATATATCTTTGTAATTAAACTTTTAATTAAGTTCTTACTTGAGTACAATCCACCTGAGAGAAAAGCAGCTGGAAAATGTAACTTTCTTATTCATTTGTTCTTTCCGTTTCTTCATTAGTTTGTGACTCGAAAAATATTGATGTCTCAACATTTTTATATTGGGATTTCCTACTTCAATTAAACTCTAGAACACGTTAAAAACATAAATGTCCAATCTCGGAATATCCTGTGCATACAATTTTTTGCATACAGACGAATGATCATCTCTTGTTTGGTCGTACAAGCGGATGTCTCTGGCTTGCCATGTTTCGTTCGTCGAATTTTGCACGTCGCAAATTTTGCAAATCTTACGAAACGCAAGAAAAAAGTGGAATATTTCTGCACGAATCGCTGTGCATTAATAAATATCTGTGAGGTAATATTGATATTTCTACAGAGAAGAAGGAAGGGAAAAAGAAAGACGGAGGATTATCTATTTATTTCGAGCGCTTGCGAACGGCGATCAGATGCTTCTGGTTTACTGCATTGCCGATTAACTTCTTCGTTTGCACGTGCGCGCGCGCACAAGAGAGAGAGAGAGAGAGAGAGAGAGGAGTTTCCAGTTGTTCCTGTAAATTAGAGGAATATCTCGCGAATTAATCGACCCGCGCCCGAGCGATCTTACGAAACGGAAGAGAGCAGCGTGAAGAATATTTCCGCTCTCGCAACTCACCAGAATATTTCTGTCCTGCTAAATTGCGGGAATTTCACGCTGAGCGCTCCGGAGTTGCGTAACGATCGTGAACGTGCTTGTCTTACGGATAACAAATTCGAAGGCCGAGATACGGAGAATACGGAAATCGATCCGTTACACTTCGTCAGGCGTAATTATCGATGCGCACCTAACGAGCGCAAACGAGAAAGAGAGAGGAAGTCAGAGTGATTGAGTGTCTAAGAAAGAGAGAGAGAGAGAGAGAGAGAGAGAGAGAGACAGAGAGACAGAGAGTGAAGAAAGCAAGAAATAAAAAAAACCTTCACGCACCTTCACTGTTCTTCGACCATTTATTTCCGATTACTGTTAAATCTTACAAAAGAACATATAATACATATTACAGCTTGACGGTGAATCCATAAAAGTAGACTAAACCTAATTTAACGTTTACCGCGTGTAAACTGCGCTTATCGTACTCGTAGAGCTTAAACTAATTATACATACGTGAAAAATTCCCGTATCTCCCGAGGGAGCGGACCGTCCGCGAAAATTACCAAAATTTACGCGCAAATATATAGATTTTATTTATGTTTGTAATATGTATGCCGAAAACGCGTGTACACGTATATACGCGTACGTGGAGGAAACGCAATGAGATGGATACAAATAGAATAAAAGGAGAGCGCATTTGAAAGATAAGGTATGTTTATTTGTACGATGTGTATATATGCTTGTGTGTGTGTGTGTGTGTGTGTGTGTGTGTGTGTATGTGTGTGTATGTGTATATGTGTACGTGCCAAAAGGCGCACGAAAATCGACGGACGAACGAAGAGAGATGCTGCGACGTTGGAAGATCGACCAATTGCTCGGCTTTGTTAATTACTTATTCTCTTAATTAAATTCGCGATCGATTCGTCGATCATTCCTTCACATTGTGATCTGTCTCTTCCTGCTCGTCGGTCAATTTATTAATATCAAGAAGAGAGAAAGAGAGAGAGAGAGAGAGAAAGAGAGGAAGATGGAGAGAAAGAGAGAGAGGCGAGGAGGGGGAGGAATCCCATGAACATTCAAGGTCTCCCGTTTTATTCGACTTACAGTGACTGATTGACAGCGTACTCGTTCATTTATTCACATATCAAGTTTAACGATGTATTAGTTAGTCTATTTTATTTATAATGCGACTTCAGGCGGACCGTAAATCGTGTACGAGAGATGAGAGTTTCCTAAGAACTAACACCGAACTTTCCTTATCTTTGGTATCTATAAGAGTTGAATGTCTCGCGATCAGGATCATTAATGGATTCCGTAGCGAGGGGGGAGAGAGAAAGAGAGAAATAGAGAAAAATAAAGAGAGAGAGAGAGAGAGAGAGAGAGGAGGGAGGAGAGAAAAAACGACAAAAAAGGAAGTTATCTTAACATGCTACTTTTTCTTTTATTTTTATTTGTTTTTTCTTCGTTTTATTATCCTACGTTTGCAGGATAACTGTTAACCCTTTCGCCACCGCCTGTATAAATCCTTATCCTTTACCTGGTGACGACGCGAAAAGTATTTGTACTGACAACTTTCAGACAATAAATTAAAAGGAGAAACTTAACGTGCTGCAACCCCGCCGCGTGATATCGAAACGGAATTTACGACAGCCGAAGGAGCTGCGAAATTGCAGAGTGACTGTACGCGGGAATTAATGAGAACGTTAATTACATACGTTACGTGTATACACTTCACTGTGTTTATATGCTCGACACGACGAAGCAAACGAACGAACGAACGAACGAACGAACGAACGAACGAACGAGCGAACGAACCTCCTCGTTCACCCTCTCGGAATAATCCCTGACAATCTGTTCTCGTGAGAGAGAGGGGTGAGAGGGGGTTGCGGGACAATTCAGACGGAGATCCCCGTGTCGATCTAACGAATCCTCTGCTACCTCCCGGTACGGCGCGAAAGGGTTAAGAGAAACGAGAGTGGGAGTGGCGCGTCGCGTCGCTCGCAGTTTCCTCGTCCTGTGTCGCCGCATCGGCGGAGTCAAAGAGTCCCCCGGTAACGTGGTGGACGCGCGCTACCCCCGTTGATACTTTTCTTTCTTCCCCCTCTCTCCCCTTTCTGACGTTTTCATTTTAATTACACGCGCGCTTCTCAGCCAACAACAGGTGTGTCGTGCCGCACTGTGGCGCGTCGGCGGCGACGACGACGACGACGACGACGACGACGGCGACAGCGACCTCGCGCAAGAAGAAACAACCAGGAAGAAAGGAACAAGCGTGCGTTTCTCGCCCCGCAAACGCGGCATTCGACGTCTCTTCGCCACCCTCTCCCCCTCCCTCCTTCTCTCCCTCTTTCTCTTCTTCTGGCCGATCCATCGAGGTCGAGACCCGATGACCCTTGACTCACCCACACCTCCTTCGCGGTCTCGACTCTCGGGCTACGGCAATGTTCCGCTAATGAAAACCGCTAAAGCCTGACCGGCGGCAGCGGAGGCGGCGGCGGCGGCGGCGGCGGCGGCGGCGGCGGCGGCGGCGGCGGCGGCGGCGGTGGCGATTGCTCTGCCACTGCATGCGCGGCCCGACATATTTTCATATACTATATAGACATATCACGTTACTCTATGACAACGCATATACTATGACAAACAACCTCAACATTATCGATAATTCTTTTTGTTTCAATTCTCTCTTCGTCATTGTTCCGCGAGGGGCGCGCGGCGCTCCACGTTATCGGTATATCGGTATCGTTATATCGTATAGTACGCTCTTTAGATGATTATATTTATAAGATAATTAATTCCCGCGTGTTTTCTCCTTGCGAATTTCACACACGTCATCCGTCGTACGTGTGTCTTGGTACTCGTGCGTTTTTCGCCGTTTCGCTTTTTTTCTCCCTTTTTTCTTTCTCTGTTTCCGACGAAAGAGTCCAACGTGGCCTCCTGCTGCGAAGGTAGCGACAGGACGACGACGATGATTGTACGTCAGGAAAAATTGTGGCAGTGGCTTGCAGCATATGTGTATGTATATGTGTGTGCGTGCGTGTGTGCGTGTGTGTGTGTGTGTGTGTGGTGTGCGTGTGTGTGTGTTTATGTGTATACATACGCAACACGACCATACCTCTTTGTATCGCGCGCGGGGTGTCGCTGGTTTCTCTAACTAATAGAAAGTTCCGAGCCTGCACCGCTGGTACCGCTGCCCGTGTAACTTTCGGTTCAACGTGCTGTTTGGTTTTCCGTACGTATCTCGTCGACCTCCACGAGTAACAATACATGAACCTTCTTTCCTCTTATATTTTCGCTCTTCTCCTTTTTCTTTCCTTCCCCGCGACATTTTCTTCCTGTCTCTTTGGTTTTGCTGAATTATAATGCGACACAGAGAGAGGAAGAAGTTCACCGCCGCGCGTTTTACTTACTTCATTTGATTCTCCCTCCGTACGTACATAGATATCTACGTATGTCGAATGTGTCCTCGAGATCACCGACGAATCGGACAGCGGAAGGTAAAAACGCCCGACAACGCCGGAGGCTGGAGGGAAGCAGAAGTCAACACGCAATGTCACGTTCGCCTCTCGCTCGGTCGTCTCACGCGAGAGAGGGCATGTTTATTCTGCTTGTCGGAGGAATTTCAGACAAACTCACCCGTTTTATCCCCCTCGGGAAGAATCAAGGAGTCCGACTGTGCGCTGCTGAGAGCGGCCGATCGGACGCTCGGTCGGTCGGTAGGTCGGACGGACGGACGGGGACGAGTCGAGGATTTTATTGGCGGCGTGCCGCGTCGCGCCTGGTCGAGGATGAAGGATTTTCAGTACCCGAGGATATCAAGGATATTTACTTTGCTAACTCTGCGAGATCTGCGTCTCACGCATGAGACTGGCCGATCGCGAGGGTGCTGGGTGTAATCTCGGCGAATTGCGGATACAGTGTAGCGTCGCTTCGATTTTTTTTACTTGTGGGTATGTGTGTGTGTGTGTGTGTGTGTGTGTGTGTATCGTATGTGCGGTGATGCTTAGATTTCCGAGCGCTTCGAAACGCAACGTCTCAAGTTCGAGACCGGTTCGAGGCTCCACCTCGAGATTCGAATTATTCAGAATCGTCCGAAGTACGGATACCGTTCGAATCCGAAAATTCCCGGTGTCGATTCCTATGATTTTTACTCTGGAAATTTCCTCCAGTGAAATTCCACTCGAAAAGCGGAGTGACAGCCGGTCTCGCTCGAGCGAGACTTTTCACTCGTAAATAACGAATTTTCCGCTTCGAATCGTCGGCTGAACATTCCCACTCGAAATTCCCTCCTGTTACTAGACACTTTATTATTACTTATCATTTAATAATCATAAAACGCTTCATTCTTATTTATTACTTGAAATCGAAAAGATCCCATGCGACATATGTCCGTCGTAATTGCAGCGAATTCTCTCGCGATCGAATTCGACGTTCCCTCGTATGGATTACAAATCCGTCCGATGACCATCTTCGAGTTGCAAAACATCCAGCCCCGAACGGCGATGTTTTCGCGATATCGAATCGCGCCGATGTCCACTCCTCGTTCTTCGAGCGAGGTCTCACTTCGGGCGAGGAACTTCGAGAGTAACGATCGCGCGTGCGGCAGCCGAAAATCGTCGTTCATCCGTCGCGCGCGCGACGCAACGGACCAACCACGTAAGAGAGACGGCGGAAACTCGCCGGGATTACGCGAGCAAAGTTTTTCTAGTCGCTCGAGATAGCGGAGATACGGCGGTGCGCGACGCATTTGGTGTTCTCGCAGATATAAACCCGCGGGATAAAGAGGAGTCACGAGGGATCGAAGGATAATAAAAGGAGTCTTGGGTGATCCCCGAGGCGAGAGAACGGAGACCGCTCTTTCTCTCTGTGTGTTGTTGCATATTCAACGCGCTCGTATATTCAATATACTTCCCGATATTTCAATTGTTGCCGGCGGAACACTCGGAGAAGCGTCCCTTTTCGCGGTTTTATTTCGCTCCCCCTTTCGCTCCTCGAGAGAGAGAGAGAGAGAGAGAGAGAGAGAGAGAGAGAGAGAGAGAGAGAGAGAGAGAGAGAGAGAGAGAGAGAGAGGGAGAGAGCGACCCTCTCGGGCTACGAGACGGCGCCCCACCGAGGGTGTGTGTTCCGCGGTTTCGTCCGGAAACTACCGACTTGGCCGTGACTCGGCAGTGATGATGGTGGTGATGGTGGTGGTGTTGAATGGTCGTCGGCCGGCTCGAGAACGAGTGTTAGAGATGCGATGAGCTATATCGTCTAAATGGCACCTAGTTACGCAAGCGAATGTACCTAACGAGAAACGGCAGTGCGCGGTATTTGGTTTATATTCTTACAACAGTCACGCACCCACACTCGGTAACAAGCGCACACACGCACACGCATATGCAGACGGGCGTACACATACACACACACACACGCGCGCGCGCGCGCGCGCACGCGCGCACGCACGAAGCCGTACACAGCACATATCGCACGCGACAATGCGTAGGTAGGTAAAGCAAGTACACGAAAGTGCAGATATCTTGCAGACACGGTAACGACTTTGGCGGTAAACGCAGCGCCCACGGGGAGCCATGAGGCCCGGAAGTGGCGTTCGACCCCACGCAAATCGGACCGACGCGATTCCGGACGCGCCTCATGATTCACCCGCTCTCCGCTCTCTTGGTCTTTTTTCTCTTGGATTGAATTAAGTCGGTGCGAAAGGTTCGTCGGCGTCTCTGTCGGATTCCGTTTCTTGGATCGGGTGTTACCCCGGTCGGAGAGATGATGGAGAGAAGTTTCTTAATCCTCTTCTCCCGTAAGAGGCGGGCTCGGCTTTCCCTACGCGCAGGGGAGGAATTAAAAAATTCGTTCGATCTCCTTTTCGGGCGGAAGGACAACTCGATATTCAGCGAGGTGCCAAACGAGGTCCGGGGAGAAAGGTTTCGACACGCGTGTTGAAAGATAAACGATTGCTGACGCTCCGTTTTTATTAATACACACTCGGAAGTCGAAGGAGAGGAGATTCGATTTACTTTTTCTCCGAATAAGGTAGTCACCGTACCATGTTCCAATGTTCTTTTTCCGTTTATTGTTCGTTGTCGCAGGTGGAGGGAAAAATAATGCGAAACGATGCTGAAGAATTTAGATTAAATATTTTCGCGCCTTGCGCGAGTGTTAAGAACTGGAAATGCAGGAAGAATAGAATATCTTCCCCCCCGAATAAGCATTTTCCAGCAAATTCGAGAAAAGGAAAAGGAAATTCACGGAAAAGAGGTGATTGAGAAACGAACGAATTCCACTCGGATCGATAAGAATTATCGCGTAATTGCGTCACGTTCGTCGAGGAATACGAATCTTTCGCACCGTGGAAACGCTTCTCCGCCTGCGTTCTCTTCTTCTTCGACTTTTTTTCTACGTTTGACTGCTGTATATATATATATATACATATATATATATATGTATAATATATGCATTTCTCGACTCATACGACTCTACTCTCGATTGTCTGGCGTGTTATTAGCGACGTGTAATTGGCGCTCGTGCGTACGAGGACCGAAACGACTTATAACGCGGAAGAGGGGAACGTTAGATGCGTCATAAAGGCGAAAATGTGAAGGAAACGAGGAGGACGGGAATGAGTGAGAAGGGCGAACTTGGCAAGAGGAAGGGCTGATGAAGAGAGTGGTTTATTAGAAGCGTAGACGAAGCTACTTTCGTTCATCGCCGATGATAATTTATTCATTGGACGTTGTTCAAAAGTGGGTCTACGTCTGAGACTTGAACTTGGAACGCCAAACTTCGTCTAGGGCACACCACGGGGTAATAACTTTAATTTTAATTCAATTTTAATTCTTTGTAATATACGCGCGTCGCATTCGTCTTCTCGCTCCTCTCTCCCTTTCTTCCGCAAATTTGGCGAATTGAAAGATTTTCGGAATTCTCGAAGATCAGAAGAAGACCGGAAAGCCGGAAAATGTTTCTTGAAATTCGAAACTTTTCCTCGAAAAGGGAACATAACATGCACCGCTGTGCGCCGCTGTTAAAGCCGAAAGCTGCTAAAATTCGAGGGAGCAAAATTGAAACGAATGTACGCGAAGAAACACAGCGGAGAATGTGAAGTGAAGTTGTACTTACGAGTACAACTTCGCTTTCGGGAGAGCGTCAATCAAGCGTCTAATAAATCCCACGATACCCAACAAGAGTTAATTACTCTCTTCTTCATTAACTCTCTCTCTCTCTCTCTCTCTCTCTCCTTCTTCTTCGGTGAGATAAGAGCGAGCGTTCCACACGTAGACACTCTGCAGTGTCTTCGAGAATACCTGCTGACGTGATCGAATTGGCGGCTGGCATGTACACGGCGACGAGTCGATTCGGGAAATCCTCGTAAAATCGGTTCAATCGCCGTAAAACTCGTTACGACATTAAACAGAAGAGAAGACGCGATAAGGCGCCAGGCGAGAGAGGCGGGAAAAGCTAAGGGGAGAAAAAGCTGCCGCGCGCAATCCGGATTGCGAGACGTGGAGAAGGAGCGAGAGGAGAAGGAGGACGAAGGGTTTCGCGCGCGTCTCACCAAGCGGATTTAACTTGAGCTCGCTCCCGAGTTTACACACCGATGTGTCGACACCGATCCCTCGACACTCGCGTTGAATTCAGGTCCGCCGATCATTACCATTCGCTCGTACTAGTGTACCTTCGAACGACGATGAGTCACGCGACATCCGGACGCACGTCCGAAAGAGCCTGAAAAAATCCAACGAAGGTCGCGTGTCACCCACGATACCTCGGGAGAGGCGGAACTCGATGATCCCCCCCCCGCTTCGTGGGAAAGAAGGACCTTCACGGGCGTACGCCATGGTGCTTCTCGAGCTGTTTCGAAAGTACGTCGAGTCGATTTGTCTACGATCGGTTTTCTATTTAAGTGCACACACCCATACGCACATACACACGCACACACACACGCACGCACGCACGCACGCACTCACACATACACACACACACACACACGCAGCAGTCAGCCAGCCAACCACCCAACCAGCCAGCCACCCAAGCACGCGACAGTCCACTCGTCTCTCTCACACGGCCGTTTCAGTTTAGCGTGTTTTACGTGTTGTGCCATTCACGCGCTGGGGGATACCGGAAGGCCGGGATCGCCGGCTACCCTCCTCGTTTCGTCGACTCGCACGCGCAGCAGCCGCTTCTACGTGAAGAGGACAAGAAGTAACGGCAATAAGGAGGCTGCGAGGACGGAACGGACGGCCTGGGCCGACGAGCTGAACCAGATCGAGCCGGACAGGCCGACGCGGGCTTTCTCGTGATGGCTGGAGGGCTGCTCCGACGCCATGAGATCCTCCCGCGAGAACTCCGGGCACGGCAGGTCCTCCGGCTTCAGGTCGAACAGCCGCTTCGTGTAGCACATCTTGCCGCCGCACTCGGTCTGCGCATGAAAACGGCCGCGCCGGTTGGCGGTGTTGATTGCTGCACGCGGATTCTGATTCGAATGGAGCGCCGACGAGATCTCGCATTCGCGTTCCCGGCTTTTCCGGCCGCCTCCGCCGAGCAATCGGCATTGGCAGCGTCGCGTCTCCGGTTCAGCGCCGGATCGATCGGACCGGAGTGTCTGGTTTTCTCGATTTTCCCGTCGCGTTAGAATTATTAATCGACGAGTTAATTTTATGTTTCGTCGAGATCACATTTGCGACGTAATTGCGATTTGTGAAATGTGTGAACTCGTGAAGCAATTGATTTTTTAATAACTAACAAATTAATTGAAAGATAATTGATTTGAATCATCAACGCCCGGCGTTTTACTCGACAGCACCGCAGCAATATCGTCGAAGATTTCTCACGAAACTCGGAAAATACTAAAGAGCAGACGCCTCTTGGCTCTCAAACAAATTGAATGCAAACCGACGATCCGTTAGTTCTCAAGGAGAACTAACTTTTTTTATCCTAATTTTATTCTAAGACACGTTCCAAGGCAGCACCGCGCGCGGCAACCTCTGAGAGCGCAAAGAAGGAACTCGACTAAACGCGTTCGGCTGGTTTTCCTCTCCCCGTGATATTTTTCCCTCGTTAAATTAACTAATTCCCTACATATCGTGCAGGATGCGCGAGGCGGAACCGCCGATCGTGTTAAGTGGACGCAAGTTCCGTGATCGCGGCACGTCCGCGCGCGCGAATCGCGAATCGTGCGAGACGCGGCGGTAGCGTGAGCCCATGTAAACTAGACTCGCGATCGATTAACTACCTCCCCTTCTCGACCGAGGCTATCGACGGGCGCGGGGGGTGCCACTTTAGAAAGTTAATGGCGGAATAAAGGGACGAGGAGGAGGCGCTCGCGAGGTGCGCGCCTTCGTGTCGAGATCGATTACAGATACAATTAGGCGCGTGCGAATACCGGCGAGCATTTGAATTAGTCGATCCGCGAGAGCGCGTCTAATCAGCGTTGCGAGCTGGAATATTCATGAAGGATCGGGCAATTCGCGCGGTTATCGCCCGCCGAGGGAGTTTCATAATACAACAGCGCGGCGTGCGCGCGCGAGCGCGCGCGTCGTGTTGCGAAAAACGTATCGGGCGATCTTAATCCGAATTTATGTCGGCCGACGCGCCGAAATTAAGGTCGCGCGGCTCCGCGTAGAATTGAGATCGGCGTGTTCCTCGACGTGGTGCTCTCGGTTGGAAGAGCTCGGAAAAATGACGAGATCTCGTCCGCGGACGAGAGCGAACGAGAGAGTTGCCCTCTCGCTCGCTCGCTCGCTCGCTCGGCGACGGCGGCGCCTCCGCAATCAGAGAAATCGCGAGATAAACGGGCGCGTCTTACCTTGACGTTGAGATTCGGGAGCGGCGAGGAAATCTCGAGCTCGACCTCGTCGTAATTCTCGCGGTCCTCCTCGTCGCGATTGCCGTCCTCGTCGCCTGCGTCGCTGTACTTGGAATTATCGGCGGCGTTCTCTTCTGTAACACGCGTTCACGGGTTATGTTAAACATATTCTTCGAGGTCTGCCATCGCCTCTCTCCCTCTCTTTCTCTTTCTTTGGCTGTAGCTCTCGTCGCGCTCTTTCGCTTCCTTTGAATTTAGCGAAGTTATGTCGCATGAGAAATATTCGCTCGACGTGACGAACTAAAGTTTAATTCGACGGTCTTCGACGAGAATGCACTCACGACAGACTAGACTCGAGAGAACCTCGTCGAATTAAATTAGAAATGTAAGACGATTTTTCTCGTGTTCAGCAGGGTCGGAATTTGATGAGTTGTGATTGTAGTTTCCCAACACTTGCCGGACTTTTGGACTTGTGATAGATTTCAAATTTACGTGGGAACTGAATTTCTACTTTGCGCCCGAGACAAGTGGCACAAACCTCCTCTTGCGCGATTCAAAAGCAAAGCTTTGCTTGCAGAGGACACAATTGTTAAATCTAAGTAGGAAAATTGTTCAAACTACCACCTAATTATCGACACCTGTCGATCGTACGATAACACTTTCCTTTTCCACGTCGAATAACTTCACGGTGAGCACTTGTCCATAATAACGCTCGTCGTATCCTCCCCAAGAAAAATTCAATTTACAAGCAGAAACCTGAACATACGCGTCCGTATAAAGCGCCAAAGTGAACGTAAACTTTCCAACAGCGTTGACAAATCGCAGTCTGAAGTGGCGGCAGAATTTCATCTCGGCCAAACGTTTGATCTATGACGCCTCGGCTTTTTCGCATGCGAGTGTCGATCCGCCGAAAATCCCGCGGATATCCTGCGTACGCGACTCGTCTATTTTCCCTCGGGCGAACTTTTGACGCCGCTCGCCAGCGCTGAAGTCGCGACGGAAATCCGCCAGACGTTGCGCGCGGCCAAGACTCACCGGGACTCTGCATCATCTCCAGCGGCTGATTCCTCTCCAGGTCCTCGCCGTGAAGCTTCTCCGTGGTATTGTTGCTCTCCATCAGGCAAGTAAGCTTCTCCAGCAGGGCCTTCAGCTGCATGTTCTTCGTCTCGTTGCGCAGACTCCAGGTCCAGGTGAGCTTGCAGTCGCAGGACAGCTTGTTGTCTGCAAGTAGAAAGAGACGCGCGCTGGTCAGACAAAGTTTCCTTATTCGGAGCGCCGCGTTACCGTCGCTCTTTACCGTTTTCCTTTCACGAACTCTCGTAATCCTTCTCGAGAGTGACGGTGCCCTATTCGTTGTTAATTAATTTCCGCTCCATTCCCGGCGGAAAAGTGTTCGTAGAACACTTCGTGGCACGCGAATAGCCGGCCAATTAGAGACTACTAGACATTCTACTGCGAGACATTCGTGTTGAATACTTCGATAATTTTCGACTACGACGTACAGACACGCACCGAGATCGGACGCGGAAACATTCCCGCTCGTACCGCTCTGCGTGCAACGATTCTGTGCGTTTTTCCGCACGGACCAGTCGTGTTCGGCGCATTTCGCGCAACTCCGAAACTCGAATTTGAATAGTAGAGTGGCAACGACACAGGGTGTGAGTGAGAAAGATACACACACACACGGAAATAGAAAGAGAGATAGAGAGATAGAGAGAGAGAGAGAGAGAGAGAGAGAGAGAGAGAGAGAGAGAGAGGGAGAGAGAGAGTGAAGGGGAATAATCACTTTTCTGACTGGAAAATTTGCGTTTCGTGTTTCGGGTCGTGATGTAATTTGCGCAAATTGCCTTTTCCGAAGCGTCCTCGACTTTGCGCGCTTTATGCGCAGAGTCAAATGCAATTTCTGCGAATGACGGCGAATAAAGAGCACATGGGCATTGACGAATCGCACTCGAAACGCCAAGCGTCGACCAAGCGCGACCCGCTCGCGTTCGCCGTCAGCAGCAGCCGTGGCATTATTTTTCATCATTATCTTCTAATGAAATTGCGATCGCGGTTATCATTAACGTAATTACGAGCCGTTCCCGTTTCGCATGTCGCTCGCGTTTTGTGTCTCCGTGCGTCCACACGACCGAGTGATAATTATATTTTCGCGTGCGTATGCGCGTGCGGATGCGTTAGAATTGCGCTCGCGCGCTGTCAAATCGCGTCAATACCTTGGCGCGTTACACATTAGTACTTTTTATACGTACGTACATCGAATATCCTAGCTGCGAAGTACATTACAGCGAAGATATTCGATGTGCCCGTGCCCCGGCGAGAATGTCGAGAATTGTCGGCGATCCCGGCGCGACCCGCTGAGATTTTGCGCGAGACCGAACACGCGAAGATATTCGTGAGTTATATTTTGAGGCGACGACGCCGTTAATAGAGAGATGCGTACAGACATGTCTCTCTTGCAACTTAACGGATCTTGGAATGGCTGTAAAATAGCGAGAATATTACGATAGTTGTATCTGCTCGCGCAATTTTGACGGTTGAAATAACTCCCCCGACTATAATCCGCTAAAAGTTCATCGCGGGCGGATATTCCCGAAATTGCGGTGTGTACAAAAGCGTATCCGGCAAAAGATGCCTCTATTTGGTTGTTTTGGTTATATTTGACAATTTCACATTCGATTCTTTTTACAACATACACATGGGCTTGTAGTTTAAAAAATGATATTTGAAAAATTTACAGTGCACATGAAACGCGTGAAATAGAGGAAAACACTTGCTTCAATATTCGCTTGCTCATATTACTCTGTTTCGAAAACTCGTGGATACATTCGCCAACAGTCAATTTTTCAACGAATTATTTTCGCGGAGTTGTTTCAGGTCCTTAAGCGTTTACGCGCAGCGTATCCGCAGCCCGTAAAAATCGACGACGAGATCCGCATCTCCCCGCACACATCGCGCATTCCTGTTTCCTCCTCGTGAGGAAAGGAAGGCTATTCACGATTAAGGGTTCTCGAGCTCGGCGAGAGCGCGCGAAGCGCTGCGGCCGCGTAAGTACATAACGCACGGTGAACATTGTATTTAGCGGTATCGCGGGAGTGGCTGCGTTCCCGCGTGAGAAAAGTTCGGCGACGCAATTATTCAAAGCGCAAGCAATGCCGCGTTTGTGTAGACGAAAACTGACGCCACGTACCTTGGTAGTGAGCATTTTAATTAATTGATTAATAATACAACGCGGGGTGCCGGGAAGCTCGTCGTTGCGCAGGTTCGTTCCGCGAAATGCCCGCATCCCCGGTGACCCTCAGAAATTCATGCGATTGCGGTGTGTCGTTCTGTTACCTCGCTACTTCGATTTTCTCCTTTCCACCCCCGAGCAAGAGAGAGAGAGAGAGAGAGAGAGAGAGAGAGAGAGAGAAAGAACTATCTCTCTTTCTCTTTTCCCAATGCCGTCGTACGTTCTCATTCTCTTCGTCTTCGCTTAGTTTTCCCTCGGTCGAGCAACCGGTTCACGCGAAACAGAGAGAGAGAGAGAGAGAGAGAGAGAGAGAGAGAGTGAGATAAAACGAAAAAGGGGGATAAGGAAAAGAGAGAAGACGGCTTACCGCGTGATAGTGTTATATAGAATAAATGAAAAAGACTTTCCGATAGGAAATCGCTCTGAGAAGAATTCAGAACATTTTCTCTCCCGCTAATTTTCTCGCCCGTTTTTTCTCCCTCTTTCCCTCCTTCGCGTGATTTCTCTCCCTCTCTCTCTCTCTCTCTCTCTTCGGTCCTCGAAAATTTTTGTTTTCTTTATATTCCTCCCCATATCGCGAGAGCCTTATCCAGGCTAATAAAACACCTGTGGCCAGGCGCATCCGATTGGAAACTTAATTCTCGGTTATCCGCGAAACTTAATGGCCGCTTAGTTTATCGATCGCCAGCCGCGAACGATTCTCTTATCGGGCGGTTATCAGCTGCGCGCCAGTACTCCCAATAGTCCCGATATCGTCCAGCGTCGGCTGAATCTCGCGAGACTTCGAGGAGGAGCTGGAAGAGGACGAGAAGGAAGAGAAGAGGAAGCGGAAGAGCGCGCGATGCAAACGGGGGCATCGATGTTTTTCGTGTCGCGCGGAGCATATCGAGGAGCTATCGCCGATCGTATCGAGATGAAAGAGAATAAATAGCACCCCCTGCCTTTATATCGGGCGCCTCGGAAAAGTGAGGACACCGGTGCACTCGCATACGTGCCCGCGCGCACACACTACGTGTGTGTGTGTGTATGTGTGTACACGAACGCACATTCGCACTTGGCGTGGTTGAAAGTTTTCCGATGTCCCTTCGGAGCTGCTATCGCTTCTTCCCGCCCCGAGCTCGAAATCGAGCGAGAGACGACGCCGATACGAGGGATGTACCTCCCCGAGAAGAATCGGGCAGCGCGCCAATAATCTTTCCAACTGCATCTAAGTACACCGAAGCTTACAGCCCACCCTCCTCTCCCCAAACGCTGTTTCAACCCTTTCTCAGCAGCCGAGCCGCTCTCGACGTGACAATCCATTTCGCATGTCGAAGATGTGCCATCGAGATGATGCTTCGTTTGGTCGGTGACGAAAGTTCGGCTCAAGCGATCTGCTTTCTTCCGACGACGCAAACCGATCTTTCGGGACAGATTTGTAAGATCGGCGACGAGAAATCGCAGACGAAGACGCATTGCTCGCTTGATGGATGACCTTTTTCCACCGACCGCAATCGGAGACAGAACTCGGCCCGAAAAGCCAGCCGAACTTTTGGAACTTTTGGACGGATTCAACAGATCGATGCGTTGCCATAAAATTGAATAAGTAGTTTATGATAAAATTTATTGCTTCCCTCGTTCTCCGGGATTGGAATTCTTTTATTTTATTACCGTGTCGTTGAGGAACAAAATTGATGTTGAATTTATTGCAGCGGTTGCGAGGGCTGGAGGAGGGAGGATAAAAGCCGTAGTTGCGCTGCGCTTCGAATACTTCGCGCTGCTTCGATCGACAATGGCGGAAAGAGATGCAAATTGAAACGTTTCCGACGTACGTTTACGCGCGATCCTTCGCGGCACGCGCGCGCGTGTATATGTGTGTCGGTGAGGTTTGCGTTATTTCCGACGCACCTCCGCGCTCCTGCTGCGCGCCGCTGCTGTTCTGCATTTCGATTTTGCAATCATCGCGGCCACTTTCCTTCCTATTGTCTCCTCGATCACGTAATACCTATCGCGGGGAGACTCGGGAGGCTACGTGGCTTCTCGGTCAGGAGTGCCGCGCGATATAAGACGCTCGATGGTAGCAAACCTCCGCGGGATCGTACGTTATGAGAGAGAAAGAGAAAAAGGGATCGGTTCCTTCGCGGCGCGATTTTACGTACTCCGGGTAGCGATAACTCGCGCTGCCGAGGCCGAGTAAAAATGTTTTCGCTAGGAGCTCGCGAAAATATGACGGTTTAACTTTCCAGCGCACTCCGATCTGCGGATCGATCCCCGTTCTCTGAGTTTTTGCTGATACACGCGTGTAAAAATGTGCGCGTCGGGGAGAAGAAAAGAGAGGAAGGTAAGCAGGAGGAACAAGAGGAAGATGAAGAAGAACTCGTGAGACGATAGAGGCACTGAATGTTGCACGAGAAGATAAGAGAATCGGAGAGGATCGAACTCTGCGAAATCACGTTGCGCGAGCGAAAAAGCTAACAGCCTGAGCGCGGAGACAACGATACGTAAATACGTAAATACGCTTCCGAAGTTCCAGCAACTGTTGGTATTACATCGTGATATAAATAAATTCGGCAAGACCCGAAAGGCAGAATCTAAAATTCAAGACGAGAAAGGAAAAATCAGGGGCAAAATATGTTAGAGAAAACTGACATAAAAAAAAAAGAAGTCAAAATCATTTTAGGGAAAAAGAAACCGAAGGAAAAAAACAAGCTGATCTCTCCTCTCTGTTCTTTGGAATCTATCCTTCGGAAGTAACAAGAATAAAAAATCCTGTAACAAAATAATAAATAAAAATAACAAATGAAACGATAAAAATGAAGAAGTCATAAAGCATAAAGGGAAAATTCCAGGGCGCCAATCAGCGCAGACAGCGAACCGCTGAAGAGCGAGCTTTAAATGCCGAAATTAGGTTACCGGACGTTGACGAGATGAGTGCCGACGGCCAAACACTGTCGCGCGCCTGCATCTTGTTTTACGCGCCCGACTTTTTTTATTACGCGCCGCACTCTCG